CGATTCTTCTATCGCCCTTCCGTAACCTTGTCGAAATCCAACTTGAACAATTCAAATCGAACATGAAATTTTTGGGTGAAGGTGAGGTGGAGAAATATGATAGGAATTTTACTAGCAATAATAATATGCAAGAATTAAAAAAAAGGGTGGGGGGAGAAAATCAGTTTGCTCGCGACACAAAACCGAAAATATCGTATTATTAAACTAGATAAAAATATGAGAGAAAAGAAATGGAGAAAATGAAATGTATGAAATGTATATTGTTATGTATATAGGGTGTATATAGATGTGTATAGGTGTGTTTAGAGAGAATATTTATAGGGGAAAAAACTTCTAGAAGCTTCGCGGTTATAACCGCCTATAAATAACTACTTCTAAAAATAACTACTAACTACTTCTAAAAATAGCTACTAACTACCTCTAAAAATAACCACTTCTAAAAATAACTATTAACTACTTCTAAAAATAACCATAAATAACTATCTCTAAAAATAATAACTAATATAACTACTAATAACTTACTAAAAACTATCTATTTTCTAGAAAGTTCTAGAATAAATATTACAAAAATAGCCAAAAATTGGCTAAGTAATGATGCAGGAATTAAATATGGGAGCTAGGAGAGTGCATGAATAAATGCAGGGTGACTGGAATAAATGCAGGAGCTGAGGCAGGTTGGACGGATTTAATGCAGTCGCCGCTTGTTTTCCACATAGCCGCCATCACTCACTTTCATAAAGAGATTTTCTCTCCGCTCACATTTCTGTGCAGCCGCTCACAGAGTCCGCGCTAGCCGCCATTTTCGCCTTTTAAAGCTAGTTTTGAACTCCCAGACAAGTTTTCAAGCATTACTTCATATGTATAAATAATAAACACCTTATAAATATTTATTTAAATAAATAATAAATAAAATTAAGTTAACCAAAATTAAATACTTAAATAGCACATAAATAATGCTTAAAAATATAATTCAAGAAACACATCACTTAATTTAAATTATAAACCAAAATAATTATAAATTACACCTAAAAGCTAATAAATTAATATTATACACAAGATGAAATAAATACAATTATTAGAATAAATTAACATAAATAATACCAAAATTCGACATAAATAAATAAATAATTAAATAAATATAAGCTATAAAATATGGTAAAATCCAGAGTTATCAGTTATACATTTTTCTCTAAAATTCAGTCTCTAATTAGTAAGGGTCATTTGGTTTCTACTAGTCTTGAGTCATTCGATTGCTTACATTGTTATTTGGAAAAATAACCAACCCTATCTTTTCAAAAAATGTGTCGATCACAAGTAAACAATTTTCTTTAATTCATTATGATATTTGAGGTCCTTCTCATGTTCCATCATTGAGTGTGCGTTGTTATTATGTCATATTCATAGATAATTACTCTCATTTTACATAGATACATTTTTTGAAACACCGTTTAAAATTACCTCAAATACACGCTCAATTTGCACAAATTATTAGAACTCAGTTTTCCTATTCCATCAGACCCTCCGTACTGGATAACGGCCTTGAGTATAAAGATTCTATACCATGTTGAGTATATTTATTCCTATCCATATACCTCTCAACAAAATGGTCGCATTGAGCGCAAAAATCATCACATTCTATATAGTCTCTTTTGTCTGCCTCCAAAAGTTTTGAAGATATGATGAACCTCCAAAAGATTGACAATTTTGAGAATAATAGTAGTATGAAGGAATAGAAGAATATAATGAAGTAAAATTTAGGACAGAGGTTTGAAAATTTTGAGAAACATTAGGGTTGAAAGAATTTTGTGAACATTCTTGATTTCCAAGCATGTTCGTAAAACTTTGAAATGAAAAAAACTTTCGTGATTTAGAAGATTTTTTAGAGTTTGACTTCATTGTTAAAATTTGAAGGTAGAGTAGTGAGAGAAAATATTGTAACTTTAAAAAATAAAGATCTTTGAAAATTTGTGTGTTTTCATTTGTATATATTATGTCTTGTTAAATCAAATCAATCTTATTTTGTATCGATTAATTTTTTTAAATGCATTATTATATCACATCACAATATATATATTTTTTATCATTATAGTAGTGATCAATCATTTTAAGTTTTGTCTTATTGAGCTTTATTAATTGTATTGTTAGATCACATTATAATTTATTATTGTATTAGATATGTTTGAACACACTTGCATTGTTACATCACATCATAATTTATTATTGTATTATGTAGCTTTAAATACACTTACATTGTCACATCATTGTTTATTACTATACTAGTTAGCTTTGAATACACTTGCATTGTTAGATCACATAATAATTTATTATTGTACTAAGTAGCTTTAAACACACTTACATTATCACATCATAGTTTATTATCGTACTAAATATCTGTACACACACTTGCATCGTTATATCACATCATTGTTTATTACCTAATTAGCTTTGAACACACTTGCTTTTTTAGATCACATCACCATTATTACGTGACATCAAATTCATTTTCAATTATTTTATTATTGTACTATTTATTTACATATTTTTAAATATAGTTTTTTATTATTATGTTATTTATTCAATATAATGTAAACTATATATACTTTATATTGGCAAAAGCTCTGTACTACATTTCACTTCAAAAAATATTTGTAATAAACAATTTTGCTACAAAAAATGTCAAATTCATCTCAAACTATTTCAAGTTCAGACTTTGATGAAGAGGATGTGATTTCTTTCAATTTGTAGATGTAATTTTAACGTTTTCAAGATGTTATCACTAACCGTGAAGAGGAAAATCAATCACGCCGAAGAACATACATTGTGAGAAATCGTGAAGAAGATTATAATCATTTGTTCAACAAATAATTTTTCTGAAAATCCTAGATTTTCAATTTTGTCGTAGATTTCGATTGAGGAGACATGTCTTTCTGCCAATTGTAGATCGTCTAACAACAGAAAGTGAGTTCTTCCAACAACGTTGAGATGCAACAAGAAGACTTGGTTTATCGCCATTACAAAAATGCACGGTTGTTTTGCGTGTGTTGGCTTTTGGTGTAGCTGGTTGATATTGTAAATGACTATATTCGCATCGAAGAGAGTACAACAAGAATGTGTGTAAATAATTTTGTTGAATGAGACATTTTAATATTTGATGATGAATATTTAAGAAGACCAAATACAACAGACCTACAACGATTGTTGTATGTTGCAGAAGAACGTGGCTTTCCAAGAATAATAGGAAGTATTGATTGCATGCACTGGGAGTGAAAAATTTGTCCAGCTGCTTGGAAAAACAAATTTTCATGTGGAGATCATGACAAACCAACTATCGTATTAGAAGTCGTGACATCGTATAATTTATGAATTTGACATTCCTTTTTCGGAGCATCAGGTATATGCAATGATATTAATATACTTGATCAATCTTCGATTTTTAATAACCAGTTAAATGGTAAAAGTCCATAAGTTAGTTTTATTGTCAATGATCATCAATATAGTATGGGATATTATCTTACCGATGTAATATATACTCAATGAGCGACATTTATCCAATCTATTCGTCTGCCTCAATTTCGCAATTATTTGCACAACGCCAATAAGCTACTCGAAATGATGTAGAACGTGCTTTTGGTGTTTTACAAACTCGATTTGCTATTATTCGACGTCCGGCACTCATTTGAGATATTGATTTGATTGGTAAGATAATGAAAACAAATATTATTTTGTATAATATGATCGTTGAAGATGAATGAGATGCATATCTGCAATATTATGATGCATCATAATTCGAATAAGCTATGACAAAGAATTTTAGCAGTTTAAGTTAATCATATTACGCAGATAAACATGCATGAATGATTAAGTTTCTAAAAAATAGAATGCGAGTTCGAGACAAAGAAGTACATAATCAATTTTGAGAATATTTGGTTGAAAACATATGAAAAATTTGGTTCGATGAATAATTAAATTATTTATTTTTATTTTAATTTTAAATATTTTTTATTGTATTTGTAATATAATGTAATGTTTTCTTAAAAAAGTTTAATTATTATTTCTATATTTTATTTTATCTGTTAACCGATAATAACTATAATAATAAAAATAAAACACAAAAAATAATTTGATATTTAAAATTAAAATTAAAATAAATTAAAACTAAATATAATTAAATAATAAATAATATAACTTTTTTTCCATAATTTTTTAATAAATCAAAATATTAGCAAATAATAATAATAATAATAATATAATATAATAATTAATTAATTAATTAATTAATTAATTAATACAAAGTAAAAAATATACTTAAAAAATAATATATGTATATATAAAAAATATGAAAATAAAATTAATTAAAAAATTAGAATAAACATCTTTATTATGAATATAAAATATATAAAAATATTTTTGAAATTAATATGATAGAGAGAGAAAATATAATGGATGATAAAAAATAAAAGAGATATCTAAAAGCGAATATATTTGTATTTCACATGAGATTACTTACATCAGATAATAATTATAATAATATATTTGTAATATATATGATAAATATATTTCAAATTTATATAGCATGACATTAGTTGTTTAGAAAAAAGTAAAAAAATAAAAAAAAAATTGAAATTTTAGAAAAATTAATTTAAATTTGAAAAGAATTTATAAATAGTCAAAATTAATACATATGATAAAATCTTGTAAAAAAAATTTTTTTTATGAAATATTCTTTTAATAAATTATAATGCAAAAAAATCAAATTTTATATGCATAAAATATAAAAAGGAATGAATAGAATAGAATAGAAAAAAAGGGTACCGAGCGAGAGCGAATAGTAAGTAGGTATATATATAAGTCTGGTTCCTTCCTTCTTCCTTCCTCGCCTCTCCGTCGTCCGATCTTCCTCCACTCTTCACTCTCCCCTCTCAGATTTCTCCATTTCCATCGCCCAATCAATCCTTCCCTCTCCTCCACCTGCCCCGCCAAATACAAATCCAAGGTGCTCACGTCACTCTCTCTCTCTCTCTCTCATCTTTTTTTCTTCGAGGGCCTTTTCCTTACTTCTTGTCTTGTTTCTGATCCTCTGGTTGATTATTGTACGCTATGGATTTTCACGAACTCGCTTCCGTTATCTAGCCCACCAATCTTTCTTCTGTGCTTCTGTGGTTGGGTTCTATGGTTAACTGCTTTCCCTTTTTGTAAATGTCTTTTGTTGTTTTGACATTGAATTTTCTGTATGGGGTTAGGGTTTCTTCTTGTTCTGATAGATGGCCGACAGTCCTGGGGGCCACGGAGCTACTGGTGGCAACGGAAGCCACGAGAGTTGCGGCGGGGATCAGAGCCCGCAATCTAGCGTGCGCGAGCAGGATCGCTTTCTCCCGATTGCGAATATTGGTCGCATCATGAAGAAGGCGCTGCCTGCCAATGGCAAGATCGCCAAGGACGCCAAGGATACTGTCCAGGAATGCGTCTCTGAGTTCATCAGCTTTATTACCAGCGAGTGAGTATGCTCTTTTCGTCTGTTCTTGTCCTGGATTTATTTATTTTTATTTTTTTGTCTAACTTATGATTGATTGGGCAAAGTGGGTTGCAAGATACAAAATCATGTTTTATGTGCTCAAATGATCTTACAATTTTTGATGGAGGAGCCATGGATGAAATATTGCATATTAGTTGAAGTTATGATTATTGGTCATTAGTTGAATTCCACTCTGATTTGTGCTCTAACTTTGATTGTTCTGTTTCATTGCTTAGAAATGAATAGTATCTTAATTCAGCTTCTTTGAGTTCCATTTCTTGAAATATTCATTGACATTATTATATCTTATGTCTTTCAGTAGGAAATGTGATATGCTGCTATTGAATTAATTGTTTCTAGAATGCTAATATAGTTCTCATGTGATTCTCAATCATTATTTTCTGAATGATATCTGTGACTGTTGCATTTGATTGCATTTGCTTTTCTTGCATTCAGCAACTTTTGTCTTTCATTTACATCATTATAATGCTTTTAGTTGTGTTCTATGAAGTGTTTACAAGTTTAATAGTTATATAAGTAAAGGGATCATAAGTGTAAGGACACCTGAAGGACTCATGAAAGTTAGCTTAGGGATTAATATACTATTGCATTGGAGGTCAAATTGTGATAAACAGTTTATAGATTGGTGACATAAAGAAGATTATAAGTGGAAAACAAAAGTAGCAGCTGTATTTTGCAACTGATAATCTGTCCACCTCATCCCCCATTTGTTTTCTCTGTTCTTTTCTATATTTAAATATACATTGAAAATTCTAGCCATCCATTTGATTCATTGATGTTAGGCTATAGTGTATCGCGTTTGAAATTTCAATGTTAGGGAGTTTCAGCGCTCCATCTGATGTTTTCCTTTCAATTCTAATGCTAGAGGCACCAATAAGTTACACAACCATATTGATTTTAATTTGCTTCCACAACCCTATGATCCCATGATTTTCTCCACTTCAGATGTAGAACTCATTGTCATATGATTTTTTCCAATGCGTTGTTAGTGACATGACTGAAGGTCATTATCCATTATTGGAATTTGGAAAAAGGCAGTGTGCATGGAAAATAGGTTTCTCATTAAGTGGCTAATAGGAAAGTTCTATCTCACATTGGTTGAAGAAAAGTCAACATTCTACAAAATTAATAAAAATACTTTGAATGGACCTTAAAACAGTGTGTGCACACATGCTTGCTTGGGGGGTTGCATATGTCTCAATGCTCAATTTACCTGAAAAGACTTAAGACTAATGCTGTGCATGCACATGCTGGATTGAAATTGGTAGCAATTGCTAACCAAATTTCTATCTATTATGAGCTGTTGGTAAACAAATAACTGTTTTTTTGCTATCATATTCACAAATATGCATTGATGGAACACACCAAGTGTTAGAGAAATAGCTTTGCAAAATCATGTTAGGTTCTCTGTTCTTTTGTGGATTTTTTCAAGAATTTTCACTATTCAATTAATTCTCCCCCCCCCCCCCCCTCTAAAAACAACAAATTAAATATTTATTTTTCATTTCTTATATTATACTAAAAATTAATTTTGCTTTCAAAACATCATATTAATTATATCACATCAAACAATTATTCAAATTCAAAATTTTACCATTAAAAAATCCAAACCCAAAATCCAACTCCTCAAACAAACACCCCACGTTAAGTCCTAGAGAAGATTCGTGGTAACACACTGAATCCCAAATATAACACAATAAATCCCAATCAAACATTCCTCAATTTGCATAATATAAGTATTCCATGCAAAACAACTTCCTTATATTTTGGCAGATTGGTTGCTTTTGTCATTCATCCGACCTACCTGTCATGGCTTATCTCATCGTTTGAGTATTTTCTTAGTGATAAACTTGTATTGCCAATTTAATTTCCGATTAATCTTAGTACAAAACATCAAGCTCAATACATGAGGGTGGATCAATTATATGGATTACATTGTTGGATCAACAATTTTGAGTTGTATGGATTTTTTAGGAGATTATGTCTTGGTAGCGATGGAGGTTCTTTCTCTAGGTGCCTTGGATGGAGTTTCCTCAGTGACTAGAATCTCTTGAATCTAGTTTCCTCAAGTGGGTATTATAATGGTTAGGTGATCGGTTTGTAGGTAGCTTGCCTAAGGGGATGTAAGGGTTGAAGGAGGGGTATATAAATAGTTTTATTGATAAGTCTGTCAAATTGCTTAGTGTCTTGCTTTAGGACTAGCATTATTTGGGAGAACCCTATGTTTTTTACATAATCATAGCACTAAGTAGGAGTAATGAGATTACATTGTGAAGCTACAATACTTATTAGTTATCAAAGATGGCCGGTAATGGCTAGCTAGATTCTCTGCCTCCTAGTTTCACTTTGTGGACCTCCTCGGCCTTCAGGTAATAGAGTACAACTAACAACAATCTTAGACCTTCTTGCTCATTAGGATTGGGAACAATCAATTCCAGAAACTCTGATTCTAATGACTGTGCGAACAACTGCATAATGAGTTACAAGCAATGCGGCGATGATATCATTCCAGGCAACCATACCATCGAACTTAGGCCTTGATCATGGAGGAGAGTGATCTCTGTTACAGGATCTTGAGGAAGGTTTGAAGCTATTGATCCAAGTTAAGGAGCCACTTGAAGACATTGATTTGGGTGCTGCAACCTACAAACAATGTAAATATATACATAGCCTAAATGGGCTAAACTAGTCGTAAGTAAAAGGGCCAATCTCACACCTTAAGTTGGAGCATACAAGTCATATATACAATAAATCTTTTTCATGAGACCTTTTAATTAATGCATAATGTGCATTAGTGGTTTCCAATTACACAGAGACTAAAGGAACTGACTCACCACACTTACTGAGAATGATATATATAATTGGATGATAGTTAGATAATTAAGCTTTCTAACTAGGCCTTTTATGTAGTCCAATTTCAGTTAAGGGCTCCTTTTATTTAGGAAGCAACATCGTATCTGGATCCATAGAAGAATCCACAAGTTTATACCATTGTGCTTGTTTCTTCCTACACATTAAGTGATAAAATAAAACCATTCTTTGACTTGGGTGACCTCAATTCCTAGGAAATACCATAGGGTTCCCAAATCATCATTTTGAAAATGGTTGTGCAACTGCTCCTTCAATTGTGATATCATCTATATCTTCCCCGATTATGATAATATCATCAACACAGACAATCAAGTATATACAATGTCCCTTTAGGACATATGCTTATAGAATACAATACAATAAGACGGACATTGTCATCTCAAATTATTGAGTAACAAGACAGAACCGTCTAATCTATACATGTGAAGATTGTTTTAAGCCATAAAGTGAGCGATGAAAGCAAAAACAAAACTAGACTCCCGAGCAACAAAACTAGGTGGTTGCTCATGTGCATTTTCTTTTGAAGTTCACCATGCAAGAAAGGATTGGAGGCCCATCATGCATAGCTTCCATAGAGAGAGGCAAATGGAAGACATCTTTGCGAAGAGAGAACAAGCTTCTGGATTGTCCTTACCATACACTTCAGTAAAAGCCCTTTGTTACAAGCCGAGCTTTGCGGTGACTAATGCAACCATTAGTGCCAACCTTCATAAACGCATCAACAAGTCACATGTGTCCTGTCCGGAGACCATCTCCCAAGTATTGATAGTATTATGCCAAGCGGACATTTCTTCCGCCATAACCTGACACCTCCCCCATTGATCTTAAATCTTACATAAAGAACAAAATATAAAGAGAATCTAAAGTAGATACAACACTATACAATGAAGAAGATAAACAATGATAACTAAGTATTTGGTAAACAATAGGATCACAAGTGGACCAAGTACCACATGAAATGTGTGTATTCTATTCTCAATAATCATGAAATTACATAACACAAGAAGAAAATATACATAGCCTAAACTAGCCTAAACTAATCATAAGTAACCGGCCTAATATAACAGTATCTATTTGAGAAAGTCTAGGAAGTTATAGTGGGGTCAACATTGGAGCAAGCCACAATTTATCCTATGAGGGTAACAAGGCCATTAGGGTTAATTCCGGAGCATACGAGGAACTTTAATGTAACACTAATCAGCACTGATTGAGTTGAGAGGGAATCTGATCAGAACTTAGGATTAAAGTCAGTGGGGTTATATTCATGATTACCGGCGGTTAGTTCTTTTTTTTGGGTGTAGTAGATATCTTCCGCAAGAGATTATGGTTTTAGACTTTGGTGATGTTAAGAGTTAACTTGAGGGCAATGATGATGATAGCACCAAAACGAATCAAACGAGTCTCTCGTTTACCCAAGCAGTGAAAAAAGATAGAAATCCAGACTACTATCAATTCCTTTGATTCTGCTGCTGCAAAGTAGTAGTTGATTATCATTTTAAAGTAAAAAAGACACTTATGTAGTTTTACTAAAATAGCCTATGGTATTTGTTTGTGAATCTCAATAACTAGTTTATAGGATAAGATTTTTGTTGGTGTTTCTACTTGAATATTTTCGTAGGCACCTAAGATTTTCTGTCTGCCTATCTGTGTGTTGTTATAAATTCTGGTTTAAATGAATTCATAATGTTAATATGCATTTTTATTTTCATAAGAATGTACTTGTCCAGTAATTGGTTGGACTGGTATGTAGTTCAGCTTGCTATGACTAAGTATGTTTTTTTTCCTCTTGATGATTAACCTTTTTCTTTATTTTATTTGTTGAATAGAGCCAGTGATAAGTGCCAGAAAGAGAAAAGGAAGACTATTAACGGGGATGATTTGTTGTGGGCAATGGCCACCTTAGGTTTTGAGGATTATATAGCTCCACTGAAAGCTTATTTGGCTAGGTACAGAGAGGTATCTGAAGTTCCATACTCCGGCTCTATATTGTTCATCTCTGCTAATGATAATAAGAATAATAATTTTGTTTGTCATACTTTCTCTGAGTATGATGTTAGCTAAAGCATCATGCATTATGAATTAACCCTAACTTTGTTCCTTTGTTGTTTGGGCGCATTTGTATCTGGCGCTATCTCCGTGTTTCAGTTAGAGGTATGAAAATAATCATTCTGTTAACTTTCTCTTGACTTCACTTTGTTATGTATAGTATCATTATATGGCAAACTATTGGCAGGGTGATACTAAGGGACCCGCTAGAGGTGCTGATGCGTCTGCAAAGAAAGAAACTATGGGAACTCAGCTGAGTTCTGAAGCAGAGGTAAGGTTTTGTTATTTGTTTCGTGTTCTTCCCGAGTATTAAACCATATAGCAATGCAACGAGATAAATGTTTTACATGTGTTCTTCCTCTGTAACTTTTGCAGTTTGCTCGTCAAGGTTCCTTCTCACAAGGGTTCAGCTACTCGAACTCCCAAATTGAATTTTGAGTATGTTTCTCCCCTATCTGAACTCTCAATCCAATAGAACAGTCTTGAAAGGAAAGAATATACATTTGTGGACTGCTAGAAAGGATCTGCTATGAGAATTGAGAAACAGTGAACTTTTTATGTGGTATTCTTCTTGTTTGTATATCATTTCCTGAGACTCGATATAAAGTCCCGAAAATATGTGAAAGCAAAATACATTCTGGATTCAATTTACATTCTTGATCCGACCATATTCACCTGCGGCTATTATTTACTATGCTGCACCACTTTGGACGGGTTCTTTAAAAAAGTGATCTATCTAAAATGATGCCGGTCTTTATTTGAAAACGCAGGCAGTGAAGAGTAAGAATGCTCGGCAGGCAGGACGTCCGTGTGTGAATCTGTCTGCCTCTGTGGTTATGTAGTAGCGGCGAGTGGTGAGTTTTATGTATATGTATTTCTGTATGTATGTATTTGGTTGTTATATGAGATAGAAAAGAGTCAAGAATCATAGTGATGTAGTAGTTGTGTGCTGGTTTCGATTTCTCTATCAATCTATCTAATATCAATATCTATATATCATCTGTAAATCCTAAGTGTCAGTTATGACTGTTATGATGATTTATGTTGCATAATTGCTTTGACAGATGTGTTTGTGTGTGTGGAGAGGGGCATGTGACATTAAGAGATGGGTGGGGTGGGGTGGGGTGGTGTTGATGATGGGGTATAAGGTTGGCATTGCCGGCTGTTTGTTTAATTTTTAATGGGTGAATAGTTTAATAATAAATAACGGTGTTGTAAGGATTACAGTTGTGAGATCAGATTCTTTCTTTTGATGCAGCAGCAGCATGTCGTGTCTTCGATTTTATTTATTTATTTATATATTGTGACAAAAGAATCCTTCCTTGTTACATTACACTCACTCACGTCGCTTTTTTTGGTTTTTTCTTTCTTTTTATCTACAGCCTAACTAGTAATAAGATAATATTAAAAATTGTGTGTCGTTTGATGTTGTGGGCTGATTTGTGACACAGTTTTAAACCATGTAAATGTTAGGTTTATTTGAGTGGTGTGATTTGCAGACGATTATGTTTCATTATTATTATTATTTTATGACGTGGAAACCTGCTGTCAATATCTAAAAGTGATATTCTGTGCAAATTACTGCAAATTAGGTCCCTATAGGCAAGTCACATTATATAAATCATGTGTGACAGGTGACTTGAGCGAGACGTCGAGAGTTTGAATCATGACTTCAAGGTCACATGTCCAACATTTGCACCATCAGGACGATTATGTTTATTTGTAGAGTAGTTTATGGGTTTTTATTTGAAAATTAAAAAAAAAATGTAGATTGTTTGATTCTTGGAAATATTTTAATTTTATTTAAATAATTTTAAAAAGAAAAAAAAAAGTAACAAGCATAGGTTAAAGTAGATAGATAGGCAGGTGGGAGGGCGGGCTGGCAAGTGAGGTCTCTGGTCTCTAGAAATGGATATGGCAATAAAGGGATTTTGTTTTTTTTATCTAATATTTTACAAACTAGGTTCGACAAATAAATCAGACTAGGTGAAGAGATTTGAATTCATAATCCATGACCTTGCGGTCATATTTTAACCCTTACACTATCAAGTCATTTTTACGGACAATAAAATGATATTTTGCAGAGTGAGGGATTTGCAGCTTGGCTGGCACCATTGATTCCATGAGTAGTGCTACTTTGTACAAATTACATTACAATATAATTGTGCATCCATCCGCGTGAGCACCTCACCTGACCCGACCTGACGCCATATTATTTATTTATATAATTATAATAATATTAGCGGTCAACAGTCAAAGGCTAGGGCGATCAAATTGACGAAAATGCCCTTCATCCTCTTGTACAGTTGGCCACGTTGGGTTCCAGAGAGACAAAGCAAAAATAAGGTGTATGGGGTGGTGGAGGAGAAAGATTATAAAGGATTAGGAGTAGCACATTCATATCATATACTACTAGTTAGTATAAATACAGCTAGGCCTCCCCTCAGCCTCGCCAGCTGTACGCTGGTACTGTATGTTATATCCACTCACTGTATGTATGGATACAACTACAACTACAATTACAATAATACCTTATACATTTATACTTTACTGTATTTAGGTTGCAGGTTATTAAATTTAACTGAAAATTTACTCAAAATAATAATAATGAAGGTGTTGAAGTACACAAGTAGCACTTGTATATAAAAGTAGTTAAGTAATGAAAAAAGAAGGTGAAATTGGGCCGGGCTGGGATCCACGTGAAGGAAGGTAGAGCCATGGAAAAGCATCAGATCAGCGGAATAACAATATAATAATATTATAGGCATTTGTATGAAACGACGTCGGATTCATGAATTGGATTCAAATTGAATTGAATTGAATTGTCCACATGGTGCTGTGCTGCGCTGTACGTTGCCCATTTGCTGCTGCTATGCTATGCTATGCTATACATTATCTTATAGTATTACATTACATTACATTACATTACTACTATACTGCTATGCTATGCATGCCTTTCTTCATTTCAATTTCATTTCGATATATATATTATTTATTATTATTTTAATTAATGTGTGAGTGACGGTTGGTTGTGTTGGGCTCTGATGCAAAATGCAATTAATCGAACAAGTCCATGTCCAGCAACAATTGTTTTGAATCTGCTTCTGCTCTCCTCTTCTCTCTCTCTCTCTCTCTCTCTCTCACAGAGGCTTATAATTAATAGTATTATGTGTGTGTATATATATATATATATGATTGAGTTGAGTTGAATTGAATTGAATTCCACTACTTGCTGTTCATCTTTACAAAAACAGAGAGGGGCTGCAGTGCACATGCTTATGCTTCCTCTCATTCTTATGTTATGATACACGACCATATATAGTTGGAGAAGCATATATATTCGATCGATCTGGTGTGATCTGTGATTGATAGTGATAGATATATGGTGATGGTGATGGTGGAGGAGACCAAAGTGTTCGTGGGGGGGCTGGCATGGGAGACACAGAAGGAAGCCATGCGCGACCACTTCAACCAGTACGGCCACATCCTTGAGGCCGTCATCATCTCCGACAAGCTCACCGGCCGCTCCAAGGGCTACGGCTTCGTGCGTCCCTCCACCTCTATTCCATTCCATTTTACTCTATTCAATATCATTATTAATACCATCATCATACAATCGCCATTGCAGGTGACCTTCAAGGATCCTGAAGCCGCCAAGAAGGCCTGCGAGGACCCCACCCCGATCATCAACGGCCGCCGCGCCAACTGCAATCTCGCCTATCTCGGCGCCCGCCGCCCCTCCACCTCCCCGACCCTCACTCCCTCTCCCACCAAAAACACCACCGCCCCTCCCCCTCCCCCTCCCCCTCAACAGGGTGGGTATATACATATAACTACCAATTGAATTCATCAGGCAACATGATAAATATCTTAAATTATTATTAATGTTGCAAGCAGGAGCAAGGGCAGCAGCAATTCCCATTCACCATCAGCAGCAGCAGGTGCAATGGTACTACCCCTCCTCCTTCAACCACCATCAGCAGCAGCAGATGCCTTTCTACAGCTGCTACTCCCCTACTACTACTACTGCTGCTGCTACTCCTCCTACTACCTACATCGCCTGCAGCACCCCATCCGACCACCTCATCAATTACAACCATCCAGTTGTTGTTGTAAGTACTAACACTAACACCCCCATGCCATGCATAATTTCATTTCCATCCACCATATCTCACATTAATGATACATAGATAGATAGCTAGATAGATAGATAATATCAATTATATATATTGTATTGATATTGATTAATGGTTGGTTGGGCGCAGAATAAGGTGGGGGGATACATGAATGGAGGAGGAGGAGGAGGAGGAGGAGGGTATTACAGCAGCTGCAACAACCAGCAACAGGCGGGCGTGTATCATCATTATCCAGGTGCAGGGGTTGGGGTTGGGTTGGGCAGCACGTTGCAGGTGTACCCTGCAGCAGGTTTCTACCAGTACCTCAACCACCACCACCACCACCACCAGCAGCTGCAGCTGCAGGCAATGGGGCTGCCCGCCGCCCACATGTACTCTGCAATTCCCTTCATTCCACCTCCTCCTCCTCCTGCTGCTAAGCCCACTTCCACCCTCCACCCACCACCACCTACTACTACTACTACTACTACTAATCCAGGTAATTTATTAATTACTATATATGAATATATATTATATGTGTCTGTGCTGTCTGTCTGTTCTTGCTTTGATTATATATGCATTTACTTAATTAGTTTACAAAAGTTATTAATGTAGTTGTGTTCTTTTACCAAATTTTATTTTTACTATTTATCAAAAATATTTCCTAAAAAATACTAAATTAAATATTTATTTTTTATATTATAGTAAAAAACAATTTTAAATAAAAAATATCATAATTATTTCAATTCAAAATATTTACTATTTACCCTAAAATAAAAATAAAAGTAGTATAGGTAGCATGCATGCATATGGTAAAAGAATCTTATTATAATTAGTGTTAGTTATTTAGTTGTAATGTAATGTAAGAGGAATATTCTTTGACGGATCGCTCACATCTCATCACATGATCAGCTAGCATGCGGTCATGTGATCGATCCTACATACATACAGCTAGCTACCTAATGACAATCAATAAATATATATATATGCACAGGTACAGCTGCAGTTGGCCAACACAGCTAAAAGCTTCATTATGAGGAATTGAAGGAGGAGGATTGTCCTCTCTCTCTCTATATCTATATCTCTCTCTCTCTAGGAAATAACAAGTCATTCTTAGGGTTAGTTGCTGAGAGAAACATGCTCTTTTATTATCGTGCATCTGCAACTGCAATGGCCCTTTTCTTTTTTTTTTTTTTTTTTTGTTTCTTAATTTCCTCCATTTTTAATATTCTTTTTTAGGAATCTGATCCATAATTCATTTATTGTTATCATCAATATTGTTGTATGTGATTAATTACGCACTGCTAATTTTTATTTTTATTTTTATTTTTATTTTTATTTTTATTTTTTATCTCTAACTCTGCTTAATTAAGTATTACTTGTTACATTTCCGTCTCAACTATATATATATGTATAGAGCTAGCTGCTGCTTTGGTTTCATTCAAGTATTATATTTATTATTTATTTAAAAAAGCGATGAGTATATATAATAGGCGGGCAGCGGCTACAATAGTGAATTTAAAATTCAGCGCGGTGCTGAATAGTACTTTGTGTACCACGAGACAACACATAGTGTTACTATGCACAACACATATTATACTTTAATATAATACAATAAAAACACATGACCCGATAACATATGATATAGTTTCACACAACACATACAATAAGCACTTCACGTACTCTCGTATAGCACATCCTATAATTATGAATTAACAACACATACTTTTATTATTACAAATGACACATGCATACTGTATATAATAAAGACGTGTGTTGTTTCTATATTTTATGTGCGCTAAATTCAGCACCCCAACATTCTCCATATATAATAAATTATAGATATAAGCATCTTGATTAAATCCTAATGTTTAAGGGGTGCATACAATAATTAAATAATTATTTATTTAAATACATCAATCAAATTAAACTAACAATTTTTGAATGAAATGGACCGTTTTGATATTAGTATTATAAAATATATATATATATATATATAACATAAATAATATACTATAGCTAGGGACGAATTTATAAGGGGCCAGGTCAGCTTACCCCCACCTCAAAATATATATTATTTTAATGTAAATAATAATAAAATTAGATATATTTTATTAATTTGTCTCTTTTAATTTTTTATTTTATAATATAAAAAATAATAAAATTTTATTTATTTGTTGATTTATATTTTTAGCTTTTCAATTTTATTTTATTTTTGTAAAAGATATTAAATTTCATATAATTTTATTGAATTTCTTAAAAACATATAATTTTATCTATTTTTTTACTCGACTGAGCCAAGAGAAATTAAAAAATACAACATTGAATAAAAAGAATAATTATATTTTAACCTTTATATTTTACTGTTGATTTCATAAGAGACTATATCTATGTATAAAAATCAGTAATTTAATATAAAATATTATTATTTTTCATAATATATTTACTACTGTATTTAACATTAAAAAAAAAATACTCAAAACTAAAATATTACACAAACACACTTAAAAATGACTTCAAGAAAGTGGGAGAATAGAGATACATATATGAAGCTCAATTTAGGGCTAGCCGATAGCTGTTAGCTGATTTAATTAGATTGTTTGACTAGCTGTTTGTATTAAAATGTTTAGTAAAATAACGGTTTGATATTAGTTGTTTATACGTAAGACAATTGAGGATATTCCCATTTTATTTTTATTTATAATATATTCAATTATATTATTTTGAGTTCAGAATGTTTAAAATTTTTTGTTATTAGTTATTAAAAATTGTAAAAGTGTTATAAAAGTATTTATTTTTATTACAGTTAGATTTAAAAAATATATATTTTTATTAAAATATATAAATAGTTTTTTCTATTGAAAATGATGTAAAATATAAAATAATAAATTTTTCGTATATATATTTATTATGTTAGTTATCGATTAGTTCATTATATTTATAATTTTCAATAAATTTAATTTATTTAATTTATTTTTAGTATAAATTTTATATAATGTAATTTTAATACAAAAATAAATTATTAATATTTATATTTTTTATTTTATGTTTATTTTAATAAATTTATATATTTTACAATTAAAATAATTTTTAAGTAAAAATTAATTATTTTAAATTTATAAAAGTAAAACTATAATATAATAAAATATTCTAATATAATTAATAAATAATCAAAATATATTTATTTGTGTAAAATGCATAATAAATTTTTTTAGAGCATATAAGGAATAAAAAAAATTTTTACAGAAAAAGCTATTGCAAAACGATGGGTAAGTTAGCTTTTCAGAAATTAGCTTTTTGGGTTCAAAAAACTATTCCAAAAAGCTAATTTACCAAACACCTAAATTAGCTTTTTGACTAGTCAAACAGTAAAAGCTGTAAGCTAAAATCTTTTTAAAAAACTATTTGTCAAACACCCTCTTAATCTAAAAAGTTGTAACCTGGGGAGGAATATTATTTATTATTTATATAGTAGTATAAAATTATGCATAAATATTAGATTAAAATATTATCAGTATTGAGCAATATTTAACTTGATATAGTCCCGTCGTCCTAATACAATAGTGTTATTTACTATTTTTATCCGTCCCAAAACAAATCTTATTTTCATAAATAATCATATCACTGTAAAACTATTCTTACTCTTTCATTATTATTACATAATTGTCACTACCTTTTACACTAATACACTCACAAAGACAAAAATATCTTTTACCTATATTTTTTACTCACTATCAATATAATATCAATATTTCTTAAATTTCGTACCTAACACAACTAAGACTATAGTTCCGAGACGGAGGAAGTATTTTATTTTGAGGTCACCAATCTAAACTATCATTATTTTATATAAATATTCATTTAGAAAAAAGACTATTTCCTCCCAAGCCCGGCTCCCGTCAAGCCCATGTCCAGAGCCCATTTGTGGGAGGGGGCCATGGCCATAAATTTATATACTTATATAATATTATTATTATTATTATTTATAAATATAATATAATAAAAATATATTTTTTAAGTTAAATAATATTTTATCTATTTTTTATGCAAAACACAAGTCTCATATTAAAAAAAAAAAAAAAAAAAAAAAGAGAGAGAAAGAAAACATCTATCATCATTACTACATACAAATAGTTTCAACCCTATATCAATTACAAACTTTCGATAATCTAAACATAAAAAAGCAATGATGTCTAAAATTAAAATTATATATGTGATCAGGTGGTGTAAAGTGGACTCGTGATAGTAGGGCCGTCTCGAATTTTTTTCAGAGTTCTGAGTAAAATATAAATGATAGGCCTTATAAATAATTGATTTTTTTAATTATTTTTTTTCAAAATACTATCAACGACAAATATAATAATAAATTTCACAAAATTAAAAATTATACTCCCTCCGTTATAATTTATAAAAATTATAGATTTTCTTGAAGTAAAGACTCTGAGCAATTGTTTAGATTGTTTCTCCTAAACACCGGCTTTGCATTATCGTAAAATTTTGGGTTTATCATATATAATTCGATTAATATAATTTGCCTTGAGATTTAAAGTGCACTGAAAAAATTAACGATTACGGATTTCTATGTCTATATATATATATATATATATATAAATAAGGGGTCTGTCAACCAAAAGTTACGTGGCTAAAATTGGTATAAAGTTGCATGATTTGATGTAAGGGTAGGATGCATGTAGAAGTTCAAGAATATATGAGCCTAAATTAGATGTAGAAATGAAGATTCTTGATTAGTACGTGTGTGTTCAATGCACCAGCAGTAGTAATTAGGTTTAAATCCCTTCTAAAATAGTACTTCCTTTCTCCGGAACAGATGACCTATTTGTTTTGGATACGATTATTTAAATAGTTTGATTTAGTTGATTATCAATAGTAAATTATAATATTATCTTATTATTTTTATATAAATAGTATGGTTGATATTTTAAATATATAAATTAATATATATAATTAAAAAAATTAAAATATATGTAAATATTTTTAATATTGTACATCCTCCGGGTATGATGTTCATTTTGCTGTAGACATTAGAATTTAGAAGGGGTATAATTAGTAAATAATTAATAAAATATTAGTGAAAATAATCATCATATAATAAAAATAATGATATATTAAAATTTAGGTTTAGATAATTAGATTTTAAAAATTATAAATTTTAAAATGGAGAACGAAGTTAAAGTGTATAATTCTTTTGTTAAAAAAAAATAACAAAATAAGTGAGATATATAAAAATAAAAATATGGACATAATAAGTACTACGGATGGAGTAATAAATTGTCTAAGGATCATATGATTGAGGAATTAAAACCCAAACTTAAAAATAATTTTATTAGCTCAACCAAACTTTTCATAATAATAATAATAATAATATACACACCCCAAATAAATAAATAAATAAATAAAAAGACTTTATTCAATGAAATCAAAATATAACAATAAAATTGAAGAAATCCAAGATCATATTATATACGTACATTCATTTATCATCTTCTTCCTAATTAATTTTTTCTGTAATTTTTTTTTTCAAGAACAACACCTTTTAATGGCTTCTTTTTTCAATTTCAACTTTAGTTTTCAGTTTCTTTCTTCAATTTTCCGTCTTTTTTCTTTTTTATCAGCTTTAGTTTTTACATTCTTGCACGTTAATTATTCAGATATCACAAGATAATTCGAATCTTTTCTGAGGAGGCCGAGAATTCTACGATTAAACTGCGGCAGTAGATTTTTTTTATGACAATAAATAATAATAATAATAATAATAAATAAATAAATAAATAAATAGGATTAAAATAGGGATGGTACATGGGTAAATTGCGTCCTAGATTGAAACAAACTTAACTAAAGTTGAAGACAGACAGGTGGCAGAAAGAATATACTGAATGATGAGCACTTTAGCTTTAAAGGAATACCACTAATTCCTCGTCACCAGAGTTTATTTATTTTCTCCATCCGTACAGAATATTTTGTCGACGTTAACGTGGACACGAGAATTTAAAAGGAGTATAATTAATAAATAATTAAAAATATATTAATAAAAATAATTATCGTATAATAAAAATAATTATAAATTAAGATAAAGATAATTGATTAGTATAATTAAAATTTTAAAAAAAATATAAATTAAAATTTAAAAAAGAAGATTAAAGTGTATAATTATTTTTAAAAAAAGAAAAGTGACAAAATAAGTAAGACTGAGAGAAAATGAAAAAATGGACATGAAAAGTGAGACAAATATAGTATAATTTTTATTTTATATTATTATTTATTTTTTAAAAGATATAGTACTGGCTCTAAAAGCCACATTTACTTTTTTTTACAGGTTTATTTTTAAATATTAATTATTATTGAATATTGTCCCACATTGATTAATATGTAGGAACTCTCCTACTATACAGGGTGAAGCGTCACTCCACCTGTCACCAATTGGATGTCTGGATCCCTTCTTAACAAAACATAGTAAAGAAAATACAAAAAATACTTCTATTACATTTTTATAATACAAGTAACTTCAAGAGACCGACGGATGAAGCGTGTGGCGGAAAATATGAAACCGTCGGTGTTCGACACAACTTTGAACGCGTGGTATTTAATTATGAAGTGTTCTTCGTTGAGACATGAAACAATGTTTTGGCAAAGACCAAGAAATCTAAACCTCATGCTTCTGGCATATAAATGTGCATTCAAGGAATACAATGGAGCTTGAAATACATCTTACAAGGGATCCGACCCCATAGTTTTGAAGAACTCGTCACTCACGCTCATGATATAAAATTGAGCAATGTCTAGTGGAATGTATGAACTGTCGAGAAATATAATACTTCAAAGTATGAACTGTCGAGAAATATAATACTTCAAACAGTGAGGGAAGTCATACCTTTAGCAATCTCCTGAAAACGAGGATAAATTTTCTACAACCTCCTAAAAACGATGATAAACTTTCTATCAGACTCTTAATACGATGATAAACTTTCTCAAATCTCGTTATAAGCTCATGTGGCGCACTCTTGACAGGGTCAGTTACTATATCCTCAATGTATTGTATCTCTTATATATCGATCGATCACCATTAGTTATGTACATTTAAATTTTTTATTTATTAACTTTTTTTGTTTTAAATTTTTTATTTTATTAATTCTTTTATTTTAAAAATACACATGACATGACCGATAATAATTGATCCGTATAGAAGAAACACCGGACCTTGGGGTACCCCTCGTCCCCTCTTGACAAACATCTCGCATTAAAGTATCTTACCACAGTAAACCCCAACCCTACTCCTCCCCCCACCCACTTCCCTACCCACCCTAAACCACCCCACCCCACGTGTCTATAAATTCCCGAATTTCCACCGGGGCGATCTTCTCTCCACACACAATCGGACAATCCTCCTTCCCCTCTGCTCCACACATACATACATACATATATATATATATATAAATATATAATGGGCTCATACGCCGCCGCCGGCAAGTCGTCGAAAGGGTGCTTTTCGTGGTCTCCTACGGCGGTTCTAAGCCCTTGCGCCGCCTGCAAGATTCTCCGGCGGCGGTGCGTGGAGAAATGCGTGCTGGCTCCATACTTCCCCCCCACGGACCCACTCAAATTCTCCATTGCTCATCGTGTTTTTGGGGCCAGCAACATCATCAAGTTCTTGCAGGTCTCTTTACAGTTTTACACTTTAATATATATATATATATATACATTTTAATAGTTTAAGAAATAATAATATTTTCTTATAAGTGAAATGTAAAATAATTTTGATATTTGTATCTTTTGTATTTTCTGTATAAATTAATTATGTGCTAAAATGATATATTTGAAATTTATGTAAATAGCACATAATATATTTGAAATTTATGTAAAAATTTAAAGTATTTTAATATTAATATATAATTAGTTTTCATATACAAAGTTCATATTTTAAGTGAGACATGCCAAAAATAATACTATTTCCCTCATGTACAAACTAGACATATACTTTTGGTTTTAAGAAATAATAGTATCTTAATTATAATGTACATTTAAAAGTAATGCAATGATATTTTTACCTTTATTTTTCAGTGTAAAATTAATGATATAATGTAAAGTATGATATTTGTGAAAAAAAAAATTGGATATTTAATGAAATTGTTACTTTGTAATTGGACAATCCAAAATAGAAATATATAAAATATAACGAAAGTCTAAGGGTGTGTTTGGTTTGTGAAATAGTTAAAAAGAAATTTTTTTTATATGAGATATAAAAAATTATATAGAAAATATAAAAATAATGAATATTTAGTATTTTTTTTTGAAAAAACCGTGTAAAAAAATTAGAAAAAACAAAATCTAATTAAATATATAATTTTTTGTTATCAAAATTTTCTAAAATTTCAAAACTTCCACACCATCTTCTTTAGCTTTCTAAAGAAAATAATAAAAACAATAATAATTTTTATGAAATCAATAATATGTTTAAAGGTCAAATTGAAATGGCCCATTATATGGTTCCTATCCCCACAAAGTCTACCATCACACAGCAAATACTAAACTCAGATTATACTTCCAATCAAAAAGTAAGAATAATTGAAAATTAGTACCATGCTTTTTCAATCAGCACAAATTAAATATGCAGATAGCATATATTTGGAAAAATTACAAAAAAATATTTTTCATGTAAACTCATTATTATTTTTATCTTCTATTTATCTTACGGGCAAAATATATCTCACATGTTTATAAAAGTAGTTATTTCTATTATTTGGCCGTCCGTAGCAGCGCTAGACCGCGCATGGTGTGAACGTCTCGAGGGGTCAAATGATAGAAATAGCAATTTTTGCAAATATGTAAGATATATTTTGTCAGAGATATAAATACAAGATAAAAGTGATAATGATGAATACATAAAGATATTTTTTTGCAATTTTCTCGTATATATTTTCATTTTAAACCACACATGTTGTGTGTGTTGTATGAAATAAAGAAATATGTTGTTATTTATAGTTATAACGTGTGTTGTATGAAACAAGATCATTTATTATATTTGTATTATATTAATATACGATTGTTTATAGTAATATCGTGTGTTGTCTGTTAGCACATGATGTGCTGTCAGCACCAATTCTAACTCGAGCTAGGATTTAGTTTCTTTTACTGGACAATTTTATTATATAAATAATCTAACTTTTATACAATAACTAATTCACCAAAATAATAATAGGAAGTTCCTGTGGATCAAAGATCCGATACAGTAAACAGTATGGTATACGAGGCAAGTGCGCGACTACGAGATCCAGTGTACGGCTCCGCCGGCGCCATTAGTAATCTTCAAAAGCAAATCGGCGAGCTCCAAGCCGAGCTCGCCAAGGCGAACGCTGAAATTCTAAACATGCAATGCCTCAACGCGTACTTATTCGATCAAATCAGCAAAAGGGATTCCCCGAGAAACACAAAATTCCATCAACAACAAGACGAGGAGGACGATGATAATGACTCGACATTCCCCCTACAAATTTGTGATACTCTAATCACACCCTCCTTCTACAATGGTGAAGAAACCAATTTAGGGTTTTCATGGGATCCCCTATGGACATGATGAATTGGTATAGATATCAAGATTATGAGAAAATAAAAAAATTAAAAAAAAAATTATTTATTGATATAAATTTAATATACACACAAATATATATATATATGTTTCCAAGTTTTATTTTGATTAATTGTTTTTTTTTCTCTATGTAATAATGTCAAATCAAAATTTTGATAATTAGTCTAGATTCGAATGATCTTATGCTTTTAGCTTCAAGGCCTAAGTTTGGTTTTGCACTATTAATAAAAAATAAAATAAAATAAAAAATTATCAAATATTGAAATATTTAATTTTCCTTTAATTTATTATGGAACATTAAATATTCATTATGATATACATTTCTAACTTTAAGATTTGATTTTGGTTTTGCATTATTTATCAAAAAAATTATCTCTAATTCTATCAAATAAAACATATATTTTTCTGTTTAATGTATTAAAAAAAAAAAAAAAATTTCATTAAAAAACATCACATCATATATTTCTTTTTATATCACATCAAAATACGATTTTTATCAAAAAATTTACTATTCTCAAATAAAAGTTCAAACTTAAAAAAGTCATGATTCAATTTGCGGGCTTGAAATTCTTGTAATGGAGTGACTATATTAGGCTACCTAATGTTATCCTTTGTTAGAGTTTTTGAAAGTGTTTTGAAATGTTCTGTTAATATTTGCAATATATATATATATATATTGTATATTGAAAAAATAGGAATCAAAATACAATCACTCACTATTAAAGTGTGTTAACATATATTTTTATTTTAGTTTTGATGTTTTAGATTTCAAAAAATTTTAAGTGAAAATAATTATATATGATATTTATAATGAAAGTTAGTATTTGATATAAATTTTTAAAGAAAAGAAAAGAAAAAAAAAATGTAGATTCATTAATACAAATATAAGAACAAAAATAAACACATCCTGATATTCTAATTAATTGAGTTTTTTTTTTTCCAATTTTTTTTAATGTATTACATTATAATTTCTTATAAAAATGTAAATATCCTTTCATTAAACATCACATCCATTCATTATTTAAACACAAGCCTTAGGTCTATTTTTGAAGAGTTGAATTTAAATTTTAGATTAGAAATAGTAAAAATTCTAAATTAAAATATTATGTGATATGTGATGTGAATCAGTAATGATGTTTTGGGGGGAAAATATATATATATTAATATTATATAATATATTAAATAAAAATAAATAAATAAATATTTAATAATGATTTAAAGGAATAAAAGTTACGAATAATACAATGACAAAACTATACAAAACAAACCCTAGAGTTTCTTTGTCTAACTTGCTATATTTGACCATTTTTGTTTGGTTGAAAACAATATATATGTATATATATACATCAATGGACTTCATCGTTGGTTGAATATGTCCCACGTTGGAAAAAATGTGAAACTTCCTTAGCTTATAACGTTGAAAATTTGGATTTCTTCTTAACATGGTCATTGGAAAAAATGTGAGAACTTTCGGATTCCTTTTTGACATATTGATTCTGTATGAATTTTCGAAATTATCATCTCGAGGGGAGTGTTGAATATATCCCAAAAGTACACACTAGCTAAACTCTCGGTCGAATATAATACCATGCAAACTAGGTCCGACAAGGCAAATTACGTTAGGTTAACTACTTGTGGCATGATATTGTGTTATATTTTAGTTGAGTCAAACTTCTTGTTATTTGTAACTTCAAATTCATATACCTTATTTTTTTTAAATATACACTATTATTTTTATATATAAAAAAAAATGGTATAAAATTTTAAGTATTTGTATTGTATGATTTATTCATATTTAAAGAATGTTTTGAGTAAACTCTACAATTCTTTTAAGAATATATATTTCACAAAATATTAAATTAAATATTACTCTTTTTGGTATTCATAATTGTACTTAATATTAAAATTTAAATCAAAATTTTTTTTATTGTCATTTTAAATTTTTCTCAAATGGTATTGGAATAGTCATTGGCGGGCTAGTTAAGGTCTTGAGTTTTCGACGGTTTGAACCCATGAACTCACATTTCAACCCCTACGCCACCAGACCATCCCTGGGACAATAATTTCAAACTCTTACTTTCATATATTGTGTTTGAAGCAAGGACTAGGATATTTCGGATAGCTCAAAACCCATTTTCAACAACATAGACATAACAAGAGGGCTTTGAATAAATTTCAAAACTAAAAGTGTGTCTGTTTTAAAGTTTAGATTTGAATATACGACTTTAGAATAGTAAAATTTAAAATTGAATAGTATTCCATCTAATATGATATAAATAATTATTTGTAATGATGTTTTATTAATATATCTAATGAAAAATATTTAATTTGATAGATTTAAAAGGAAATAACTTGATGAAATAATGCTAGACCAAACATTGAATAAGCATATCCAGAAAGTTGGAAAGATGGAATCACCAAAGGTACTACTGACTCATATAATATATTGGAGAAAATTTTCAACAAATTGAATGCAATAAAGTGGACGGAAGAAGTATGAACTAGCATCATAAGTATAATCCGACAACACAACATGCATGTTAGCATAACACAAATTCAGTATATAAATTAACAACCTATGTTAAATCCACAGAATACATGTTGATTGAACTCAAATCATGAATTGAAAGTAATAGCTCTAAATCGATTAGAACTAATCAGCACCGTAACCAATCCAATGCCACACATATGCCCCTTTAAGGAATCAGCATTTCTTTTTTATCTAAGAAAAAGGCAAATAATAATAACAGTGCCTATTAAAGAGAGAAAAAAGGTATAGCCGCATTTATTTATTTATTTATTTTCCTCACAGAAGCACAAAAACTATGGGGGAATTTTTATATTGAGAACCTCAAAAAATTCCATGTTGATAAAGGGGAACCTCAGAATACTGTAATAATCCAGGCAAAAAGAGTAAATATATCGACGAATTTAATGTGGGCTTAAACAGCTAATTTTTATCCAGGAATCAGATCAAAAACAGGGAGTTTTCCAGAAGGCACCTGGAAGCTATTTCTCATTCTTGTCCATTGCTTTCCTCGCAAGCTCGTACCCGGCAAAGTTCATTGCGCCAAGTGGCGCGATCCAGAAGAACCTGGGAATGGCTCCTTTGAATAATCCAATGGGCCCTTCGTGACTCAGGATAGAGAGCGCAACAATGGATAATGACACTGGTCGACCCTGAGGTGCTGTCATTGTCCTTGTCTTTATTACATCGAATGGAGTTGTTAAGACAGCAGCTATTCCTCCAGACAGTGCGCCAACAGCAATTGTCTCCCACGGGTCTAGCTCACGTCCTATAAGCCTCTGTGCAGCCTGAAAAAAGTGGAAGCCGAAAGCATATCATATGCAGAATTCACAAAATGAAACATTAACCACTCTGTCATCTATGTTCATATATTTTTATATTATGATATCCAGTCAAATTAATTACTGTCAAGACTTTACATTATAAGTCACAACTTCGAGCAGTGTTACCACTTTAAGCATATCGAAATAATTTCCAACAAAAAAGTGCACAGGCATGGAAGGCTCATCTTCGGACAGAAGGAAACCATACAAATTCCTCAAAACTAATTGGCATATCGAGATACTGTCTTCGTATATATTTAGAGCCCTTGAGGAAGCATCAATCATGTATGTTTTTAGACATGAAAATGATATTAAACATAAAAATAGTAGCAATGAAATTTATTTATAAGAATACATGTCATACTGTCATCATAATAGCATAAAAGTGTATGAATACACCGCACATAACTGATCAGGATGCAAATGCACAAATGTAAAATGAACATTAGATAGATATTAAGAGGAAGGCTAGTTTAGAATGTCGCAATTTAGAAGGTTTTGTGTGTTCTTTTTGAGTCAAGGTTGTAAAGATGTGACCCAACAGATCCATAGTTTTTCAGATTTTCACTACATCTGTCTATCGATCTATCTTCCATGAACTGATATCAGCCTTATATGATCACACCATCAACCCCTGAAGTACAAAGATGGTTAAATATAGAATATTTGTACCTTCTTTGATTCAGCATATAGTCCCATGCCAGCAACATATAGTGGAACCTCCCGGCAGAGGGTGGCACCAGTGCCTCGGAAGAAACCCCTGAGACCATCTTGCTGCCAAGTTCCTACAACGGCTTCTCCAACATTGTTGAACAGACCAGCCTGCAATCTTTGCTTCAACACTTCACATGGAATCCGGACTGCTGTTCCCAGAAAAGTGCTACAGAATGATGCCATAGATTGAACCTAAAGATATTATGATCAAATATAAGCAACTCTTCATTTTAGGAGAAACTGCTTGGAATTTAATATTTCCAAATATGAACCAAGGCATCACTTCTCGACTGCCAAAAATAACATTCAATTTACTTTTATAGAAATTCCCTGGAAACTCATCTATCATCATAATAACACTGCCTGTCTCAAGCCAAAATAAGAAAACGGGTACTGTAAAATACTATCCCTCTTTATAACATGGATATGAAAATCCACAAGAACCCTCGGCGTTAGGGGTGTCAAAGAAGTCAATCTACTTGAGATTGAAACTTGCTCTGTGTGACCTCAGTTGTATGGAAAATTTGAAACATGCTCAATTGGGAGCTCGTTGTGTATTGTGAGTTTGAAGCATGACTGATTGAGTATTACCCAGCTGACTTCCCCACCTATAGGGATTATAATACGAGATAATTATCAAGGTTTATGGGCTGTGTGCTCTAATGCTCGTGTATTTTTGCCTTCTTCATACTATACAATCAACGGTAAAGTAATTTCTCGCCAAAAGATATTACATCCAACATATATTTTCCGATAAAAAGAAAAAAGAAAAATCAAGAACACAAGAAGAGACGCTCATCATTTTATATATTCTTATAATCATAGTTTGCATAAATATTTTCTAACCAACTTATATATTAAATTAAAATATTTCTTTCTCATCATCTAATAAAAGTCATAATTAACCTGATTGTAATTTTCATACTCAAAAATTTGTTGGATTTTTGTTTTATAGATGAGCACACTTGAAATCAAAATAAGGTACTCCAATCCAATTTGAACTCGATAATAAACAAGTCAAGCTTAAGCATATTACTACTCAATTCCAATTTGAACGATAAATATAAATGAGCATTAATCATTTGATCAGTATCGTAGAAGTTACAAAATTGAATAGAGTTGTAGATTAAAAAGGATCATTCACAATGGATACATACATGGTAAATCAATCTTACTCCAGCAAGACTTGGAAACTAAATTTCTGATATCCAACAAAATTAGAAAACTATTATGAAAGCGTACTCAAATTAACATGTGGAGAAGGTAATGAGAAGTATCGAAGGGTAGTAAAATAGTGAGGTAAAGCATCTTAGATTATGTGATGCCTTGTCACTTGTTTATATGTAAAATCTAACTTAAAAGGGGAAACAAAATGTAATTATATTAAAAAAAAAATGGTTTAAATAAATAATAAATTAATTATTTCCCAACTATGACCGGGAAGGGGGTTAGAAAACTCAGTACAGATAGAACAGTATCCAAGAGAAATCTCACTTCTTAGGAACATTAATAATTCTTGAAGGCTTAAGAAAAGCTAATCAAGAAAAAAAAAAAAATTACCTAAATTACGTTGAACAAGTGACAGAACTCAATATAAAATCATAAAAATGTTGGATCAGTTATCACATCAAACAACTATTCCAATTCAAAATTTTACTATTCTAAAATCTAAACCCCAAACCCAACTCCCAAACCCACAAACAAACGCACCCATTATAAAGGTCTTATTAGGAATCAGCAAATGAAAAGTAGAACACATAGTAGACATCACATGGAATAATACAACTGGCCAAACAAAAATAATCGTGTGGCCCCTTATCAGTCAAAAGGAAATAAATATATAGATTACAATACATAATGAAGGTAGCGTTAAACAAACATATTGAGAAAATGCATAAATGAACAATCAAAACTGCAAAGTATTAAACATTTGGAAAAGGTTGTATTCATGGTGAAATTAAAGCAGCTAAAAAGAGTAAGTAATGCACATGGCCCAAAAAAAATACTAAAAGTGGCCTTTTGAAGAACTTTATAATGAGCTAGATAACAAGGCATGTGAAGAAGGTTTAATGCAGGCATGTGTAATAGCGAAATTGAATGAAAAGAAAACAAAGAGAATAGCATAAATATATATAGAAGATGAAAATGAAAATGTTTTAGGTGATGAAAGAAATGGAGCAGGATCCAGTGCTAACTACTGTGTTGATTTTAGGAAATTGTCCTCTTTAGTTGAACATGCTGTATTCATAAAGGAGATATGGTGTTTTTATAAGAGTGAAATATTGTGGCTTTTAAATTTTAGAAGGTAGAGAACTAAAGTTTCTGTTTATGTATGCATGCACGGACTATAAAAATATACTGAATATTTACATATGAAACATTGACTTAAGGCATACAAGATGTTGAGTGGGGATAAATAATTTAGCTATTCCATTGTTCAATAATAAACTTGTTCCTATGTTGCTTTGTATTATTTAATATATTGCATATAGATGTATGATATGTTATTTTCATTATACCAATATGTTGTTGAATAAATTAATGTATATTCACTATTCAGAATACTCATTTATTCATGTGCTAAATTAGCTATATAATTTACTTAATAAGTGTATATGAAACACTGACTTATAATATACAAAATGCCGAATGTTAATCAGTGCCAGAATCCTCCTCCATAGAAATATAAGACCATTGACGATTTACTTCAATGATAAATAAAGTCATCGAGTAAAAAAACCTGAAAATGGAAAAGCAATAATCCAACTATATTCTAATAGAAGATTGGGTGTATTTAAGAGAATATGCAATCACCAAACTTACAAGGTCAGTTAACACCGTCATGGAAACATGAAAATTGCCCAATGAATGGAGGAAAACTACCTAAGCACTTAATTCAAGAATAATAGAGGATTACAAAACAGTACAAAGTATAGAGGGATCAAGTTAAGAAGCAACATTACAAAGCTATAACAAACCACAAGCAAGGTTGAGAACACAGAATAGGTATCAATAACCAATTTGTTTACAATAAAGTGAAAATCATCTAAATTATTTAAATAGTAACCTTTAAAAAAGCATATGACATTGTGAACTGATACATAATGTGACTAGTCTTAAATACGAAAGATATAATAAAAGAATGGAAGAGGTATGGTAACTTAAACGAGTCATAGAAAATGGCTACTACACTATAATGTGCAGTGACACCTACAGGATAAAACAAAGTATTTACAATTTATAAGAATCAAGCCAACTCTAAAACACCCCACCCCAAACTAAAATGGGAAAAGTGCATAAAGGATGCTCTGTAATTCTAATTCACTCTAAGATAGAAAGAACAATTTATTGGAACAACAATGCTCCACAGGGCATGATTGAAAACAGAATGTTGCCACATAGATGTGCAGGTAAACTGTACTAAATAGAATATGCAATAAATGCACTAGAGATGACAAAAAGAGAGAAATTATTATATGATAATTTGAGCAAGACCTTTCAATGGCCTTTACGTAGAAAAAATAAGGATGACTCAACTTATACTTGAAGGGGATGAGAACACCCTAGAAGAAATGGGAAATAAACTACATTTAACCCCAAAGGAAAATAAACATGATTCATATAATAGCCTTATAGCCAAGACCAAGACCCTGCCAACTTTCCACAATGATTCAACTAGCTGATAGAACTTAGAAGCATGACTGTAATTAATGAGCAATTTATTGATGTTGATTTCCTAATCATTGGAATTTGATAATGATAGCCATGCATATATAACAATTGTATGTACCACATGAGATATCATCTAATCAGAGAAGCATGATCATGGTGATCCTTACCTGTAGTTCCGGCAGTGTAGGAGCAACATTTACCAACACAAGTTTGCTCGCTTCAAAAATTCCTGTACGCAAACCATGGCTGCAATACCACACTCTTAGCATCTAGGATGGAAGTAGACATTCAAGAATGGAAGGAAGGAAAAGGCAATAAATTCATACCTTGAAAATTGCCCTAATATTGCTGGAATGGATCCCCTGTACAATCCTCGGACACCAAGTTCAGGAAGCTTCGACAGAATTTCTGGGAAGCTTAGGGTTGAAGCTTGCACCCGTGTCTGGAAACAATTCAAATTAGTGAAATCAAATGACAGGGAAAATGTATATACTTTTCAAATTCTGTATTCAGTTTTTAGTTCATGGGATTTGTTGTACATTCCTGACCTAAGTATTATATAACAATTCAGTATTAACCACCAAATAACAAGAAAAAGTAGAGTTGCAAATTGCAATGCACTGCACTACAACCCAAATACAGAGTGCAGGATCACAGCGCTTTAGCACTTTCTGAGAATAACAATCAGTGTGTATTTTTTGAAGACTGTTGAAACCAATAAAGTACTTAAGCACAATATTTTAAAATTTTTTTTTTCAAATATTAATTAAAAATCCAAATTCAAATTTTTTAAAAATACATGAGGCTTTAAATTTGCTTGTTAATCCAATTCTTTATCAAGCCACCCATATAATGTGTATATTTTTATTGTATATAGAACAAAAGAATAACTTAAATATATACGCCAAAAGTCTTTTCCAAAAGAACAAAGATGCCTAAATTCACAAAACATACAAAAAGTGCACTCCCAAAAATTAACTAGGCATACAGTATTGGAAAAGTTCAATTTTTAAATGAAAAATCATATTCTTTCCAGCTTGCTATTTTATGCCACACTAGCTGAAGGGCCTACCTGTATGACACTATTTAACCAAAGTTGTTTGTAAAAAAACATAATAAAAAATCCTTATAACAGCTTTCACAAACATTTGAGCAAACTTGTTAATGGAACCAAGTTCGATTAGAGTTTCCAGGATGTTCCCTCAGGGTATGTTTATTAATATATTCATCCATTATATGTTCTTTAACATAATGACATTGGTTCCTCAAGCAATTTTGAGGTTAGTATACAGGAACTAAACGTACAAAGAAATCAGGAATGTTAGGGGGTAGAAAAAAAAAAGTTTCAATAATTCATTTTCATGAGGAACTAAAACAAAACATAAAAGGCACTAATATAATAAATAGAAAAGTATGAAAATTTAAATTTGGATGCAATAAATTATTCACAAATCTGTACCTTAACTGTGTCGACAGGATAAAGAAAAGATGTTGATAATGCAGAGGCAAGCCCTCCAGCGAGTGCGGATTTTAGAACGCTCCCAGCAGGTATTTCAATAGGAGGAGGAACAGCAACAACAGTTGCAGCTTCAAACCAGATGCTTCTGTATTAGCATAAAGCAAACGTGAGTGCGAACCATACCATCAGTTTCGGGTAAAAAACAAAAATAAATAAGCAATATGCAAGTTGATTAGGGATTAGGGCCAGTACTAAAATAAATACTCAAATCCTTTACAAATGTACAACCCAAGCAAGATTTTCTACGGCTGTGCAACTCCAACTCAGAACAACAAATGGCTGATCATTATTCTGAATTATATACTGTCTTCTCAGCTTATAATCTATTGCACCATAAGCTATCAGACAACAATAAATATTATGCGTAGTAAGACTAGCTATCTCAATGAAACTGGTCTATATTGTTAAAACTCCTGCATAAAAGAAACACGGAAAAAAAATTGGATATGTGTATTAGAAAGCATCAAGTGTGGTCCCCTGGGAGATTTACTGCATATCAGATCTTTAAGGTAAATATAAAATATATAGGGATTTCAAAAAAAATCAAGAAACTTTGGAGAGCGGATCCTGTTACTAAGTATTGCTTTCGTGCTTTTTCCATATCTGAATGCAAGTCAAAGATACAATAAACACCCTCTGTCCAGTAAAATGAGGTCACTTGAGTCTGGCATGGAAATTAAGAAAATGAATATTTTTTTGAAAATTTGATAAAAATAAAAAAGTAGTTTGGGGTGTTTTTGAAAACTTAGTTAGAAATTAAAAAAATGAAAAAGAGATAATGTAATAAAATTAGTGGAATTTGTTGTAAATAAGTGTTGAATAAAGGATAATACTTAAATGTTAGATCTGTTGAATTTGCTAAAATGAGTTATAAAGTAAATTTAACGGACACACTAAAAACGAAAGTAGAAATAAATTTGGCGAACGGAGGAAATACTTCGTAAAATACTAAAATATTATAGGCATCCAGGTTGCAAGCATATAGCAGGCACTTACAGGTGGAACATATAAAATGTTAACATTCTAATCATACAAATAAAATGTGTTTGAGAGAATTAGTTAAGATTTGTTAGTTCTAATGACTAGCTACGATACTTTAAAGAAAGATCATCAAAGTTTATATAGAATGCTAACTAGCAGAAATACTATTCATATGCTTCCCAAGTAATACAGTGTCCTAATAACTAAAAGCCACTATTCTGCCTTCTCTGTTCACTACCATACAAAATATGCTCAAACAAAACTCAATAACCAGGACTTTGACATATAACATCATTTTCTGAATAAAAACCTACAAAGAGCAAGAAAGAAAGAGGAACCTTAATTTACCGTGGATCTTCTTGAAGTCGATCTGATGGAAGCAAAAGCATGAAATTTCTGAAATGGCCATAAGATATAGATTCCTCAGTGTCCGCATTCAAAAATCGCATCATGGCAACAGCATTATCTTCATTTGCCGGAAGTCCTGCATTCTCTAGTGATGACAGAATTTCACTTTTTTGAAGGGTCCCTGATTTGCTTAAACAGAGACTGGTATAAGCTCGAAGAATGATTGGTTCTTTTTGTTCCATCAAGGAAAGAAATTGTTTCCAGCCAAAAGATTTTGAAAACAAGTGACTCCTAGTGCGTCGCATAAATTCATGAGCATATCTCTTAGGCAGTTTTCTTTTTCTCATAGCAATTTCCAAATCTTCCAGAGTAACTTGCCCATCACCATCTCTATCCAATTCCTGGAAAAACCTTTTTCCTGCAGAAACTGAGGTTTAGATGCACATATCGCAAAGATTCAAACCATATATCAGCTAGTAGAGAAATCACATATCAGCTTCATAGAGTAAAACAATCAGTGCATATTAGAAGGCATACAAATTACAAGGCTTCTGTCTCATGGCCCACATAATTTTACCATGTACACTCTGCATATTGCATGTTAACTTAATCGACTAAAAATTTCCATGTAAATCAGGAAGTTCACAACTATATTGACTAAACAGAATCTCAGTTCTCTAGCAAGGAAACAGATGTGAGTACTTTCCAGTACAATCTTCTGCTAACAGCTCTATTCACACCAGTACTACACAGAGACAACACATAAATGAATGGAAAGAAACTCGTTTGCAATTGAAAATACACATAAAATGGTGGCAGTTGAAATGGCTAGAAATATACTAGATTCTATACCAACTAACTATGACTTGTAGTGGCAACTCTTTCATATCAATTTATTCCTTTAGACTAAAGAAATGATATTCTTACAAAGTTCTTTCCAATTCAAAGAGCAACTATCAGATAAGAAAGGGTCTAGTCAAAGTTAGAGAAGTTCTAGGTAAGCAAGAATTCCTGCAACATTTAATCCAACTACTGCTTACAGCAACACATACTAGTTTCCTAATCACTATCTAATTATTCTGAATTTGAAAGAATGCTTATGTTAGACCAAACAAAAAGTAGCAGAATAATCAACTCAATGAGCAACAATCTGCTAGTATGCTTCAACACATAAAGTAAAGAAGAAGCTATCATATAGTTCCAAAAACCTCAGGAAAACGGTAACCCCGAAAGATTGCAAATTCAGGTAATAATTTCCACGCTCATCAGTCATCACAACTATCACAAAAGGATTCAAGCATTCAAAGAAGCAAAAATTAAAGCAAAGAGATAATCATATTGCTCGCAGAAATACAGATATGAAATCCAATTCATCATCAACAAATATCAACAGGCAAATATACACGGAAAGACAGGTAGCAGCTGTTTAGGTAGCATATCTCCAAATAAGTTACTAAAGACTCGATGTAATGCACATCTATCCATTTGAAATAGAACTGAGTAAAAACAAGTCCAACCAAATATCAATCAAATATAGGAATATGCTCATATAATCTTGGAATATTTCAGGCATATACAGGGCATTTGAAATGAAATACATGCCTTCGGCTTCAGTGTATCTGAAGAAATCTTGGACCGAGAACAGTTTCTTCTTGTCAGGATGCTCATCTTTTGAAGCCCGTCCTAATGGTGGGAGAAGCTCAATCAGTTCTGTCAACGACACGGTTGACAGTGTAGATCTCAGACGCTCAACATTGGACAACGGAATGCTGAGCAAACTGTTTCCCAATTTTTGCGGTGAACTGCTTCGACTATCTTCCTGATTGACAGCATTTCCAACTCCCTCCTCTCCAGCATCTTTTACAGCAGGTGCTTCAACTATACCTGATGGCACACCCCCAACTCGTGCAAACATCAAATTTCCCAAGAATCCACTCAAATCGGCTCGTTTACCTTCTACAATACTGGTGAATGCCTTAAAATGGTCAAATTGATTTGTTGGCCCGGCCAAATCATCAGAATCAAACCCCTTATATTCTTGATTCTGAACACCAACATCAAACTTTGGAAAATAACTCAATGGATCAGTCACAAATCCCACCAAGTAGTCAAATGGTAATTCTTTCCCTTCTTTAACCTTATCCTTACTCTTTCCAACAACTTCGTCTCTTCTGTTCCTTTTCCCACAAGAAACTTCCTTATCACTCTTCCACTTAAACACCTTTTTGTCAGAGCTCAATGTGGTTAGGAGAGCTTGTACAAAACCATTGATCAAAAACGACAATGCCATCTCAAGATGCAAGCTACCATCATGGGATTTCTGGTCTCTTTCACCATTGCCAATCCCATTACCCTCCTCCGGTCTATTTTTCGTCGTCGTGTTCCCATTTAATTTCCCTCCTACACCAAATTTGGAACAATCATTCACCCCACAATTTTCCATGAATATCCCAACAATAACCTTAATTGGGGGGCTCCTTTTCCCTTGGGTATCGCCAATGACATCATCTCGATCAATCTTCTTCTTCTTCTTCACATTCAACTGAGCAGACAGCAGCTCAACTTTAGCACCACCCACATATCCATTCAAATTCCCATTTCTCAACACATCATTAAAGCAGTGCTCGAAATTCTTGGCAACCCTCCGAAACTGAGATTCCAGAGGCAAAAATATATTCTTCACAATCTGAATGTTATTCAAAAACGACTCCACCGTATCATTGCCAGACACCACCATCACTCAAAACCCTAGCTTAACCGCAAAATCAATCAAGAATTCCACAGCTCCAAACACAAATTACACCATCAGGCATGCATTCCATCAATCAAGAAACACAAAACCTCCCCATGATTGCTAACGATCAAAACGCCCCTCCCAAAAATTAAAAAAAGAATAAAATGCAGACCCGTCGAAGAACGACGCCTTTCAACTTTAATGGATTGCTTCGGCGAAACTTTCGAGGTGGGCTCTGCTCTATATGCCTAACGCGCTGCTCTGACTTCAGATATGCGAACACACACATACATACATGGACATAGATTTTTCAGTTAAAAAAAAAATTAAAAAATGAAGAAATGGGAGGTGTGCGTCTACGTTGCATAAGCACATTCTTTCAATTGGGAAGACAAACAAGCCAAAAAGGGATCGTTTTTCCATCGGGAATTAAGATTTACAGTAAAGGGTGGGTTTCATTTTATGAGGCTTGAAAATTTTTGGATAAAGGGTATTTGTGAGTACGCAGTTTTCTAAAATGAGTCGAAGATGTGGATTGGTGATAGCGTCGATGAACAAGTGGGAACAAAACAAGAGAATATTATACTCCATTTCATTTCAGATAAAGCAAAATTTTCATATTAAAGGTATTTAATTGTAATTAATCGAATAGCGACTGTCTTTAATTTTGAATAAAGTATGATTGGTATATCAATTAATAAAATTCTCTCATTATTAATAGAAGTTTTGAAATAAAGTATGATTAGTATATCAATTGAGGGCGTTTCAATTGCCTTTAAAAAAAAAAAAAAAAAAAAAAAAAAAAAAAAAAAACGGTAATTGAATATAAATAAGTTGAAATTATTTTATATTAATATAAATGTATTTTTTTACTCTCTCCGTCTCGAAACTATAATATTAGTTATGTTGAATACGGAATTTAAGGAGTATTATATTATATTGATAGCACATAAAAAGTATAGGTGAAAAACCTTGTAAGTGTATTAGTGTAAAAATAATAATGAAAGAGTAAGAGCAGTTATATCAGATACAGTTATTTATGAAAATAAAACTATTATTTTGGGACGGACAAAAATAGTAAACAAAACTATTGTATTGTAACGAAGGGAGTACAATTTATTTAAGAAATTTTTAAATTCTTTTAATAATTTTAAATTATCTAATATAAATTTTAAGTTTTAATTCAATTATACTCTTATCCAGAAAAATAATTAATTTCAATCCGACAAAGAAACTAAGAAAAATAGACTCGCACAAATAAAAACAATCTTACCTAAGTTCAGAGCTATCTAGAGTTAAATGGCTAGGGACCGAGCAAAAATCTCGGCGTGGATAAAGAACATAGGAGCTATAATATCATGATCCATTAGCATAGTACATATTTCTTTTTTTTCAAAGTTTGGCATGCTATTTATCCTTTTGTTAATAAGTCATAAGTTGTACATATAAAGGTTCTGAGATTTCTGGACATACGTTCAAACAGTTTATGGCGATATGATATTGTGAATTGTTTATGACTCTATACCTACAAATGAGTTTTACTTCAATATCATTGTGCTATTTAGATTGACATCTGTGTTCTTATCTTATCCGGTAGTTTAGAAAAGCAAGTCATTACTGAAGATGCCGTATATAGGTTGATATTGTTCTACATTAAGGTTGTTTTGGTTAGGAAAATAGATTTGATTTTTGGTTTGATGCATTTATATTAGTTACACTAGAATAGTTTGATTCTATGCATATTTTTTTGTTTGAATAACTAATATGACGATATTATAAGATTGTTGGGAAAAAAAAAAAAATCTATGTAAGGTATAGAGAAATGTGTAAAAAAATATAATAATAATAATAATAATAATAATAATAATAATAATAAGTGTATAGTGTAGTAATTTTTTGGGAAAACTGTGTGGAAAAATAATATGAAGAACAAACTCTTATAGAATTGTTTCAAACGAAGGAATTTCTCGTTGATTGCACGAGTTAGACAGCAAACCCCCAAGCTATGGATTCACCTTCGCTTTCAATCAATTTCGAGAGTCTAATTCCATCTGTTGCCTCTTTATAATCCGTTGAGTGACCCGTGGAGGTTTAGTTGTTTTCTACCATAGGTTGACCCAACCCAGTCCTTTGGTACTAGGGTTGGCATCTTTAAAATACATGTTTGATGTGTTTGGTTGATATTGTTTATATTAGTTTGATTAATCAATTTTATGCTATATATTTTTTCTTAAATTATCATTTTGATGTTATCCTACAGTAGGGTTGTTTTGGTTCATTAATATAGATTTAGTTATTAATGGAATGCTATGTAAATTAGATATATTATTAGTTTGATGTTATCCATTAGGCAAAAGAAAATTTGTTTCAACGTTTAACTTTATAGGTATGAAATTTTTAATTTGAAGATTTGTATAATAATTTGATTGTTCAAATTGATGTTGTATATTTTAGTTCGGATTAATAGTTTGATACTATGCTACATTACCATTGTTTTGGTTTGGGATATAGATTTGATTATTAGTTTGATGTTGTGTATATTAACTTGGGTTTGATTCTATGTATTTTAACTTGGGTTATTATGTTTCATATAGTATAATGTTAGGGTTGTTTTGGTTTGGATTATAAGTTGGATTATTATTTTGCTCAATGCATGTTAGTATGATTATTTGCTTTATACAATATATTTTAGTTTGATATTGTCTTACCTTTTTAATAATAATAAAAAGAAAATTACATAAGAAAGGGAGTATATTCAAAGAATGACTATGGAATACATTTATCTCTTTTATTTTATAAAATTTACATAATTATGTTTATATTTCCAAACAAAAAAATCAAATTTTGAGGACTAGGGTATTATGTACAAATTTTATATTAACACAAAAGAATTTCATCTTATACTCCACCCCGGATCACATTTATCATTGTATTAACTTCAAAAACATCTTTATATTTGTATAATTTTTTTTTATAAGATGCTAATGAAAATATTTTTACAAATTTTTTCTTTAATATACGTTTTTATATAATATTTAATATTCAAATATCAATACGCAACAAATAAATTAGACTCTTAGAGTCGAAAATTTAACCAAAAAAATAATAATACCCCCAAACAAACCATGCATATAAACACCAACAAGAAAATTTTCCTCAAGAGATTAAAGACTTAAAAGGCACATTTAACTTAGGTAGCCAATCAGGCAGCATGAGCAGTAATAACAAAGCTAACAAAATGAAACAGCACTACTACACAAACAACATATTTCAAATCAAGAATTTGATGAGTTGCAGCAGAGGCCATGGATGATCATGATATGATACCTACCTTTCTTGTTTACATGTGTTTGGCAAGGATGGCCTCCACGACGCCTTGGGCGATAGGGTGGTAACAACTGCACGCTTCCAAGAACAACCTCTTTGCAAATATTTTCTCTTCTTCTTTACCGGGGCCCTGCACAAGAGCCGTATAGAGTGGGCGCAGATATTTCATTCTACCGACTTCTTTAAGTGTTTTCTCCACCTCGTTGTAGTAATTACTGCACCTCGACGATATTGCAAGCTGGAGAAACGCCACCTTCACCTCATAATCTTTTGATTCTGACAGCCGGTAGCGAGCATCCAGAGCCAACACCTGAAATGTAGCCGAATATTTAAGCAAGGATTTTCCCTCAACTCTACTATTCATCCAATACCCCCCCCCCCCCCCCCCAAAAAAATAAAAACATCAAATCAAATAACTATTTTTCATTTTTTATATCATACTAAAAATTAATTTTACATTCAAAATATTACATCTAACACCTATTTATATCAGATCAAACAACTATTCCAATTCAAAAATTTTACTATTTAAATCCCAACTCAAGATCCAAACCCTCAAACAAACACACCCTTCGTGTTTGGAAGTAAGAATGTGATGACATGGCAATGTACCTGCGAAGCCTCGATGGATTTAGGAAGGTTTTCTATGTAAAGCTCCCATTCCTGACCTCCCCAGTTTGAAACTTCGTCCTCATTTGGGATCCGGCCTGACTTGAACTCATTGGCCAGAGAAAGGATTTTTGCATAGATATCAGAAGCAGGCTCCATTGCATCGGGCGGAATGCCGGTGCCCTCAGTCCATAGTTTCAGATCAATATGATCTTCTATACCGGGAACATTCGCTTTTAGAAAATCGAGGAATGTTTCTGTGTCAATGGACTGGAACTTGAAGGCAGCAATGTACTTCTTCAGAAATTCGTCGAAAGCAGGCCTGCCAATCTGAGGACAAGAAGGCAAAGAATCAATTATGCTCTTCGAGGATGATAGAAAACAAGAAAATAAAAGGTATGAACATGTGAACCTGTCTCTCAATGCGCCACAGAAATTGATATCCTTTCTCGTAGGGCACTGATGAATATACGTCGTCTGGATCTATCCCTTGCTGATTGTTTTTCAATTTTGTGAATTCCATGTTGTCCTTAAACCTCTCTACATCCTCAACAAGTCCTCTCCAACCGATTCCAATATTTAGTACAGCCCTCTCTTTTCCTTGCACAATCTCAACAATTCGCCGCTCCGCATATGTTGTGAAACCCTATAAGCAAAGGCCAAGTGAAAGATCACAAGTAGTAACAATGATATCCACTTGTCGTAGTACAAGGCAAGAAGTGAAGTAGGACATGAAAAAGGATAGGGTTGAACACTGCCTCTCAATTACTAGAAGAGCTATCTACATATAACAAGGTCGAACATTTATAATTTTTTCATCCAAATTTGCATCTACCGTTCTCCAACCTTTGCTAGCCTCACAAAAATTTCTAAATATATGATACGTTATCTGGTTTCACCTATTACTAACAAGTAAAAGATTGATTGGAATACAATTACAGGTTTACTAACATCAAATAGATGCTTTCATAACTAGAAACCAAAATGGTCACAGTTCTTCATTCTTTTAAGATCTTAAAGGTACATCATAATATAGATTTTATCTTTCTTTAAGGTTTTTCATTCAATTTCTTCCGTACATTTTTATATCTAGCCAAGACAAAGGTATTCACACAAAAAATACCTCAGAGGAAGAAGAACCTAAGTTGTCCAGTTATATCATGTAAGACATATATATATATATGTATATCAGAGGAGAGACCAGCAGTGCACATACAAAAGCATTAGCAGTAGATCATTTCAGCTTTCTCTTAAACATTCATTAGAAAGAAACGAAGCTGAAGAGATCACAAGAGGAATCTCCCTCTTGCTTGGCAAGGCATCTATCAGTTTGACACTAATTTGCTCAAAATGTGAAACACAAGCATGTGACTACCACAACTAAACTTGCGTGCACATAAAAAGCTACACAAACCAGTAATCCGATGATAGAAAAAAAGAATACGACTATATGATTAACAATCAGCAGCCACAGCTTTATACGAAATATCAAGAGAAGCCGGGCTAATTTTTAATACAGTGGTTGATAAAGGACCATTCAGGTGCATCTACTTAAACCTTCCAGTTTGTGCAGATAATAGCATCAGCCATCAAGGCATCAAGAATTCGAAAAAATAAAAATAAATGATCTTAAATGAAAGCACATATCTCAGACCTTAGCATCCTGAAATACAGATATAAATTATATGGTGTTGAAAACCAAGAATATACCTCGTTCAGCCAGAAATGCTCATTTGTCTTGTTGGTTATCAAATTCCCTGTCCAGCTATGTGCAAGCTCGTGAGCCACAACCTGAGCTCCGGACGCATCCCCCTTGATCACAGTAGGAGTCAAGAACACCATCCGGGGATTCTCCATTCCTCCATAAGGAAAACTCGGAGGCAAAACCAGCAGATCAAACCTCTCCCAATCATAAGGCCCAAACAGCCCCTCCCCAACCTTGATCATCTCCTCTGCCCCTGCAAACTCTCTCGCTGCAGCATCTAGCATTTCAGGGACGGCCTCGGAGTACACCTTTGTTCTGGGACCCAACTCCCTGAACCCTAACTCCCCTACAGCAAATGCAAACAGGTATGGCGGCACAGGCTGCTCCATCACAAATTCCTCCACAGTTCTACCTTCCCCGCACCACAGCGAGTCGTCGCACGCGCCGTTGGACTCCCCGGAGACAGGGTCCCTCCTATTGACGTGCCTCGCCGCCATCACCGCGGACAAGTACTGCGGGATGTTCAATTTCGCGGAGTATTTGATGCGAGCGGCGGGGGTGTCTTGGCAAGGGAAAATGGATCTGGCGTGGATGGCCTGGCATTGAGTGTAGACGAAGGGGACGGACTTGTTGAAGGTCTGAGGCGGGGAGAGCCACTGCAGCGCGGAGGACGACGGCGAGGTTTTGAAGATAAACAACAGCTGCGACTGGTTCGAGAGAGTGACGGTGACGGCTTGCCCGAGAACGGCGTCGGAAGAGACGGGCTCGAGCGTGAAGGGGAGGGCGACGAATGTGACGGGGTCAACCACGGCGGAAATGGAGAGGGAGCGGGAGTCGACGGTGAAGGCGCCGGAGTGAGGGGCGGAGAGGGAGAGGAGGGCGGTGGCGAGAATGGTGGAGGATGGGAAATCGAAGTAGAAGGAAAGGGAGATGTGGGTGGTGACGGGGTGGGTGGAGTCTGTGTAGGAGTGAGGATCGACGCGGGGCATTGTCGATCGTTGTCGCGGTCGCGTTCCGGCGGATTCAACGGCGGCCGGAGGAAAGGGAGACGGTGGAAATGGGAAATGGAGGGAATGGGATTAGTGGGAAATGTGAGATTTGGTACTGTGACTGATTATGATTGTAATCTCAGTTGCAGAAATTAGGGTTTTAAAAATTGGATGGAGAAGGGGATTTGGGTATAATATAAAGTAAGTCAACAAAGAGAGTGTGAGAAAATAAATAAATAAATGCTTTATTTAAAAAATGAAAAGGAAAATAAAGTAAAAAAATAAAAAATAAAAATGAATGGAATAACGTAATTAAATAAAAAGGGAATCGGGTGCGTATTACCGACTCCACAAAATGTTGAATTTAATATAACATATTCCTTGTAAATTAATTTTAGTGTGTATACAAAGTGAGAATTTTTATTTATTATTATTTTTTTTTAACGACATGAGAACCTCCCGCAGACTAGGCCCAACAGAAAAGTAGTCGAATCATGTGTCGGATATGAACCTATAATTTCAAGATCACAAATTTAACTCCTATACCATTGTATCATCCTTATATAATGTAGAATTTTGTTATATATTTTTGTTGATTGAGACTATATAATGTAAAATTTTTATTGAACTTTTTATTGAATGTTTTTCAGGTTGTGATTTATTTATTTTTAGTAGTTTATTTACAATGTGAATGTTTTTATTACTTTTATAAATTGATAATTGAAATAGAAAGGTGTGTTTTTGTTGGTATATATAGGTATTTTGTTGTTACACTCTTAATTAAAGTTATGCAGTACTTTATTTGTTTTAAGCATCGTGCAATATTTGAGTTCGACACGAGAATTTATGTGAGTAGTATTAAGTACAAGTAATCAGAGATATTTTGAAAATTAAGCGATGTGATTGGAGAGAAAAATATATATTTATCTTTTTATTTGGATGATGTGATTGAATAAAATAAAATGTATATATATAAATAATAATTAATTATTTATAAATTCGAAAACATTACAATAAATTTGAGACAAACAAAAAAAGTATGCTGTGTCTGAGACGGATGATATATTATATTGATACCACACTAATTATTGATAAAGTAAATAAAATAAAAATAAACATTATAGATAAATATATGATAATCTTGGTAGATGATATAATCTTATACCGATACAAATATATGAATTGACAATATATATTACCTTTGAATTCCATACATCGTAGTCTATAAATTGTAAACTATCAGCACATAGCGTCAAATAACACTAATATGTTGGGTGCTAACACTAATTTGTATTAGGGCCAATCAATATGTGTATAATCCAATAAGAATTAATATGTGATACATTAAATGAAATTTGAAGACATAATTTTTTTATTTTTTATTTTATTTTTTATGATTGTTACTCGAGAGTGGGCACTGACTAAATTCCTGTAATCGGACAAGTCACACCACAAGTTCATCCCCATACCATCGGACGATCTCTTACGACATAAATTTGAAGACATAATTGATGTGGTCCTCACTAGTGACCATATATATTTTGGTAATTTTTTATAATATTAAAAATTTTATTTGTTAATAATTATTTGATATATATATATATATATACTACTCCTAATATAATCTAACCTATGAGTCTATTTTATTCACATAATTAATCACATCAATCTATTCGGGCCGCAGATTCTGACCCGGGATTCCGATTGGGCTACTTATATTTGGGCCTCAATTTATTCCCAAGTCTGGGCCGAATAATTGGTTTACTTCTTTTCTCGTCGAGCCCAAATAATTTCCTGAAATAATTTTGGGATAACAATTTTACTGTTACTTTTTAATTTGGAACATATTAGTTAGTTGTGTTATTTTGTAGATTTTATCATATATTTTTATTATTGAATTTTTTTTTTCCAGAAAATCAATCTAGCAATTATTTTATTTTTTTTAATTATACTATAAATTTATTTTATATTTAAAACATTATGTTTATATCACTATTCAAATCCAATTTTTTACTATTAAAAAAATCCAAATCTAAAATCTCAAACCCACAAACAAACACACCCACTAAAACTTTTATAATTTGTATTTACATACTTCCTTATCTCAATTCCATAGTTGAGCTTTATTTGTTCTCGTTATCATAAATAATCGTATCACAGTAAAATTATCATTAATTTTATTATTATTATTATACAACAAATATTACTATTTTTTTTACATTTAAATTAAAATACTCTAATGATAAAAAATATATTGTGTTTATATTTTATAAATAATCGTATCACTATAAAATTATTTTTAATTTTATTCAATTATTTTTGTTTTGTGTTTTAATTTGATTTATATATATATACATGAGATATAGAAATTTAAGCAGATAATATATTGAAAAAAGTTATTACAAATTTTATAAAAAAAAAAAAAACCATATATGCAATTTTTAATTTTATTTTAAATTAAAAAAACCACAAACACACACACCAAGAACATCTCAAACATTAAATAAAAAGATCAATTATTATATTTTTACCTTGAAACTCAATTAAATTTAAAATTGCAAGAGAGGGCAGGCTGCATATAATATCAAAAAATATTTGGATAAGACGCATATACCCTGACTAAATGCGTTGAACGGTAATTTAATCGAATATTAAATAGATTATAATAATAATATTATTATTGTTATTTATTAAAAACAAAAGCGTACGTAGAGAGAAATAAATAAATAAGGAAGAATTGAGGGGGTAAAATGCAAAAGAAGACCCACCATGGAAAAGGTATATCCCAAAAGAGCCCTCTGTCTGAATTTAACTTGTCTTTCTCTCTCTCTCTCTCTCTCTCTCTCTCTTCTGTTCTCTCTCTTTTGTCGTGTTTGGTCTGCTTTCCTTGGACCCCCATCATCTCCCCTTTCTTCAACCTTCTTGCTTGCCTTGCTTTCTCTGTCTTTGAAAACTGTCACTCTTCTGCTATTACTCGGAGTTGTAGATAGAGAGAGAGATAGAGAGAGAAACGAAACCAGGGAGCGGCGGTGTAGTAATGGGTTGGTTCCTTTGTTCTGGAAAATCCAAGAGGAAAGCAAAGAAACAGCAGGATGCCCAGATCCCGTCGAATATAGGTTCCTTCTCTTCAATTGGAAATTCTGTTCCCAGATATATCTTGCTTTCGTTTCTTGTCCTCCAAGATTGTTGCTTACTTTTTCTCAGGCAACCTCTTTATTTTCTTGATGTTTCTGCATTTTTATCTGCTAATCTTGTGCGCGTGGTGTGTGCCGTGCCCTCTTTTTAAGCATATGTTGTATAATCTTGCTGTTCTTTTTATTTTTTCGATCTTGCTTAGTTTAGCTGGATGTGCTTTTTGAGGTTTTGTATCAATACATCTTATGATTTGTAAGCAGAGCTGTACAGCCGGGGTGGGGTGGGGTGTTTAAAGAAATCACAAAGTTGTCTTCTTGGATTGCATATCATTCAATGCTCCCAAAAGACATTTTTGTTCACCTTCCCATGCTTAACAAGCTTGACATGGATTTGTTCTTCTAATTAATGTAACTTAAGTTTTTTCTTGGCTGTAATATAATGAGATCGGCTCCGTAATTATTACTATGAGGCTTTACAGACTGATTTTTGTTGTATTTTGAATATTCAAGAATTTCCCTAGCTTCATGAATTTAATGTTTATCAACGTTTTAAGGCGAAACACGGCCGTGTTTGGATACTTATTAGAAGCACACAAATTTTCATTTTCTGTAGCCGAAATTAACTTTCTTTCAACTTTTGATCAAGTATTTGTAACTGATGAGGTTGAATATTTATCCTCAAACGTTTTGCAAATGCTTACAAGCTTTAATTGAGAGTAATGTTACTGCCACCGCCTTTATAATTACCCATGGCTTCATATGGTAAGCTTCTATTGTACTAAAACAATTTTTACTATGCGAATCATTTAGGCTATTTGGCTCACAAGAAACCCCAATGATCACCTTAAAGGAACTCAAATATGGTGGTTCCTTGTTGCCGTGATTAAACCCAAGATTTTCCCATTTACTTGATCCGATTATTCAGAATCCTTCCCATATGAAACTTTTAAGATATTCATTCATCAATATTTCCCCGGAAGTTTGAATTTAATTCTAACTGCCAACTCAAGACTGTGGTTCTGATACCAGTTACTGTTGGTGCACTCTACTTCCAATGGATTAGGACTTACAATTTCCCATTCACCGAAGTAGGGAAAGAGTCCCTAACAAATTGTCAAAACACAAATCTTATTGCAAAGTGATCACACAATATGGAAAGAGTTGGGTAATTATATATTGCCAAAAACATACGATTTGGTGTAATTTTACTCCGGAAGTTTCTGATTTTCTATGCATTTATGAAGCTTCATACTTTCTTGGCAATATACATGTTGGATAGCATGTTAGATTTTTATCCTTAGTTCATAGATGAGGTTGTATATGTGTTCTGTTTTGTGGCAAAGGTTACACCCTTGAGCTATGTTACTTCTTTGTCGAGCTTTATATTGTAGATTGTAGATGGAAGATTTATGTTTGTGATCATTTCTGCAATGATTGAATTCATATATTGCTTTGTGTGTGTTATTTATGTGTGAGTTTTTATCACTCTTTAGTTTGCCCATTCATTCAAGATATGGAATAACACATTGACATAGTGGTTAAAGAAAATAAGAGTTTTTCCGATGATGACTTGCACATTATCTTTGGTTTCTATAGTACAATGTAATAAGTTGAAGTTGCAAAATTTGAATCACCTGCTTGGAGCACAATCTGTCTGTGGGGTAGAGTTGTAGTTCTGAGGCAATGGATAAACTCTTACAGATTAATTTGAATCACATCATTTGCGTCAGTTTGGTATACTAATATTTTCTTGATCTCTTCATGACAGAAAAGTTAAAGGTAAATTCTTCATTTGATGCAAAGAAGGAAGCTTCTAAAGATGGAGGATCAGGACATATCGCTGCACACACATTTACTTTTCGAGAATTAGCTTCAGCTACCAAGAATTTTAGGGCAGATTGTCTTTTGGGCGAAGGGGGATTCGGTAGAGTGTATAAGGGACGACTAGAGAGCACCAATCAGGTCTGTTCATCTACCACTATGTAATTTGAGCACAAACCTTAGTTCTTTGCTGGTTAGCTTAAATGGTATTGTTATTTCAATTTGATTTTGGCTTCAACTTCAGATTTAATGAATGGATGGTAATGGTGCTTTATGTGCTTGATAATATTGAAATCCTGTTTTTATTGAATGAATATAGTAAATAATAGCCAATTAGATCCCTTGGATATGGGGAAATGAAAGGGTAAGCTTCTGTCACATTGAGGATATAATTTTCAGTACGGAACAATTCAAGTCTCTGCACTTAATAAACTAAAACAAAAAGAAAGGAAATAAAAAATAAAAAATGCTGGGGGACCTGTTTTATTTTGAGTGCGTGAAGTACCCGAATTTTTGCTGTTCCTTTTCTTGTTAAGAGATTTTTTGCAAATTCAACAAGCATTGGTAATAAACTCTTAACCTGTTTTGAATAGATTGTAGCAATAAAACAGCTTGATCGGAATGGTTTGCAAGGGAACCGTGAGTTCCTTGTTGAAGTGCTGATGCTAAGCCTACTTCACCATGAAAACTTGGTAAACCTGATTGGATATTGTGCCGATGGAGATCAGAGGCTTCTGGTGTATGAATACATGCCATTGGGGTCGCTGGAAGACCATCTGCACGGTACACTTAAATAAACATTTTGTATTACTCCTAATATATGTATTTCTCATTCCATGTGTTAGGAGGAGGTAATGAAATGCACTCGTTCCAAATAAAATGGTACACATCACTTGATTATCTAGTTTTGGTTTAAATGACTCCCAAGTGTTCTATGCTTATCTTAACATTCCATTATGCACATTTATTAACCACAAAGCATTAAGTATTATTTTATGCTGCCCGTCTCTCTCCAGATCTTCAACCTGACAAAAAGCGACTTGACTGGAACACAAGAATGAAAATAGCAGCTGGTGCTGCAAAGGGCTTAGAGTATTTGCATGACAAAGCAAATCCTCCTGTTATATACCGAGATCTGAAGTGCTCAAACATTTTGTTGGATGAAGGCTTTCATCCCAAGCTTTCCGATTTCGGTTTGGCCAAATTGGGGCCTGTAGGTGATAAGACACATGTATCTACTAGAGTGATGGGAACGTATGGATATTGTGCCCCAGAATATGCCATGACGGGACAGCTCACACTAAAATCAGATGTTTACAGTTTTGGTGTTGTTCTTCTGGAGATTATTACTGGCAGAAAGGCTATTGACAATTCAAGAGCTGCTGGCGAGCACAATCTTGTTGCATGGGTAAGAGAGTTTCCTTCTTGTAGTGTTTGTTACCTCTTTGCTATGATGTCTGCTCTGTAGTCTCATTTACTGCTTATGCAAAACCCTTACTTGGTGTGCTGTCTGCAAATTTATGTCAGTCAGATGACTCAGATTCTAAAATACACTTTAGAGTCATTATGGTTAAAGGTGCAGAAGGGTATTATGTTAGACCTTATTAGCTGATATACCTAGGGTGAACTTATTATTTATGATGGGATTATAGTTTTAATTCTAATTTTAAGGATTATGTTTCCCGCTTATATGATAAGATAGAATCAAATTGATCAATTAATATGGGCGTGTTTAGATATGTTTGTAAGTGTATTGGAGTTTTGGATTGTTTTGAAAATACTAAAAAGATTGAATAGAAAATAGATGTTTGATGTGCATAAATATATATAATTGTGATATTTTGAATAGAATAGGTTCCAATACAATATTTTAAATGAAAAATAGGTGTTGGAAGTGATGTTTTTTTAGAGAAATTTTTTTGATGAACAGTGCATAAACAAGATTGAAAACATAAGTAAACTGAGCATATAATAATCTTGGGTTGAAGGATATTTTTAAAAAAGAAAGGTCTCAGATTTGTCATACCACTAGATCTACATTGTAAATACAGTCTGCATTTAAGTTTTTTCTAATGCCAAACTAGCATATAGAAACCTGCTGTAGACTAGTGATGAATAAATAACACTGATTGTGAGGGTGCCGAGGCAAGGATTCTCTTGGAAATTCAGAGAAAGAATAATTTTTTTGACAACTAGAAGTCGATTATTAAGCAAAAGTGAGAATATTATATCCAGATTTACATCTGTATCTGGAGCATGATGAAGTTTGTTTGGTGGCGAATGGAGATGTTCAATGATGCTGAAGTACGATAAAAAATATATAAAAGAAAGCATTGGGACTAGATTGGTATGGGTCTTGTGCAACAAGACAATGTTATGGATTCGTAGATGAATTAATTCCATTGAAAATTTCTTTCCCATACTTTTGATTTGCTAAGCTTTTCAAAATAGTGCTATAAGGAAGGTTTATCTGTTATGGCTGTTTCTCCTGTGTCACCTATCCCTACTTATTATTCAAACATTATTTCTTTTATTTGGGGAACTCTACAAAATGAACCTCAATTTCTAAAATGATAGGGTACGAGTTCTTTTCAGAAACTTCTTTCTCACTTGATTGCAATAACTTTATAATACTAACTTTGCTTGTGAAATGAAAGTCGGATGAAGTTGGACATTAATTAACTTATGAAACTTCTTCTAATTATTTTCAACAGTAATATCAGCGTAAAAGGGAGTGAATGTGAGCAAATTGTCGAACTTTTGAATTTCAACATAACGTAGTGTTCTGCTGTCTATATATATGCTCCATTTTGTTTTGTTGAATTTGAGCAAATTGTCGAACTTGTGCATATTAAATTGCATAATCAAATGACATTTTTTTAATTTATTTTTTTTTTTTCATCTTGATCTTATAAAAATGAGATAATGCTAGCTTCTTTGGTAGCTCTAGTTTTAAGCAATAGAATTGATACTAGATATAAACTCCCATCTAAATTGTTTAGAAATATCTTGGAATCATTTTTTTCGGTCCCCACTGATTGTATAAACTAATACTCTTTATAAGCCGCCATATTTAAGTTGAAGGTAAGATTATAATGTATAAGACCATTTTGAGGATTATTTTATCCTGGTTCCTGGTGGAATTAAGTTACCTTTGCTTCGTTCAGGACCCTTGTCCTTCAAGGTACTCATGATTATTGTGATAACATATATTTTCACCAAAACTCCTTGTAATAAGCTTGTCTTATATATAAAATTTTATTTGTGAGAATGAGTAATTTAGACTTATAATAAAACTAATCTAAAGCCTATTATATGCAAATATAAAGAAATTCTAGTCTAGATATACACCTAATGTAGAACACCATCAATAGACTTCCTTCCCTTAAAATTGAGAATTGGTTTTTGATATATTCACTTAAATTAGTTCATTAGAGGAGCATGCATGGATGATCTACAATAAAATGCTACATGCTATAAACAAGCACAATCATTATATAGAGCTAGCGAGGTAGATATGATGGTCTTAGATTTTTCCTTAATTGTGTATCGTGTGTCAAAGTGCATTGCACTCTGAGGGGCAAGTCTAGTGGCATACAAGTATCATCTAGCACACATTTAGATGCTATGAAAGTTTTTAGCTTGACTAAGATGCCATAGCGAGTTCCTTTGATCCAAGCACAATGGACAACATTGTTCCCTATATATATCCAAAACATCACCAAACTTTTCCATCACAAGCTATTTGGTCTCCTAATGAACCTACAATGTTAACACCTTTGTTCGGAGATTCTTCATGGTGACCTCTCAGCTAGAGATGTTCTTCGTAATAGATGTTTTTGTTTCCCCCTTTTGAAACCTTCCTTACGAATTGGTCGATCACCTTTTTCCCCTTTACCCCTTAGTCTTGAGTTTGGCCTAGAGTTGGTAAACAAACCGGATAGTCTGCGAGGTAAGCCTACCTGGCTCGGTAACAATTCGATTTGACTCATTAATAGAGATAAATGAGCTAAGCTCGAACTTAAAAGTTCTTATTTATATAAACGAGTCGAGCTCGAGCTCAGCGGGTATCTCGATTGAGCTCGTTAGTAATGATATTTTTATTTTATTTTATATAATTATATAGTATATATAATTTTTTATATCAAAATTTGTATTTATCAACAAAATTTGAATATTTTATTATAAATTATGAATAAAATTAGATATATTTTAACTTGTATATTAAATAATATATAGCATATGTATAAAATTTGAGCCGAACTCGAATTTGAACCTTACGAGTTGAGCTTGAGCTTGAATTTGAGCCTAACGAACCGAACTTGAGTCTCTATTTTAGTTTGAATTCTTAATGAGCAAGCCTGTATCACTGACAAGTTCGAGTCGTACTCGAACAACAGATATTCGAGCTCGCTCGGCTTGTTTAACAGTTCTAGGTTGGCCTTCATTAGTTCTTGATCACACTTTTTCAATAGTCCTCCCACACTTCATTCCGCACAACTATCCAATTTTAGAGAGGTTATGCTAAGCCATTCTTTGGGAGATTTGAAGGCTCAAAATGGTATAGTTTTCAACAATGAAGCTTTATCCGTCAATTGGGTCATCCTTGGAGTCTGTCTGACAGCTTGTGGGCAGTGCAAAGCTCACTTCTATAGCATGAATATTACCTTAGTTTCCTTGTTGAATAGCCTCAAGACTTCTCTTATGATCTTGCAAAATCGTCAAGAACCAAGCAAGCTGCCCAATAGAGATGTCTGGATCACTCCTGGTGGAAATTACAGATTGCTCAAAATTTGGCAAACCTGATACAGTCGGAGCAATCATTAGAGACTGTCGAGGCCATTTTCTCTTCATCCTTTCCAAAATTATCGGTATTGAGGATTCAAACATGACATAGGTCTTGCCCATTGTTCACACTCTTGAAGCGATTCTAAAACACTAGTGAGGTCCTTTCCTAAAAATGGTGGTTGAATACGATCCAAAAAATTCTCTTGCATGGATCCACAATTGTTCCATGCCTTGGAAATTAAATTCCTACTTTAACAAACTTTGATCCTTCATCGGTGAAAATCCCCATCATAACATTCCAATATACTCTTAGAAGCACAAATGCTGTGGTAGACCATTTGGCTAAGCATGGCACTAGGGGAATTACTGATATTGTGTTGCTTGAAAAAAATGCTGTGGTAGACTATTATTGATGAGGAAGTAAGCACAAATGTTATAGTTTTTTTCTTGGTGCTAGGTCTAAGCATTGGATAGGAGTAGATACAGACAGGGACGATGCAAAGGTTCTTGTTATAAACCAAAAAGTGGTGGAACTGCCATGTAGATTTAAATATTCACCTAAATGGGAATCATATAATTTCTGTCAGCTGTTATAAATCTTTCTTCCATGCATATAAGATATTAATACAAGATTTTGAGAAAGGGGAGTAAGCTGTACATTTTGAAGTAATCAAGTCGAATGTTTCTCGTATCATATATTATGTGTTCGCTGTTACTTCTATTACAAATATTGTACAGTAATTATCTATCTATCATAAACAAAAATGTTTATTCACCTACAAAATTTTTATAACATGTTTCTACATTCCATGAGTACTTGTTCTATATTATCATACATATATAACCTGAGCCTTCATGTTATTATGGGGAGTGTGTGTTTACTTGTGTTCTGGTTTCGTTGCGATGTTTTGGGTTATATTGGGTTTTGATAATTTTGAGGTGAAAATGGTTGTTCGATGTGATATTTTTTGGAGTGAAATTGAAAATGCACGGCAGATTGAATAGTGCAAAAATGCGAGTGAAAACTCCATGCCTATATTTTTGTGAGATGTGATCAAATGAATTGCATTTGCTTGGATTCTATCTCTCTCTCTTTCCTTGTTTTTTTTTTCCCCTAAGGTATGAAATATTATATACTGATTGTTAGGTTTAAGATTTTTTTTTAATTTTTTTAAAAATTTTTTTATTTTTATGACAGGTTTAAGATTTTTCAGTATATGTTTTTGTTGTAATGAGTAAATTTCAACTTGAGTTTGATTGGGATAGTTTTATTGCATAGTATTGAACTTTGATTTGTTTTGATGTCTTTGGAAAAGTGGAATTATGCTCTCTAATTTAAACTTTTGTATGTAACTTGATGTAGTTCGATTACAACAAAGTCATCAAATGTCATGTCATCTTATTCCTTTACTATTTACTACATTATATACAAATATGCATAAATGAAAATCATATAATTAATATAATATCTATGGTGTTCTTATTGAGAATCCATATATGTGTCATTCTCATCTTTTCTTTTCATGCTAACATCCATTATACTTGTTAAAGCTCAATGAGGGTATAGAAGGTTTGTTTTGGAAAGTGGAGTGAGGCTGAAGTGCTGCAGGACAAAATCATGATGTAGAGACATCGTCTAGCTGTTTATGTTATTAAGTCTTTGGTAATAAATCTAGCAAGTGAGTGCAGCTAGTAATATCCAGAAAATGAATCGTCTGAATCTGCTACTACAACAAGAGTGCTTCTGCAGTTCTCCGCAACCCCATTTAATGGTTTCTTTAGGAATTGTACTTTTGAGAGAACAAAAGAACAAAACATATGTTGAGCTAGAAGGTCGATTCTTTTTCTGCCAATATTATATCGTCTCTTAATCTTATTACAATTCCGAAATGATGGAAAGCTAAATGTGATTTACAAGGTTAAACATTTACATGAAATATAAAGTGGCCATTTGCGCATATATATATATATATATATAAACACACACACTAAGTCCTTTTGAAATACGTGCAGGCTCGTCCTTTATTTAAAGATCGTAGAAAATTCTCCCAAATGGCTGATCCTGCACTTCAAGGTCAATACCCGGCAAGGGGTTTATATCAAGCACTTGCTGTGGCAGCAATGTGTGTTCAGGAGCAACCCAACATGCGTCCACTTATTGCAGATGTGGTGACAGCCTTAACTTACCTTGCATCCCAAAAATACGATCCTGAAACCCAGCCAGTCCAGAAACCTAGCTCTGGCTCATCTACACCAAGAATGCGAAAGGAGCGATGATTCTAGCAGTGGTGAAATGTCTGAAAAAAACATGGCAAGGTGAGAGCCAACGAACGTAGTAATTGTGCGGATTATGAGGATTGCAAGCATTCTTTGTCTGCATCAATGGACTAAGGTTGTCTACCAAATCCTGTGCTAGTCCAACAAGCTCGGGTAAGAGTTTTTCAGTCACTTCAATAACTAGTAATAGAAAAAAAAAAAGAAAAAAAAAAATGGAAGGAAGAAAAAAGGCTGAATCCCAAATCGACAGCATTTTATTTTTGTGAAGTTAGTTTGCGTAGTCTTTCTTCAATCGGTTGGTTTTTATTTACTTTTTTTTTTGCGCAATTGTAGCTTTTTGTTCAATTTTCTTTGTATCCTACCAAACCGTTCGTCACATTTTCTTGATGTGTTGTGACTGCTGATGAGCTGAGCCTTGGATCATTCGAGGTTTGGACAATGGGGCTTTTGTATCTAAAATGTTTATAAACATCGTACTGCTTCTGAGGCTACCTCTGCTTGTAATTATATTTCTAGTGTATTTACCTTCTGGCTTTTTGCTTTGTTTTTTCTGTGGCGATCTGTGCTTAAAGCTTATCTTGATCAGAGACCATCTTTCGGACAATTCTGTGGCATTCTGATCTATAGATAACTATCTAATTTGAAGATCATAGCTCTGATAATTATACATCAAATTCCCCTTTGATTGCTGATCATGTATTTTTATTATTATTCTTATTATTTTAAACTGTTTTTAATCTATTTGTATTGTATTGATTGTATTTACATTGTTTGGTCAATCTGGAACTTTAGTGATGATATAAAACAAAAATATTTGGAAAATTTCAGACACATTTGTTCATCATTCCTTTGCCTTATGTAGTCCATTTATGTGTTGTGTTTGAATAGCATATATTGATTTGTTAGGTTTTTTGTTTGAAGGATTTTTTTCGATTTTCACTATTCATATAATTTTATTTTTTTTTTTTCCAAAAATATCAACTCAAATATCTTTTGTTGTTTATATTATATTTAAAAATTATTTTTATATTCAAAATATTATATTATATCATTATTTCAATTCAAATTTTTTACTATTCAATTCTCCCGACAAAAGACACCCAACCAATGTATCTACTGAATATAAGTTTTTCTATGTAGTATATTAGATAAGCTTGAGAATATTAATGAATAGATTAATATTTATTAGTTATTTATAAATTATTAGAATGATAAACAGTGATTAATTACAACAAATGTTGACCTACAGGTTTAAAAATAATAATCACCACCTATGAATTAGTTGTTGGTGTGGTGTGTTCATTTAATAATTTTAATATAATTAAATTTCCCCATTCGTCCTATAACAAATATTCATTTTCTTTTTTAGTAGACATTACAAATATCCTACAAATGTCATTACCTTTGTCTTTTTTTTTTTACTTTTATTTATACTTTATCCCAATATAATACTAATATTTTTTAAATTTCGTGCAAAAAAAATTAAATAGATATATAGATACGAAACCGAAAGAGTAATAATTATTAGTATTTTTTATTTTTTTATAATAGAAAGGGAAAAAAATGATATAATTTTTATTCAAAAAAAAATAGGAATATATATTTAATGAGAGGCCAAAAGCAAAAAAAAGAAAAAAAAAACATATATTTAAATAATGGAGGTATAACAATTCTTTGTTGAGTCAATACTATGCTTAATTGTATATATCTTTGAACTTAAATATTCAGCCACTAAATATAATTTTAGTCATGAGAGTGTAGATAAAGAAAATTATATTTCTAATATTTATATTTTGGTGTAAATATGTAAGGTAACAATATCAATTATTAATAAGTTGTATTAAGAATCAATTATTTGCAAAAGTACAAATGTGAAACATTAATGAATTTGGAGGAGAGGAAGCAAAGTTAATGCTCTTTTTCTTATAATTTGATTTGATTTATTATTTTTTTAACTATCAAATTATACTTATTTTATAAAAATATTTTATTTTATTTCATAAGATATCACATTTAAATTATAATTTAAATATAAAAATTCAATTGGTGTTTTTTTTAAAGACCTTTTCAGAATTTTTACTATTTATATATTTTTTATATTATATTAAAAATTAATTTTACATTCAAAATATCACATCGATTTCTATTTATATTATCAAATAACTATTTAAATTCAAAATCCAAACCCCAAACAAATACATCATCATATATATATATATATATAAAAGTTTTGAAGTTTTGTAGTAACTTTTTTTTTTTTTTAAAATTACAAAAGAATTAAAAAAAAAAAATAAAAAAATACACTCTCTCTGTCATACAAAAATTCAAAATGAACACACAGTAATAATATGATATTTAAAAAAATAAAATTTACTATACACTACAAGAAAATATATTTGTAACGGAATTCCGTTACTAAAGTTCACGTAGCTAACGTAATTTCATTTCTAATTCCGTCTCTAATGTCATTAATAACGAAAAAACTTCGTTACAAAATTGATAATTTCTTGTAGTGATAATAGTGTAAAAAAATTTGAAGTGTTTCTATAAAGAAAAAATTTATTTTAAGAACACCTTAAAACTTAATTAACGAGTTATATATATATATATATATATATAATCGGAGTCGACATGGTTTCTAGATGATGACTTTGTCAAATATGATCAGAGTAATTAATCTGTTTCTTTGGCCAATGAGTTTGGAAACTCACAGTGTTTGTTACTCTGGAACCCTAATTAAGCGTCAAACCATCCACTTATAAGATAAAATCTGAAGTCTACTTTTTCAAAATAGATAAATACATTTCGGTCTGCACACCTATACGACAGTAGAACTAATTAACGATTTAACGCAATTATAAATTATATTAAATAATATATATAATATCTATATTGTAAAAAATAAAATTTTATATGATATAAATAAATATTTTATTTATTTGTAATTAATATAAATTAATACTTAAATCACACTATTATTAATTATATAAATATAATTTAATATACTTTACATCGTTACATTATTACCTATCTGTTGAAACGTGTCTTGGATTTAGCGGTCTACCCGACCCGAAATCAAAGCGAAAGAATTGTTTCAATTGACAGGGTTCCTTTTGGCTTATCCTAATTAATAACAAATAGGCTTATGGTTTAAGGTGTTTTGGGGTGCTTATAAATAGACAACTATGGTTCTTAGTCGGATGACATAATTGTAAATCTCTGAATCAGTATAATAAAATCTCTCCGGTTCCTGCCCCTGAACGTAGGTTGGCACACCGTCATCGAACTACCTCTGTATAATAAAATCATCGAACTACTATTAAAGAAATCTCTATATAGCTTGAAGCAGTCTCCGAGGCAATGGTACAAGATATTTGACTATTTCATGGTGTCTAATGGTTATACTTGTAACCAGTTTGATAACTGTGTTTACTCGAAGAAAGTTTCTACTGATTTCTTTGTGTATCTGCTGTTGTATGTGGATGATATGTTGATTGCAGCTAAAAACGTGGCTGTAATTAATGACTTGAAGGCTCTACTAAAGGGTGAGTTTGAGACGAAGGATTTGAGTGCGGTAAAGAAAATATTTGGTATGAAGATCTGGCATGATAATGATAGAGAAGTAGGACGGCTATGAGTTTCTCAAGAAAAGTATATTGAGAAAGTTTTGCAGGCATTCTCTGTTGATCAGTCCAAACAGGTAAATACCCCTTTGGCGGCACACTTAAACTTGATCGAAGCACTATACCGGGCACAGATAAAGAGGTTAGTTACATGAAGACGGTTCCATATTCAAGTGCAGTTGGAAGTCTTATGTATGCGATGGTATATACGAGACCGGATCTCGCTTATGCGGTTAGTGTGGTGAGCAGGTTTATGGCTAATTCGGGTAAAGCTCACTGGGGAGCTGTAGAGTGGGTCTTGCGATATTTGAAAGGAGCGTCTGATATTTGTCTAGTATATGATGATAAAGGTCATGGTGATGGTCTTGTTGGCTATGCAAACTCTAATTACGGGGGTGACTTGGTGAAACGAAGATCACTGACTTACTTTATCTTCACTCTGTTTGGATGTGCAGTCAGTTGGAAGTCTACTTTACAATCTACGGTTGCATTGTCGACGACTGAGGCGGAATACATGTCAATGACTGAAGGTATTAAGAAGGGTATCTGGTTACATGGTCTGGTGCAGAGTTTGGGTCTGAAAGTGGAGAAACCGTTGTTATTCTGTGATAGTCAAAGTACTTTGAGTTTGGCTAAAAATCCAGTGTATCATGAGAGAACCAAACATATTGATGTAAGGTTGAATTTTATTCGTGATGTTTTGGAGAAAGACAGGTTTTCTATTCAGAAAATAGCTACATAACACAATCCAGTTGATATATTGACAAAGGCGCTACCGACGGAGAAGTTTGAGCACTGTCTAAACTTGGTGAATATTCGCAGAAGGTAAAGCCCTCTTGGGGCATCTGGCAGGAAGGAGACGACTGAGAGATACTGATGAACCTTTGGCGGTTGGAGAAACTAGGGTTTAGGGTTTAGGGTGTTGTGGGGTGCTTATAAATAGACCGCTATGGTTCTTAGTCGGATGACATAATTGTAAATCTTTGAATCAGTATAATAAAATCTTTCCGGTTCTTGCCCGTGGACGTAGGTTGACACATCGTCACAAAACTACGTAAAACCTCTGTGTTCTTTATTTATTTTCTTTCTCGTTTTCTCGTAACACTATCAAATCAACATCTATTAAAATCCCTCAAATCAAAACAAAACCTATTAACCCAAAGAAATGCATCTTCCCAAAACTAAAAAAAAAAATCAAATTCAACCAAAACCAAAACCAAATATTTCCAAACTAATACCAAAACCAATTAATGAATGAGTTGTAAAAATTGTTCTCCAAATAAAATAAATAATGATTATATTATAATTTTTGGGCAAACCGACAACACGCTTGCTTGCAGATCAAATAAAGTTAATTGACATATTAAACCCCTATCCTAAAAAGCATGTCCCTATAATTGGCAACCAACCATTTTGTAAACGAGTGAATTATTAAGGTTATGTTCTCGGGTTTTACTATTCGAATTCTTTTTTTTTTTTTTAAAAAAATTATATTAAATAGTTATTTTTTTTAATATTATATTATAAATTTATTTTATATTCAAAATATCACATCAATATTTATTTATATTAAATTAAATAATTATTTAAATTCTACTTTTTAATGTTAAAATCCCAAACTTAAAAATCTAAACCCACAAACAAACACAAATAATGATAATAATAATAATATCAAGTTAAATTTATAGATGATATCGAATAATCAATACAAATAATTTAATCCTAACTCCATCCTGGATACGAGAATCCGATTGGTTAGATACATACTATTTTTGATAGTGTAATTTAATATGTTAATTATAATAGTTATAATATTATTTTTTATATATATAAATGATGTTTTTAGTATTTTTAAAATAAAAATTAATATATATGATTAAAAGATACTTAAAATAGATGTTTAAATATTTTAAATGCTATATCTCAATAAAATATATATGATATGAATATCAAATAAAATTCTATATAATGTAAATAAAAAAAAATATATATTATTTATCTATAATTAACATATACAAATTTTATTAAAAAAAAATAAGGAATTTTAAATATAAATAGAAATATTTATTTATTGAAGAGAAATAAAAATAAAGAGATTTTGAATATGTATGTAAGAGGTTTTGATTTAATTAAATTGATTTATTTTTGTTAAATATGTTTAAGATCATTAAATTTACTAAAGAAAAAAAGAAAAAATCATCTTATGTGGACGGACTAAAAAAATTACTCCTAAATCATGTGGCGGAAAAACAGGTCATCTTCTATGGACGGTCTAAAATGAAAATAGATCTTCTGTTGTGAAAAAAAAAAAAAAAAACAAAAAAAAAGGTATTATAAATAAGGCTATCAAGTGATTAAAAATATACATATGTAGTCGCACATTCACTTTACAGAGAGAATATTAATAAATTACTCCATCTGTCTTATTTTTTGTATCCGGTTTACTGTAAAGTGTGCGTTTGTTTTGTAACGGTGTTGAAAATAAAAATTTTTTATGTGAGGTATTATAAGGATTATGTAAGAAATATAAAAATAATGAATGTGTATAGTATATTAATTTTTTTGGAAAAAAAAATAATAGAAAAGAACAAAGCGGTAAAGTATAATTAATAACTAATTAAAAAAATATTAGTAAAAATTAATATTGTATAATAAAACTAATTATAGTTTTAAGATTAATATAATTAAATAATATAATAAAATTTTTTAAACATTAATATAAATTATGAAAATTAAAATATGATTAAAGTATTTAATTATATTTCCTAAAAAAATAAATGATAAATAAAGTGAAACCAATTAAATAAAAATAATGAAAAAAAAAAGAGTGGAATAAAAGGAATAATATTTTATATTTTATATTATATTTTAAATATAAATGAATTAATTATATATTCTTATATTTGGTATTATAAGCTTAGCAAATAGACAATATATTCAATAATAATAATAATAATAATAATAATAATAATAATAATAATAGTATATAACAAGATTAGTATAGTGTGACTTGTCTTTTCAGACATAATTTGTAAAGTATTAGGTTCGATGGAGATTTACCTGGTATAAATTTTTTAGTACCAACTGTGCATTTCAATGTTATATAAAAAAAATAAAATAATATAAAAATAATAATTCAGTAAAAACTTATAAAAGATATAACTAAATTATTTAACTAACATGGAGTATTTACTATTCCAATTATGCATAGCATATAACATATTTACATTAAAAAACATATAATATAAAGTTTATTTGATTTACATTTAAATTTAAATTTAAATTTACATAATATTTTATAAAAAATAACACTAATTATTGTTAAATTCGAATTTAAAACTTTTTTTTTTATATAAGTGGTGAGACATTCTATGTGTACTTGCAAAAAACTATAATTAAATAACAATATGTAAAATAATAATAATAATAATAATTATCATATAATCAAACAAAATAAATATAGTGTTCCTTTTATTATCAAAATTTATATTCATTTGAACGATAGTTTTTTACTATAGGGTGTGTTTGTTTGGGGGTTTGGATTTTGGATTGGGATTTGAATAGTAAAAATTTTGAATTTGAATAGTTGTATGATGTGATATAAATAGGGTTTGATGTGATGTTTTGAATGTAAAATTGTTTTTTAGTATAATATAAAAAATGAAAAATAGGTGTTTGATTTGATGTTTTTGGGGGGAAAAAATTGGATGAACAGTGAAAATCCTCCAAAATCCTTCAAACAAACACACCCTAAAAATTGAAACGCACCTTTTATGCATTGAAGGGTAGATATAAGGTAGGCTTACGTTGTACTCCCTCTGTTCCACCAATTAACACTATTTCCATTTTTCTGTTTAGTAACAATTGAAGTCTTTCTATTTTTGGTAATTATTAAACCAAAATATATTTAACAAATATAAATTGACTATATAAAATGTAACATCATAAATGACGTAGGACCACTCAAAACCTCTTTATTTCAGCATCTCTCCTAAAAAAAATAAATATTTTTATCTATATTTAAAATTACATATCTTTTATAAAATTAATTTATATTAATTATAAATAAACAAAAATATTTTTTTATTTACTTGTATTATAGAAGATTTTATTCTCTACAAAATGATATCCATATTGCATATATTATTTAATTGCTATATAATTTTTAAATTTTTAAACATATATTTTAATTTTTTAATTATATATATTAAATTTACTTTAAAACTATAAATATTTTTAATTATACAAAAAATAATATAATAATATCATAACTAATTATTATTAACTAATTAATCATTCTCACATTTAATACCGTGTCTCTAATAAAAAGGTTCAATTCTGGTGAGACGAATGGAGTATATTGTGTTTTAAATTTTAAAATTTTAAGATGATGATAATAATGAATTGATTTAGTACGCCTTTGTAAGAAAAATAAGTATCCGATTCTTGAATTGATATTCTAGAAGGAAAACCAAAAAAAAAAAAAACAACATAAAAATATACAAGCATAATCTCAAACAACATTGTCATATACCTCAAAGAATACAAAAAGTAAGATTACAAGAACATCACAAATTTTAAAAAGAATACAACTTTACATTTGGCTAAACTCTCACCTATTATTGCAACATTCAACAACAAATAATGAACAAATTCGCTGAGTAATCACAACCTCAGACATAGAACAGAACCAACATCTTTTTTTATGTTATATAAATAGAACACAAAGGCATATATATATATATAAATATGTATGTATATGCAAGCATCTGTCCATTGAATCACTGTTCTTACAATGTTTTCTCCTCTGCTTTATGGCCATTCATGTCTTCTGGCTCCAGGGTTGGGCTTTGTACCTGCTCCGATGATGAGTTCCCTTCATTTGGTTCATCCGATGATTTTCCATCGCCTGTCTCCTCAGCGTTGTTGGGCTTCCCCTGTCAGCATCAGAATTTTTTAGCTTTACTTTTTTGAATGTCAGCATCAAAATCATCGAGCCAAATGAAACATTCTTCATCCAAAGAACCCACAGAGAAACAAATTGAATGGAAGCAAGACAAAAGAAATGGAAGCATTCATAGTTCAAAGCTGTCATTTCATTCAATGCAAAACACAGAAATTTAGTTGTCGTAGAAAAATGTGTCGACAAGTGTTAGAAATTTTGGGGGAAAATAATGAGATTGTCTTATTGATCATCAGGCTTATATATAGGCAATATAAAGCAAACTCATAGACTCAAATCTAAGTAATCTAATCGGTAGATAAGACTAAATCTAAATATAGATCTACTAAATCTAAAACTGCATATCTAAAATATCTCAACAACAAGCATTACTATATCTTATAAAATTAAAAGAATTTGATAACTCAACTTCCCAGATATGTATGTTCTAGGTTTATTTTATTTACCACTAATTTTCTTCCCAACTTACTATGTACAATAGAATCAGCAACAAAAATTAGTAAGAGGTAAATCAGTTGCAATTATATTCCGAGTTGGAATTATTTTTTGAGTTTTTCCCCATCATGTCTTGATTTAGTTACACATTCATAATCTGAGTTCTAGAAAGAGAGGAGGGCCTATGCTAACCTTGTTCTTATCTCTCCATCCTAAACCAAATGGTCTAGAAAGCAAACTTATCTTCCTCGTCGGAATTTCTTGGGAAGCATCTTGATTATTTTGCTGTGTCGGTCTGCAAAGAACACCAACAAAATATTAACTGGAGTAGGAGGCACTAGTAATTGTTGAAATATAACATAAAACAGACTAAGTACGGCAGACATATAGCTTGAGCATCAATACTAGTATTACCGAGGGGAAGATAAGGCTTTGGTTTGCCCAGACTGGTACTGCAATGTAGCTTCGAGCATAGACTCCGCCATAACTGCCCTTTTTTCCATCTCAGCAAGATCGGATGTAGCTTTCTCATACTTCTCCTGCATTTTGCGAAGGTACAGAAAAAATGCTTGATTAGAAATAAAATCGAATGGAAAACAACAGAAAGTTCAAACATCAAAATAAGTCGGGATGTGTGCCCAACAACATTTTAGGATTCTAATGCCAACCCCCATGACTAGTTAGGTACTGTATCATAAGTATTTGCATCATAATATGTCATCATTAGTCATCCAGAACAGTGATCGAGATGGCTAAACATAGGTGGACGAGAAAAATGATTCCAGGGCATGAAAGCTAACAGCACATTAGTATTTCTGTTTAAAGAAGAATGAAACCTGAAGTACTTGAGCAGCATATTTCTGGGCAACAGCATCTTGCTCGGCATATATGCGAGCATCCTCCGTCACTTTTTGTTCTTGTTCCACCCTCATTAAAATCTGTGAAAGAAACCAGCAATGCCAAAGGCCATGTGAAAATAGACAAAACCAGAAGACTCACAGCAATTGTTAATATAAAAGCAATAATCTTACTTGAAGCATGGCATTCTCTTGTTCATGCTTTTCGAGAAGAGTTTGTCGAAGCTCAGAGACCTCATGCTCTAACTGCTCGACCTGGTACCAACAAAATGATCGATTATCATGTCAAATACTTAAAAGACGGTCCAAAACAAGGGCAATATTCAGGCTGAATATGTGTCCATATTCTACATGTAAAAGGTGGATTGCGACACTGCTATTCTTGTTTTCCAAAAATTCACAAGATGTCCATTTTCAAATGGACAGCAATCTAGTGCGCATTTCAAATGCATGAACCATTGCAACAAACTAGTGCACGCCAACAAATACAATTTCAACAAGCAAGATTTGAGAAATTAAAATACAATAACAGAAGGCATCGAGTTTTTTAGATACCTTTGCACTCAATTGTCGACGATTGTCCTGCTTAACCATCTCCACAAGTGCTGTTTCCAGTTCTTCAGCTCTGCATCAAGAATAAAAGCGTTCAATTGCATTCTAGTGAAAAGTTTAATATATGCATTTCCCTGATAAAATTATTAATATATATACATTTCAGTCAAGTTTAGCACTAATTTTGTCTCAACCATGAAATGTATTTCATTTGATCACCAAAGTCACAGATAACACTAATGTTTCACAAATATGCAGCAAATTACTGAACTACAAGATTTTACTCTTCTATCGTGCATCCAAAAATAGTAAATCTTTCTTCAATGATGAGAACATTATAAATGATGAATAACCACATTTTATAATTTCCTTTTTTGATGTCCAGGCAAACTTTACAAGTCCTATATATCAATTCATTTAAATAGAGCTTGGAGATCTCTTATATAATTGCAATAACTGCAGATTGACAGAAAAAATAAATTAATAAATTAAAATAAAATATAAAATAAATTGAAATGCAAAAACTTCTCAATCAATTCTTCAAAGCAGATCACCAAAACACTACAGAGAAATTAAGTGGGTTGCAAATGATCATGTCCTCGTACTAAGTGTTTGAATTGTTTATAGACAAACAGATGCTTTTAATGTCATAGGGGCTGAAAAAGCAATGATCACTATGTCCTTAATTATCTTAGACTCAATACTTCCACATCTGAAACATGCTTCATTTCTTGGAGAAGAAGTTTAGACTATAAAGTTAAAAATCAAGAACCACAAAAAGGACAGAAAAAAAAAAAAAAAAAAAACCCCATAAAATAGGTTATTGTAATGCCAATTCAAAGAAAAGCTGGTTTTGAATACAGAATAGCTCATGTTTCAGCAATGAAATGTAAAAGGTTCAGTCTGCAGTATATAATCATCCAACCAAGTGGAGCTGGGTAAAATGTTAAACTATCCATCTCCTAACTATAAATTCAACATAAGGTTGGAACATCCAGCGGCAACAAACTTTATGTTTACCTGAGCTCAGCAGAACGTTTTTCCTCAAGCAGCTTGCACAGCTCTACTTTAAGCCAAGTCACCTGAATAAAGCCACAGTTCACAGCATTCAGATTGATTACACATACAAAGAATACTAGAGGTGGGTTTGTGTTTGCATAGTAGTTTTATGTCATGTTTTGTAAGAGTAAACAGTGTATTTTTCTTGGGGAGCATAGGGATTCCAATCATTCCATAGTAATGAACTAGAAAAAAGTTAAAAGAATAGTGCTGGCTTTTATACAAAATTACCATTTCTCTCTAAAAAATAAAAATGAAGGCAAACTAGGCACATTCCATGCATGTGAAAATAACTAATCCTTGTATAAGTTGAAAGTAACACCCTCGGAGAAGGATATCATTAACAGATATTGTTTGACAGTAGATGAAAAAAATTATATTACATAAGGGCTGTCCAGCATATATTGCTGTTTTAATAATGCAGATACCTCTATGGTGTGGAATTTTAGACAACATACAAAAGAAAAAGGAACCTTCAAAAGAGAGTCTAGTGTGTTAATTAAATATTAATAAAAAATATATTCCGAGAAAGTGGGAGGGGAATGAGAATGGTATCATACACACTTTCATTATGATTTCAACATTGATATTTGAAGGTTAGAATGATCTTTCTCACTATGAGACATTGAGAGTGTGTTTCCTTGATGATTTTTTTTTTTTTTTCATTTAAATAGGATGTTGTTAGTGATGTTCTATGATGTTCTATGAGAGAAAATAATATATTTTATAGAAAATAATAAGAATTGTAGAGTTAAAAAAAACCAAAAAAAAATCTCAAAGTAAGCTGTGCTGAATATCTTATAAACTTGCAATTTAATTCTGATGCATACTAGCCATGGGAATGGATTTTCAACATGTTTCATTCCCAATTTCATATTCCTACCATTCATTCATGCATGGTAGCCATACCCATGAAAAGTAGTCTATTGGCATATAGACCGCCAGTTTATTTCACTTGAAGGGAGCTCCAATATTTTTATAAATGTAATAATCCCTTCGTCTGTAAATAATCTTCTCATTTACTTTTGGCACGTATATTAATATTTTATTAAAGTGCAGTATAAATGATGTATGTAAAGACAATTTTGCCCTTACATTTAGTGTACGAGTAATGTTGTATTTATTTGGGATGTAACTATATTAAAAAAAGAAAATGAAAAGATTTGAACAGACAGACTAAAATAGAAAAAATGAGAAGATTTTGAGTGGACAGAAGGAATATGCTATTACACGGAAAATTAACTCAAATGTCCAAGGGAAACAATTGTACTTGGATAAGCAAGATTTTGATTTTTAAGGTAGTTGAGGCTTTCAATACCAAATAAACATGAAGTGTTTTCAGTGATACAACTAAGTGCATATAGCACATCTCACTGGTTAGAAGCAGGCATGAAAGGAATAAAGACAAGTGAAGAAGTTTTGAAATTAGAACGTAGAAGGCGTAAGACACTGTACACAGGTACCTGGTCTTGAAGATCTTTTGCAGGGTCTATCACCACATCACCATTCAAGCTCATATACAAGCCATCCGCATTAGCATTCATATCGCTGCCCATTCCCTCTGGTTTGTCAGTTTCGACGGTTGAATTTGGATTCTTTCTGAAATCATATAGCTTTGAAACCAGACCTTCCGACTCCTTCCAAATTCTATTTCCCTTGCATCTTTCTTCCACGGCAGCATTTATAGCTGGCCGGTGTTTATTTCTTACTTCTTGTAATCTTTTTTCATTAACATTTTGGAAGCCCCTGCAAGCTGTAAATACAAGTTGACTGCTATCAAACGTGGAGCCCGCTAATGACTGAAGCAGTGTAACTGCGTCTCCAGCATCTTTGGTTGTAACCAATGCAGGTCCTGTACAAAACTGAACACATATAAATCTTATCCAATAGGAAAACGAAAAAAAAAAAAAAAAAGTAAAATAAATAAAGGAACGAATCTACTCATAAATACAAATATTTATTTTCTAAATCCAAGAGAAACATCAAGCCAGTACCATATAACTCCATTAAAGCAAGTGCGGTCCGGAATAGCATTACTCGATTTCCTTCATAGAGAAGCACATCCCAAACTCTAAGGACTGTAGAAATATTAAATGTATCAGTTTCACGGTCAAAGAATTGATACATTTTTTATTGCCTAAAGTTGATATAGCTTGCAACACTGCAATGAATCAAATTTCTGTTTACAAAGCCAATGACCACATTCTCAACAATTATCCAAATTATTATTAGATAACTAAATCAAAGAACCTGACCACTTTCCCATGGAAGCATATTCAAATATATTGTGAGGAACCAGGGTCCGGCCACACATGCCACTTGCACTCCCAGGTAGTCCAGATGGTTTACTGTGGCACACAGAGATAATAAGAGACTTACATTATACTGAAATCTCATTTGAAAAAGTAAGCAAGTGAGAAGCTATAAAAGCAACAAACCTAATTTGGGGAATTTTTCGCGCACCAAGTCCTCAAGAACAAGTTGATCAACCTACCAAGACAATTTAACACAGGAGATCCCTTATCATCGAATCATGCTACCTTATTTGAGAGATATATTTGAACAAGTAGCTCTGCTCATTACAAGTCCATAGGATACCTGAGATTCGATCATTTCTTCTGAATAGTAGCCATCGAAATAATCATCCAGAATGCCCATCAAAGTCCTGAACATTAGCCAATAATGTATTTAGGCCCATTTTAATAACATCATGTGTGTCTTAGATTCACTCCACTTTCTTGGCAGCATTTCAAGGATCAATCATGACTTAAAAATATCATGAAATGTACCTCTTGCATAAGTAGATCTAGAGTACCACAAGAAAAATATCACACCAATGCTTCAACTCACCAGAATGCATTTTCCTCGGGCATTAAAAGCAATAACAAGCCTGCAAAGAAGTTCATGGCCTGCAAAAGTAAGATATAAGCATCAGCAATCTTTCCATGTAACAGATCGAACATCACCAAACCATGATGCTAGAATGCTACTCGAAAAGTCTTAACCTAGCACCACTTCCAAGTATATATGAGAGATTTGAAGTTGACAAACAGGACAGAGTATAATTTTTTTTTCTTACTCTACAATCACTCTATGCATATATATTGTGCACAGAAAAATTAGTTGAAGTGAACAAGACATCCACACTGATGGTAGGTACCATGAGATGTCTCATTACAGAATGGAAAAGGCTAAAAACCAGTAAGAAATATTTTATCATAAAATTCGAAAGAAATAAAAAAGGAAAATAAAAAGAAATACAAAACCTGACAATATCCAACAGATGGATTATGTCGAGCATATGCTGTCAGTATACGCCTTAGAGCATCTCTACCATTCTCATCTAAAGCAGGATGTCCAGGAAAAGTTCGAGGCAAATCCTATAACAAAGGTATGAAGTTGATCTTCTATTTAATATTCTCATGGTTACTCAATAAAACTAACACTAAAATGACAGCACAAGTGGAGCTTGAATAACCTTCTCAATCTGGGTTTTCCACTTCTCAGGCATACCCAAACTCTCTGCATTTGACTCGAGATTATTGTCCTCCAATTCATTGTTCTTACTTTCCAGGCAAGCATCTTGAGCGAGTAAATTTTGATAGTATTTTTCCACTCGGCGTGCTCTAACACCAACAAAGGATTGCCAAAGCTGAAATTTCAAGTGGAAAGAATAAAAAATAAGACTCTATCAGAAAATGGCATGATATAATACAGCATATATTCAGATCTTTCACCTCTCCCCTAAGCGCCATCGGAACCCCTCCTTGAACAAGGCATTCCAATTCCTCCTTTAAGGGAGGTGAAGATTCTGATTGAGCACCATTGTCACCCAATCCCATGCCTGGAGCAGGAGTATTGTTTCCTAAAGGTACATCCTGCAAGGGATCTGATTCAGATCGATCCAAGTCAAAAAACTCTTCCTCAGAGTCCTCTTCACATGCTCCTTTTCCAGGTCTACCCTCTTCGGTGGAAGAGAACTGCTTTCCAGCCCCAGGGTTCACTTCATTTTTAGTCAAACTAACTTTCTTTTTCACACGAGAACTCATCATCTCCTCTATGGCATGTAGGGATGGCCTGATCTCCGCCCATATTTGTAATTGATGTGTTCTTTCACCCACAGCATGTGATTCCTCTTTGTTTTGCTCCCCCGAAGGGTTGGTCTTGTTTCCAATTGGATCATCAGCTTGATCACCATTACTTGAATTATCATCAGTTGCTTGAACGGTTGATTGTACATCCAAAGTTTTTGTCTCGGCAGACAATGCAGTCCTGGGCGATTGGGCGGACTCCGATTGCCTTTCCAGAAAGTTCTTCCACCTCTCTGACCTCTCCTCTTCTTCTTCCTAGAACAAATAACAAGACTTAATCTCAGTGAAGCATTCGACTATATAACAACTATTCTGGAAACGTTTACACAAATGAGACTAATCGAAAGGTGGGAAACCTTGTATATATTAGCATATTCTCTGTATCTATGCAGATTGTGAGGTCTGACAGCAAACCCATACGCATCCCTGCTCACACAATTTCCAATGTTTAATGCAGAATTACATCATGGTTTATATATCACAGAGAAATAAAACATAAATCAGGATTCATAGAAGAAATATCTAAATAGATATAGCAGTAGCAAGTGAATTTTCCTTGAACAGAATTTCTGGTTACAACAAACTCAACAAAAGGAGAGTCCATCCCCATCGAAACAATCACCTTTGCATACAATTCTCACAAGACTGGTCAAACAAGCTAACACAAGATTACATGTTGAAGAACTTTACAAACACTGCTACTTGCACTATATTTATTACCAATCCAAAGGTTGTCACTACCAAAAAAAACAGGGTTTTAGCATGGCGTCACTGTCTTCTCACGACATCACAGCTGCCACATCAAATTCCATTGCACGATGGAAGAATAAATGAATAAATCATACGGAAAACTACATCCAAAAGTTCTGAACCAATACCCAAATCATCAAAGTGTTTGCAGAAGAAGTGAAATCGAAGAGAATCACTTTACAAGAAGCACAAAATACACATCTCAAACTCCAACCTATTAGCCAATCAATCAGACCGACAGAAATAAAAGGAAATTAAACGAAATACTGTGTATCGAATTCAGTTCCAACTGTCGGCAGGACCCAGACGAACAAAGCCACCAAGAATCTCAAAACTAAGCCAATGCAGAGCAGAGATTAACAACAGAGTAACAAATCCAAACAAAAGAACTTAATTCAAGCAAAATAAAAATGGCCGACGAGCAACGAAAACGGCAAGACCATTCTAGTACCTCTTCTGATCAAAAGAAACAACAGGAGCCGGATTCCGCACAACCGCCGCCCCCTTGGTCTTCATTCTCGGAACCCAAAAAAATCCAATCCAACTCCAAACACGATATCCTCGTGCTCCTCCTCCTTAAATGGGTCTCTTTCTTCCAATTGGCTCGATCTATCCACTCTCTCCTGAAAACTCTGCAACAGAGGAGAAGAAAACCGCGCAGTCAATTAATGCGGAAATGGGTCCTCTTGCTTCACTGTTTTTGGGATGCAGGCGGCTCTCAGTCAGTAGTAAGTAGCTTCAACACAAGTGTGGGAATTGTGGGGTAAGGGAATGGATGGGAGGCGGGGTAAGGTAGGGTAGGGGGGACGCATCATCATTATCACATGGGCAAGATCGAGTTAACATGTGAGATAGAGAGAGAGAGGAAGGGTTCGATTACTTAGCACGGAGTTCGAGTGTGAATTGTGATGCAGTGTAAGGAGGTGAATTTTGCAGGCAAAGAGGCGAAATCAAAGGCGAGATTATTGTCCATGGCAGGAGCAGAATTGGTGATGCTTGAAACTGCAAAAAAGCATTCGGGAGAGACAGAGTGGTGTTGTGTGTTTTGGGTTCGGATAATATTATGAAAACTGTTCTGTCCCGTTGAGTCGAGGAATGGATTTTAAAGATGTAATAAGTTACCATAAATTATACTGTTCTGTACCGTTGATATTGATAATCAGTAAAAGTAATTTTTTTTGTCACACTTTTGCACTAAAACTTCCTCCCTCACAAAATGGTCTTTTTATTTAGATATAAGAATTTAAATAGTATAGATTAATTATTTAATGATTAAAAAAATTAAAATATATATTTACATATTTTTAATATTATATTTTAAAAAAATATATTATTTTTGTCCGGCTCTAAAGTTTTATGCGTGTTAATTTGTTTAATATTAATTATTATATCAAGACGTAGTACAAATTAAGAAAAAATTGCAAAAAATACTTTCATTAATGTCTTGAAATATTAATAGAATGACATTTATACAAATATAAATATATTTTTAATGTTAAGTATAATGACGCAAAATAAATGTGAACTTACAAGCGGACGAAGAGAGTTATATAATATGAATATCATTTTGTAGATAATAGATTTTATATAATACAAATAAATAAAAAAATAGTATATTTATTTATTTATTTATCATTATTATAAATTAGTTTTATAAAAAAATGGGGAGTTTTAAGATAAATAAAAATATTTGTTAAATAAAAAGAGATATAGAAAAGAGTAAAAATTAAAAATTAATTAAATTGATTTATATTTATTAGTGTGTTTAAAATTAATAAATATATTAAAAATTGAAATGACTTGGACAAATAAAATAATCTAAAAGAGTATTACTGAATATATAATACTGCTTCCGTCCACTTACAATATTTACATATTTCTATTTTGGGAAACATATTTATATTTTGGGACGTCCAATTACAAAGTTAATATTTCATTAGATACTCTACTTTTTTCCACAAATATCGTTACTTTACATCACATCATTACTTTTATAAAAAAAAAAAAAAAAAGAGTAAAGGCAAAATATCATTATACTATTTTTAACTACTCACTATAATTAAAATACTATTATTTCTTAAACACCGCGACTAAAAATAAATGTAAACTTTAGGTAAGAGGGATTTTTGGGAATTTGCTTTTTATTATTTCAAATATAATGTATTCAAGTAAGATTTCTTTAAATTCTTTTAGATTTTAGAATGTCTATTATTAGGGGTGAGCATTCGACTTTTCGGTTCGGATTTTGCTAAATTCGAACCGATCCGAAAATCCAAAATTTTTGAAAAAATCAATCCAAACTGAGCCGAAATATCGAAATTCGAAATCCAAAAATCCGTAATCCGAACTAAAAAATTCGAATCAAACCGAAAAATTCGAAATTCGAAATTTTTATTTTTTTAATTTTAAAATTTCTTTTATATTTATTATTATTTTATAATATTAAATATATATAATATATATAAATTAAATATATTAAAATATAATTAATAAATTTGAGTTTTTTATATTAAAATATAATATTTTCTAATAAAATATTAAATATGTATAATAAAAAAATATATTAAAATGTTATATTTCGGATTTCGGATTGGTTCGGATTTTAAGTATACCTATCCGATCCGATCTAAAAATCCGAAATTTGTTAAAAATTCAATCCGATCCAATCCGATAATCCAAAAAATCCGAACCAAATTTTAAATTTCGGTTTGGTTCGGATTGAATTATATCTATTATGAATTGATGTAAATTTATATAATTCATAAAACTAACATGAAGGTTGCTTGATTTTGTATATTGATATATATATAAATTTTGATAGATTTTACTAGATTGTTTATTAATTTTTATAGATTTCATTGAATTTACATATTTGAATAAATATTGTTTTATTAATATATATAGTTTTTATAAATTTATGTCTAGCAAATATATACAAAGTACATTTGTGTATATATATAAATTATTTAAATATTTAAAAAAAATGTTAAAAATACATTAGTATCCAAAAATTGTATTATTTAACAATTATAATAATAATACTTTGTATATTAACATTTTAAAGTTTATATTTTTTATGATATTACTCCTTATTCAATCAAAGGTATATATTTATTGTTATGGGTTAACTCTTTCAATTTCACCTACTATCTAACAGCACATGCTAATCTGAAAATTCAGCACGATAATTTTTCAAATCAATTATTTATTAATTTGTTTATAACATATTACTTTACTTTATTTACGCTTGTATCTATTTTATTTTAATGTTTAAATATTACTTCTTCCGTCCGAAAAATTTAATCCCACTTTTTTGTAAAAATACAAAGGAAATTGGCTAAATTTCCCAGATGGAGGGAGTATTATTTTTTAATTTTCATATCCAAATAAACGTACTTAAATTTTCAACCGATGAGTTATTTATTTATTTATAAAAAAATAAAATTACTATCTCCGTCGTTCTATATTATATTTACCTTTTGCGTTATTGTATTTAACATTCAAAACATAATTTGTTTTTTACAAATATCCTTCTATTAGTATTATAAAATACTAATGAAAGTATTTTTATATATATTTTGATATAATAATTAATATTCAAATATGAATACCAGACAAAGGTAGTATTAATTTATTATAGAATTAAATTATTATTATCATTAAAGATTTAAACTATCAAGTGAGTCCAGGCCCAAATCGTCCATCAAAATGGCCCAAACGAGGGCCCGGACCATTAAAGGAAGTTAAATCCTAAAAGGAAAGTAGAAAGTGGAAAGGAAAAAAGAAGCTTTCCTTCCGTTGCATCGAAATGCCGAATGTATTCTTCCCGTCCACCATCATCAAACGTGCGCCTCTCCTGCTAACCTGAGCCTCCCCATGCGCATTTAACATATGCTCCACCACCCACCCGCCATGCCAGGCGCCTCCAAACTGTCAAATTTCACCGTCCTTTGCGCTCGCAAACCCTATAAATTGTCCAACAATTTCTCCCCCTACCCCTCCGCCGTTGCTGCCACCGTCGCTTCCCCTAAGAGGTATTTCGCCGGCTGCCGGTGGAGGAAAACCGCATGGTTATCTGCCGGACGCATTGAATTCGCCGCCTATCGTTTTTGCCATATCCGGCAGAATCCTCCCTTTGCTACCTCTGATCCTTTGGGTAAAGGGACGGATTGTCGTTTCCATCGTCGTGCGGACGGTAAATTTGGGGCTGAAATGGGTGCCGCAGCTAATGGCAAGGTCGACACACAATGCAACGCTTCCGATTTAGCGTCGCAGCGAAACAGCGGCGAGAAACCTTCGGGAAAGCAGCCTAAATTTCTCACGTTGCCGACGATCTTGACGATTGGTCGCGTTGCCGCCGTGCCGCTCCTTGTCAGTAGTACGTATTGCATTATGTTTCTGGCTCCATTTTTTAACTATTTTGTCCTTTTTTTTTCCATTAGAGATACATTCGAGAATTACGGTGGAATGTTCGATGCGGAATTGTGTTTGAATTTGGAAATTGACTTGTAATGCCGCTTTCAATTGGGGATGCAGAATAAGTTTAATAGTAGAATGCAAAAAACCTAACTTGTCTATTCTGTTGAGAATTTCTAAGATTGGAGTCTTCAGAAATGGTGAAATTGACGTTAATCTATTGTGGTCAGCCTTTTATCTTGAGAGCTGGTGGGGACCTGCTGCTACAACTGGAATTTTCATACTGGCTGCCATTACGGATTGGCTCGATGGATACCTTGCTCGAAAGGTATGGCTTTGGAGCTTTGAATTTAATGGAAACTCTGAGGCTTTATTTGTGTTTTGTTAATTTGGTAAATTATGCTGTTTTTGGTTTTAATATTTGTGTAACGGCAGGGAGTTTGGTGAAGGAAAAGAAAACTAAAAGGATTCAATATTACATCTTGTTACCTTGAAGAGTTTTTGTGTAAAGAAAAATATTGAAATAGAAAAAGGAAAATCAACTAATATACCTTATAGATATTGGTTAAACAAATAATGGGTGAGGAAAATGGAATCTATTTTGGAGGACAGCCGATTGTAATTTCTCTCATGTTTCACTCTTCATGGTTAATTGAACGATTTAAAAGCAACTAATGTTAACATAATGTCAATGTTTACATTGTAAACTACTTGTTGCAGATGAAATTGCTTACCCAGTTTGGTGCATTTTTGGATCCAGTGGCTGATAAGGTAATAATGATTGCTAAATTAGTTTCTAGAGTATAGATGAACTAATGCGTGGTTTTACTTTAAAGAGCTTAATTGGTTGTCCTTGTAATGTAAGTGGATATTTCATAGTGTTTTCTTAATTGATGCAGCTTATGGTAGCTGCCACTTTGATCTTGTTATGCACCCGGCCAGTTGAAGTTGGTGTGTTAGGTCCAGTGCCATGGTTATTTACGGTCCCCGCAATTGTCATAATTGGCCGAGAGGTAACCTCTTAGGATTTTTGCTCAAAACTGTAACTATAATGAGTGTACTGCTGGAAACATCAATCATGTGAATATTTGGCATGATTTAGATTTATTGTTATTTTTAATAGATTATAAATGTATTATATTATAAAAACATTTGCACTATTAGGCGAGGATATGTCTCCAGAAATAACTTTTTAAGTAACTGACTATTCTGCTAGTCTGCTACACTTGCTCCATGATTACAAAAGAGATTTATTCGATTCCTCTGCTAGACTTCTTGTACTGGATTAATTAGTAGATGAGATAATTTCATATGAAAAACTTGCATATTTCCAGTCATAATAAAGATAATGTCTAGATGACTTACTTATGAATTTGATTGATAAAAATGGGTTATAAATAAAACGGGTGGACATAAGTAGTAAGTACCCACATGTATTTGCTCATTATGCTAAATACCTTTTGTGTTATGATTGGACAAAGATGCTAAAACATAAGATTTCTATACTGTTTTATTTGCATCATAGCCAAGTTGGTATTTATAACAAACGTGCGTACAAATGGAAGAACACCAGATAATATGTTTACTGTGCTGCTTTTACACAAACATTGTAATGATCAAATGTCATGTGTAGATAACCATGTCGGCATTAAGGGAATGGGCTGCTTCTCAAGACAAGAAGCTTTTGGAGGTACTGATAGCAGATGGCACGAACTTGCATCTAAAAATATATTATTAACCTGTGACTTTATAACTGATCCACTGCATCTCTCTCTCTCTCTCTCTCTCTCTCTCTCTCTCTCTCTCTGTATATCTATATATATATAAATATACATATACAGGCTGTTGCTGTTAATAATTTAGGGAAATGGAAAACTGCTACACAGATGTGTGCATTGACCATTCTTTTGGCTGCCAGAGATGGAAGGTTTCCTCTTAATCTTATTTTTTTTGCATTATGATAACATATCATTTTGAGGTTAGGTTTCTGATAATGCATGAACTTCCTCCCTCTCTCTCTCTCTCTCTCTCTATATATATATATATATATCTCAGTCTTGTTGGAGCTGGAACTCTGGTGTCATCTGGGGTAGTGTTGCTCTACATCTCAGCATGGCTTTCGTTGTGGTCGCTGACAGTATATATGAGGAAAATTTGGAAAGTGCTGATGCTATAGAAAGAAGTGTATTTTTGTGCAATCCAAGGCAGGCATACATACAGTCTTGACTGGGATCATCCTACCCTTACCGCTCTCGCTCGGTCATTACAAAGGGAGGGATACGACCAAGTAAGTGCCGCTCCTCAAGATTCTTTCACTTAATGCATACATAGAAGTCCAATCACATGAGAATGCTTGTGAATTTTTGTTGTCATTGTTGAGACCCGAATGTTTAGGCTTTCGGTAGGCTATAGCACTATAATTGTTGGGCTTCGACTCTCACCGGGGGGGATATGCTCACTTATCATAGTTTGTGTCTTGGTTTGTGCTTATTCATTCTTAAAGGTATCTTTGATTTCCTTCGTAAATACATGAATACAAGTATGTCCTATGTGTGTTGATTCAGGTTTGTTCACTTTGTGTCAGCAATATAAAAAATAATATTTTGTATCGAATTGTTTTGTTTTTATGAGTGAATAAGGTATATAGATTATATATATTGTGTTAATGTATATATATTGTATTTGTTTGATAATATTCATAGAAATTTATGTCATCCAAAAACATTAAATGAACAAATGTGTAGGTAGATGAAGAGTGCTATCATTTTTATATGTTGTATTATGTTTTGAGAGACTAGATGCTTTTCGATAATTAGGCTATATTATTTAATAAATAAATAAATATATATATATATAATTTAGTGAATTGATTGTTATGTTGCTGATTCTCAAATATTTGGATATAAATATTAATAAAAGTGAGTAATAATTATTATTTTATTTTTTTTTGTTTTCTATAGTAACAAATGCAAAAAAAAATGATGTGTACTTTTGCTAAAAAAGAGGTAGATAATTTTTTAATGAGCATAAATTTGAATAGATGAAAAGAGTAATTTCTATTAACAAATGTGTTTGGATTGATGATTAGACTTGTAGTTTATATGTGATTTATTTAATTAATGATGTAATATATGTATAATAAGATTGTGAAGAGATAAAATTATTTATTATAAATAAATTATATATAAATTTAATAAACAGTCGAACAACTAAAAGCCGAAATCAAACTCGGATTGAAGCCTCCAAGTAGAGATGCCTCGCCACTTATTTTCAAGAACTGTTTATTTATAATGGTTTTTTTTACGTACAATCAAGTTGTGTTTTATTTTATTCTATGATTTTCATATTAAACGTAGCTAATGATAATAAGTTATATATTTAAAAAAATAATAATTGATTGAATAAAGAAACAAAATATGTAAATATATATATATATATACATATAAGTAGCAAATAAATTTAAAATTTGTGAATAATTTCTAATATATTTTATTTAACCACGTTTGGATTTCCAATTTTTTTAATGAAAAGGTAAATAGATACATATATGGTCGTTTTCTTTGTTTAAGTTTCTTTTAAATTTTTTTTTTATTCTAGAATTTATTAAAAGATTTATAAAAAATATTTATTTATTTGTTATTAATAATTATTTTAAAAATATCATCAATGATACTTAAAATTTTAAATTATTTATATATTTATTATTTAAATTCTACAATACAAATATATTTTAATATTAAATATATAAATAAATATTTTTAAAAGGTCAATAAGTTGGTCCGCTTGGCTCATCCCGCCGGTTGCCGGTTGATTAAGGTGGATGACCAGCAAATAACCTGTTTATTTACATATTATAATGAATTGTGAACTAATTTCGCCAACTCATTTTGACGGCTATATACTAGACACGAAATGGGCCTAAATATAAAACAAAATATTAATTTTATATATATATTTTACAAAAGATATATTGATAAATACATTTTCAAAAAAAAAATTATTAGAATAATTGTTGAGCAATTAAAGTTCATATTGATATTAAAAAACAGTTAGTATTTTATAACAAAGAGATTAAATTGTCAATTTTGGGATGAACTAGAGTGGGTGTGTTTCTATTAATGCACAATAATAATAATAAATAATTTAGAGACTTAACAGTAGCAATAGCTATTGAAAACCTACTAAAAATGTACTTAAAAGGGTGTGTTCGTTTAATGAATTTTGACAAAATTTTACTATTCATCTAAAATTTTTTCCCTAAAAACATCAAATTAAACACCTATTTTTTATTTTTTACTTTATACTAAAAATTAATTTTACATTCAAAATCAACACCTATTTATATCACATCATACAACTATTCAAATTCAAAATTTTTACTATTCAAATCCTAACTCAAAATCCAAACCCCCAAACAGACACACTCCAATGTCAACAATTGCCAAAAGTGTACAATTTAGAGACCTAAGAGTGACAGTAGCTATTGACTGCCTACTCCAGAATGTCCTGAATCTACACAATTGCCAAAAAAAATGAATGATTTAAGACCCAAAAGTAGCATTACTTATTTTAAAGCTTACTAAAGAATAAACTAAATCTAAACAAGTATTTTCAATTTTTACACTAAGGTGTGTTTGTTTGGAGGTTTGGATTTTGAGTTAGGATTTAAATAGTAAAAATTTTTAATTTGGATAGTTGTATAATGTGATATAAATAAGTGTTGATGTGATATTTTGAATGTAAAATTGATTTTTAGTATAATATAAACAAACACACCCTTAAAAAAAAACAATGATATCTTACTCGAAGATGTGATCTTTCATCTTATTCAAGCTACAAATGATGCAATAACATATGATAGTTACAACTCCGCGAATGGTAAAAACTTCGACGGGTCGAGACTAATTTACTCAAACTTGACCTGTCACAGAATGTGATGTTAATCAGAGCTAAGTTTGTTACCATCTAAACCATGATGCAAATCGTGGTTGCAAATCGGCCTTGACCATTCCAAATATTTCACATATCCGGTCAAATATATAAATTACAAATATAATAATAATTTTATAATTAATAATAAAAAATTTATTTAAAAATATAAAAATTTAAACAATAAATTTACAATCAATAAAAATTTTATTTTTAAAAAATAATATTAAACCATATACATTTAATTAAATATAATTCAAATAATAATGAATTTTAAATTTATTTAAATTTTATTTTATACAAGTATATTTCAAATAATTAATACATTTAGCTAAACCCTTCTTCATGCAGTTTTCACACTTTTTCTCCCTCGCACACCGCCAGCTGCACCACAAACATCACGACGGCTCCGCACCGCGGCCTTCTTCTTCGCCGGCGAACCATGATCCAAACCTGTTTACAAATTTTCGTAATTAGTGTTTGTTTTTGCATAGTCTTACCAAATCTGTACAATTCAAAAAAAAAAAAACAAAATAAAACCAAGTAAAAACAAAAAAAAAAAAAGCATGCATAAACATGAGTTAGCATTACAACAAAAGTAATAGATATCAATAAACCAATGTCTATCACTTAGACAAACAAATAAAAATGCTATTGAAAAGTAATCCTATTTAATAAAAAGCACACATCTCAAATGATGGACCATAAAACTATTAAATGTATTGTAAGACATGAAAACAATAAATCGAACCTATTTGCTTTTAGGACTCAAGTCTTCTTGATATCTTCATGCTTATGATCAAGTGATTTGAGATAGTTTTTATGGTTAACCTTCTCCCAAACCTTATTAAACTTGGCACGGGACTTTTCGCATTCAGCCATTTTATTGTTCAACCGATTTAAGATAATCGGTAGCGACAATTTAATATTCTTCTTAAGTCCTTCAAGCACGTCAAGCCCATACTCACCATATAAGTTCTCAATGCACCGTAGATCTTTAACTGAAAATTAAAATTTGAGAGCCATCAACTTCAATGCATGATAAATCCTACGAAACAAATTAACCAGTAATCAATATACCTTTTAAATGATCTCCAATGCAAAATGTAGAATCTAATTTAATTTTATTATTTTCAATATCATTCATTAATTTCTCGACATGGCTTGCCGCTGTCTTGGCCGTTTCCAAGAGTATATCCAATTCAAACCTGAAACAATAAACAGATCAACAATAGCTACTTCAAAAGATATTTATATCATAAAAGCATATTAGATTTGTTTGGTTGTGTTTTAGGAATAATAAAATTTTAAATTGTAACAATGGACTGATTTATATAAATAAGTGTTTGACGTAATGAATGGCACAAGTATTAAAGTTACAACAGAGTTCAGTTTTTTTACCTATCGTCCTCACATTTAAACAAGCTTTCTTCGTATTGATTTTTGGGTATGTGTTTGGAAGAGTAATCCTCACTTTCTGAAGCAACACACACCCAATTGTCGTTCAAAACTTCATAACCAATCTTTGTTCTTTGGCTTGGTATTGAGATCACAACCTGTTTTATCGAAATTGGAATGCAATGAGTAACATATCAATAATATCAACTAATTCTATTTTATAAATAAATAGACCTACATCACCAGGCACAAGTTGATAACTTGGATGGTGGCTTTCACAGTTGGAGGGATTTTTATCTTCCCCATATGGGATAGGATTCCTATAAGACTGTGGAAGCTCAACACTCGCAGTCCCCGTAAGAAGAGGTAAAAAATGGGCAAAATCTATAATAAATTCAACGTGGTCCCCGAAAAGAACTGAGATCTACAAAAAGAAACATTATTCAGTATCAACTGTCAAATTCCATTCTTTCTATAAAACCGAGACATTATCAAAGAATATGGGGCATAGGAACATACCTTACTATAAACCTCCTTTGCAGACTTTCTGCCCTTTCTGAACATATCTAAAATGTCAATGGAAGCTGTGTACACATCATGATCACGATCTTGAAACGTCGCCTGCACATAAATTGTTATTTGTATCAATCAATGAAAATGGACTAAGGGAGAATCGAATAGGGAATGGATGCTTGAGTTTTATATGGCTGCACTGTACCTTGATTTTTTCTACAAATTCGATTGCGTCGTTAAATTCCACTGGATTTTTTCTCAGAAATATTTCTTCCTCATGTGGGAGTTCGATTTGAGCTTCCTCTGGCAGAAAGGCGTTTAAACCCAAAATTAGGTCCCAATGACCTTCAAATAACTCCTTGGCTTCCAATACAACATCAGCCCCAGGGATTCTAGAGAAACCATATATGTTAACATATTATTAGTATTGCACCGAAGCTAATGAAAAGTAATGAGTAGACGGAAAAACCTACTTTTGTGCCCTGAAATCTCTTAGAACTTCGATGAATTCACAGAATTTATCCTCTCTTCCACGAAAAACTTCTTTGACCGTTTGTAGATAGTTAATGCCATCCTCCTTCCCTAGAAACTCTCCAGCACTGGTAGTTGATGCTCAAAGGAGTTATAAATTAATTAAACAACAAAATTAATTGGTAACCAAAATTCAACCCTCTTTCTCTATCCCTCAAATATTTCAAGCAAATAGATTGAAAAGAAACTTACTGCATAGGTCGCGTGGGCTTGAGTTGAGAAGTCGTAGGGAACTGAACATCCATGATTTCAGCTCAGATGATCGGTACAAAATAATGAAGCAAACAATAGATCCTCCTCAAGAACACAACAACAGTAGTTGGTTGTTCTTCTATTCTGCAGTCGCCTGTATTAGTAATGACGAAAATGCACAGCCCTTTAATTTATAGGTGGAGGCGGGAGTTTAAGAAGTGTTTGTTTTAATTTATATTCTGAATAATAAGATTTTAAACATAAATAATTGTTTTTATAATATTTTAAATAGAAAAATAATTTGAATATAATAGAAAGATATACTTTAATTAATTTTTTTTAAAAAAAATAATAATAAAAATAAAAATCAGTATAGAAATATTCAAATTTCCAAAACAAACACCCTAAACAAATAAGTAACGGATTTCAAGTGGTGCTGAAATATATCTTAATTAAGTTAATGACATAACTTAATAATACAAATTATAATTATTATTCGGAAAGCATTCAGCAACTGATCCAAAGCCTTCTCTCTAAATCGATTTTTTTTTTTTTTTTTCAAATTTTTGGATCTCTTAAATTTAAAAAATATATATAGAGAGGATATAGGAGACATACAAGGCGTGTTTCTTTTGCTTCTGTTGCGAAATCTTCGGCACAGTGAAAGATGATTTTGGCGCGCAGTTTGGAGAGAAACTCGTTTGACCGATAGCTATTTCTCTTCTTCATCGGCGTGTTTCACTGGGCGGCGGCGCAGCATGATGTTAGGCGGAGACGAAGAGGTAAAATGAAAGAACGAAAGAACATAATGGGGAAATTATAAATTTAAATTCAAACTAAACAAAGGGCGAGTTTGGCAATTATCTGATAACCGTTAACTGATTCAATTAGCTGATAGTTTTAGCTGATTCAATTAGCTAGTTTGACTAGCTGATTCGATTAGCTGTTTGTATTAAAATGTTTGGTAAAATAATCGTTTGATATTAGCTGTTTATACGTAAAATAACAATTGAAGACATTTTTTTTTATTTTTGTTTGTAATATATTTAATTATGTTCTTTTGAGTTTAGAATGTTTAAAATTTTTTGTTATTAGTCATTGAAAATTGTAAAAGTGTTATAAAAGTATTTATTTTTATTACAGTTAGATTTTAAAAAATAATATATTTTTATTAAAATATATAAATAGTTTTTCTATTGAAAATGATGTAAAATATAAAATAATAAATTTTTCGTGTATATATTTATTATGTTAGTTATCAATTAGTTCATTATATTTATAATTTTCAATGAATTTAATTTATTTAATTTATTTTAGTATAGAATTTATATAATGTAATTTTAATATAAAAATAAATTATTAATTTGTGTAAAATACATAATAAATTTTTAAGGGCGTATAAAGAATAAATTATTTTTACAGAAAAATTATTTCAAAATGTTGGGTAAGTTAGCTTTTTAGAAATTAATTTTAAAAGCTAATTTACCATACACCTAAATTAGCTTTTAGACTGGTCAAACAGCTAAAAACTATTTCAATAAGTTAAGTTTTTCAAAAAGTTATTTGTCAAACACCCCCTAAATCTTTTCTAATTAATCACAAAAAAACAAACTTACAACCGATTTGGCAACCGATTTTTTATAGGTCAATTTTTTTTTTTCAATATTCTTTTAAACCTATTTTTTAATGTACGGTTTAGTATTATTATTATTATTATTTTAAAAATAGAACTAATATAAAAATTTAAGTTTGTTCATTCAATAATTTTGTCACTAATACAAATGTTCTATAAATATTAAATAAATATATATAATATACTCCACTCATTTCAAAATACATAGAACTTTCATCGATGACTAAGAAATGTTGATTTTAGATTAGTCAATGATACGAAGTGGCCTGAAGTAACCACAATTGCAAAGTGGATGTCAGCTCGATATTCTAAACCTCAACACCTATCGAAATTAGCCATAAAAAATGCTTCTTACTTACCGAAACACTCGCCGGAGGCTGCTCCTTCGCCTCTCTTTTCTTCTCTCTCTAATCAGTTTCTTCTCTTTGCACACCTAAAAAAAACTATTACTTAAAACTCATACGATTACAATAAAAATTACCTAACAAATTTTTCAAATTTTTTGGGTAGACACACATAGGCCAAGGGGTTTAAGGATTGGGTTTGGACTTGGGCTTAAGCAAAAGAGTATAGGGTCGATCCAGTGGATCGGGCTAAAGAGTGGACCAACTAATTATATTGATTGAGGAACTAGTTAAATTAGGTTTCGAACGGTCAAAATTTCAAACACTATCAATATCATGTCAAATTTATAATTCATCGCAATGAATAGTTGTAGTTCACCACATTTTTTCACATATTGTTTTATTTAGTAAGTGTTAATCACCTGCTATTAATTAAATATCTATAATTTCACATCAAAATACCGAAAATACTTCTTTCAATGGATATTTTATACGTGAATAGATAGAATCCATTGATATTTTACTTTTTATATATTTATGTTATATCTATAAAAAACTTCTTTCTTAAGTATCATTTTTATCATTTTTGTTTATCTCATTTAAAAGTATTTATTTTATATTTTAGTAAAGTAATCATACACTAATTGTTGAAAAATATGAGTCGATAATGAGGTAGCATGAAGGAATACGAGTCAAGGAAGACCTCTTCCCGCAGAGTGAAATATGAGCGGTAGTGCTCCGGTCTACTCGAATCACTCCAAAAAAATAAAATGATTTATATCCTCTCGAAGCAGTACCACAAACAAGAGTTGACAGAAAAAATAATAGAGTATATCAAGATGAGAGTACGTAGGCTTGTTTGTATATTGACTTTAGGGTCATGGTCATGCCTATTTATGGACTTTCTACAAGCTTTTGGGGATTTTCTCTATATATATGGTGTATCACCCATATATAGAATCACATCAATTATGATATGATATCAAGAGTCAAATCTCATAAGATATGATCTCAAATTTAGAGATGTAAATCAATTTTAAGATATGACTTATCTGTTTGGTATAGATAGACTTTTTATATCCGACCTGTGAGCTCACCGACTCGGTCCGACGTCCGATCCGAATACACAACTCGCTTTGACACATAATTATGTGACATATATGATAATCATATTACTAATTTATTTCTCACTCACTATAGTTCGGTTTTGAGAATAAACTAAACATTTAATTATTATTTGATTTCTTTGAATTCTCAAACGAGAAATTCTACACTAGTATCAAAATATCCTTAGTTTATTTACATAAATTACAAATATACTATTACACGTATAATTAATCTATATATAAAGCCAAAAGACAAAAGTATCAAAACACATTTTCAATAACCAGATATTTTGGAGTGGAATGAGTGAGTATAAAATGCTCCCTCCGTCCCATTGAAAATATGACATTTACTTTTTTTTATGTAAATATTTTAATATTAGTATTATATTAGATTGCAATAAAAAAAAAAAAAAAAAAAAATCTATATTATTATTATGTTATATAAAAGTAATGACATTTGTGTAATATAGTGTAAATTGAAAATGTATTTATTATGTTAAATATGTAGTACAATTACTAAATTGAAAAATAAAAACATTATTTTGAGACATAAATGAAAAATTATAATATTCCAATAAAAGGAAAAGAGTATTATTATGGAATAGAATCAAATGCTGAAAAAAGCATTTAAGCACCTAGCTTAATACATATAAATTAAGGGTGTGTTTGTTTGGGAGTTTGGATTTTAAGTTGGGATTTGAATTGTAAAAATTTTGAATTTGAATAGTTGTATGATGTGATATAAATAGATGTTGATATGATATTTTAAATGTAAAATTGATTTTTAGTATAATATAAAAAATGAAAAATATGTGTTTGATTTAATGTTTTTTTGGGGAAAAAAATTGGATGAATAATGGAAATCTAATCCAATCTCCTAAACAAACACATTTATGTTAATTTATACTCCCTTTTGTTCTCCAAATTTATTCTTACTTTCCTTTTTAGTTTGTCCATTAATTTATCTCATTACTAATTTTGACAAAGTCAACAAATCAACCTTATTTACAATAAAGACCACTGACTTTGTTACATTCTCTATTTTCATTTACTTTAATTTCTAACTAAATTTTTAAAAATACCCTCAACTACCTATTACTTTTTCAATAAAATATTCATTTTTCTTAAACTCCGTGCCGGACCCAAGTGTGTTAATTTTAATGGACGAATGGAGTATTATTTGATTATTTAATTAGTATAATTATATAAAATTAAATTTAAATTGTTCAACATAGTGCTGAAAATATTGAAAATATTTATTTCAGCACCGAATCCATCCCGTATTATTATTTCAACATGCAAATAGTCAGAAGTTGTTTGAGCATTCATTGCGGTCGTTTTCGTTACTTCATTATTTCTTTTATTACTCTCATCTCATACATTATAGTAATCATCTTAAACACATTATCTTTACTAGGAACCATAATAATTTATTTATTTTTATATATTTTTATTGTCTAATAACATTTTTATATAATACCCCCTCTGTCCCCGGCTCAATTGATACTTTTCATTAGTGATACGGTATTTAAGACAATAATATTTAATTAGTTAATAATAACGAATTATGATATTATTTTATTATTTATTATGTAATTAATAATATTGGTAATTCTAAGATAAATTTAATATATATGATTAAAAATTTAGAATATGTATTTAAAAACTTTTAAAAAATATATGCAATATGAATATTATTTTGTAAAAAATAAAATTTTCTATAATACAAGTAAATAAAAAATATGTTTTTTTTATTTATAATTAACATAAACTAATTTTATAAAAGATGTAAAGTTTTAAAGGTAGATAAAAATATTTGTTTTTTAGGAGAGGGATAATGGATTTTGAGTGATCCTACGTGATATATGATATTTTATCTTATGTAGTTAATTAAGTTAATTTAAATTTGTTAAGTATATTTTAAGTTAGGAGGTGTATTCAATTAGGATTTTAATAGACTTGTTTGTACTTTAAAAAGTATGTAGACTTCGGTGGATTTACAAATTCAATAAAATACATGCAGTGTTTAATTGATTTTGTTTATTGATTTATATGAATTTTTAAAAGATTTGATTAAATTATTTATTAATTTATCTGAATTTCATTAGAATATATAATTTATGGATTAAATATTTTTTTAATTAATTTATATAATTTCAAATATATAAAGTATACTTATATATATATAATTTCAAATATTTAACAAAAATAATAAAAATACATTATTTTTCAAAAAATATACTATTATTATTATTTCTTTTCAAAATCCAAACTCAGACAAATACACTCTAAGGGTGTGTTTGTTTGGGGGTTTGGATTTTGAGTTGGGATTTGAATAGTAAAAATTTTGAATTTGAATAGTTGTATGATGTGATATAAATAGGTGTTGATGTGATGTTTTGAATGTAAAATTGATTTTTAGTATAATATAAAAAATGAAAAATAGGTGTTTGATTTGATGTTTTTGGGGGGAAAAAATTGGATGAATAGTAGAAATCTTATTAAATCCCCCAAACAAACACACCCTAAATGTATTAATTATTTAATAAAATATACTTAATTTTAAATTTTAATTATTACTACCCATCAATTAGAAATTATACAATTATTATTTTTATTTATTTTTAAATATTACTATTTTCGTTTCACGTACTATGTCTGCTACGATACAGTATTTTAGAAGGGGTGTAATTAGTAGATAATTAAGAATATATTAGTGAAAATAATTATTCTATAATATAAATAATTATAAATTAAGATTAAAATAACTAATTAGTTTAATTAAAATTTTAAAAAAATAAAATTAAAAAGTTTAAAATGAGATTAAAGTGTATAATCATTTTCCAAAAAAAGAAAGTGATATGATACTGGGAGACGGATAGAAACGATGACGTGGACATGGTACGTGGAACGGAGGGAGTAATTTTTAAGGGTTGAAATAGCCATGCCTGTTTGGCTAAATAGACTAGGCCTATTTTGAAAAATTACTGACTGAGCATAACTTATTAGCTTGTAATAAAAAAATTATACTGATCTATTTTTAAGTTTAGGTAGCCTAGGAGTCTATTAAAGGATTATATAATAATTAAATTTTTATCTTTTAAAATTTAATATTAATAAAAAATATAAATGCAATTATTATTTTATATATATATAATTACGACTAATCAATTTTATATTGGGTTATTATCATTAAATTATTATTTTAAAAAAAATATAAATGTATAATAATTTTATATATTAAATTAAAATTATGTATATAAATAGACCTGTTTGATAGACCTAAAATGCTTTTCGTAAAGCCTATGTTCATTCTAATTAATTAAATAGGCTTTAAAATAATTATTTGAATAAATAAGTTAAGTTGAGCTAGGTCTTATGTAGGACAGGCTGCAAGCCCTTGGTTGGCAGTGACAGCGTGTCCCTTTACTGTAAATACTGAAATCTAATTAAATACCCTCTCCCCTCCGTCTATAACAAAGTATTTATTTTTCTGTCTCGTAACAAAGTATCCATTTCCTTTTTTAAAGTAACTTTATTATCTACCTAATATTACAAATACCCTTACAACTTACAATATATTACACAAATGTTACTTTTATATCACACGTACTAACAATGTTATTTTAGTTATTTCTACTTTATTCATACTATATCCTAATATAATACTAATATTTTTAAAACTACTTGCAAAAAGCAAATGAATCCTTTCTTTTTGAGACGGAGGGAGTATTAAATAATTAAAAACATATATAATAAAAATAATTTTAAATTAATATTAAAATAATTAATTAATATAATTAAAATTAAAAAATTATAAATTAAAGATTTTAGATGAAAATAGAAAAATGAAAAAGATTGAAGACTGGATGAATGTGGAAGGAGGAAGTATTAATTTATAACGACGGGTTTTAGATTCGTTTATATACATAATCGTTCGTGCCATTGCCTCACTCTTACGCCGGAGCCTGAAGCCAATAGCCATCTGTTATAATCTTCAGTTCAGCCCATCATCATCATCATCAGCTAACGGAGATCACGAGAATGGGTGCAGTGAGAGGGATCCTGTTGGACTCCTCTGTCGTATTGTCCTCTGATGCTTCCCATGGAGACGCCGTCGTTGCTCTGGCTGCCGAATATTTGCTCGGAAAGTTGCGCTACTCCAGGATCCCAATTGTATGCAATATTTGCGCTATCTGATCGAAATCAGGCTACTATGTTTCTAATTTTCGTAAGCTGCGCGAGTTGAATGCAAATTAGTGGGATTTTTCGCTACCTATTCTGTTTCTATTTCTTTTGATTTAGCTGCTTAATGAAAGCACATGCTTTCCAATGACAAATTTCAAATTTAACTCGAGCATTTTTAAATTAGAAAGTTGTGAGCGCCGGAATGACAAGAAGACGGATTTTTTATGTTTTAAAAGAATGAAGGACGAAAAGCCTTAGCTTAGTTGTAGTAATTATGCTCCCAAATCTGTTGGAGGCAAAGTATATAATTTTCCTGAGTGATCATGAATTGTTGCAGTTTCCTGCACTCTTGTAATGTCTATATTTTGGATATTGATACTACCAACGTGCATACTTAATTTTCAGTTGCTTGTAGCTCTCTGCCATTAAGGTGGAGAAGTAGCGTGAGATATTCAACTATGTTATGCATTTGTGAACTGTGTAATTAAAAAATACTATAAGCATGAGGGGGGCTAACTGAAATGTGGTATTTCGGGGAAGTTAAAACATATATTTTAATCACGTTTTCAGTTTTGTTTTGGATAGATATTAATTCTGATGATCTGTTTGAACTAATCTAATTTTTGCAGGGAATATTATGTGAGCAAGACCTTTCAAGCCCAAAGGTGAGGATATTCATGGCTTGTACTTCTCTTCTAATACTACTGCTTAGAAGTGGATTCTTTCTACTAGCCTAATTTATGATCTGATAAGTAATTGGTTTGGATAGAAAAGTCAGTATACAATTCAATTCAAAGCCAGATTGTTTTTTCACATTTACGTGCAAGTGTGTTTTTGAAAAATTAAGCAATTTTGGTAGATCTTTTATCACCAGGATTTGAAAAAATTCATACTTGAGTATTTCATTGTCATTTTGCCAAATTACTTTATGCTTTGCTGGGTCAAAACAGATGCATGAAAATTTAACAAATGCATTGAATGGAACAACTTATAGTTTATTTACTGGTTCTCAGTTCAAGTTGAGATGGCTATTTACCATATATCTGGACACAGACAAATGCATTCACGTTCAATTTTGGTGGAGGAATCTTGGATCTATATGGAATCGTTTAAGCCCATATCTCTACCCTAGAAAGCAATTCAAATTGAATAGAAATCACAGTACATCAAACTTTTTGGGCCATTCAAAATGCAGTCAATAAGTTGATTAGCGTCCATGCAGCATCAAGACTATATGTTAGAACAGGTGGTCATGGAGAAACAGCCAAAAACGAAAAGGTAGACTGAAATCTGTTGCCAAGCATAATTTAGCTTTGAAATGAGATCTTTGAAAAGCCATCTCTAGACCAATGCTTATTGTAGGTCAATAATTGGATTTTGTTTCTTATTCTATCAGTTTAATAAATTAGGGGACTTCTTCATTAGTTTCAATGGAAACTCATTATGTTCTTTATAAAGAACAAGGTCCCACATTTATAAGTTTGTTATTTTTGGATATTCTGGAACTAATTTACGTTTCTACAATTTTTCTTAAAATCTTGGGGATATCACCGGAGAATGTTCCATCTCGATTCTGAGGGTTTACATTTGTAGCTGGAGACCTTACCATTTGTAATTTATGTCCACCACCCAGTCTATCTTGTTTTTGTTCATGTTTTTCCATTTCCAGCTTGAGTCTCTAATGTCAATTGGTGTAATTGTATACATGAAGATGTCTTTTTGCACATTGTCTGTGTGACAGCAACTAACAATTCTATGCTAGTATTTATTAGATGATATGTACATTTGTATCTGAATTATTTCTTATCAATTTTGAGATATTATGATATTATCCACCTAAAGAATCATTTTGAAGATAATACTAAAGTTGCTATCTAATCATCTTCACATTTTTATAAAGCTGGTGTCTTTTTCTCACATGTTATTGATGTATTGCCTATCAAATAATAGTATTGTGAATAGTTCTACTCATTACAGGTGAACCTTATTCAAGAGGTGGCTACAAAATACTTCTGCACCGTGTTCTGCTCATCAACAGATGATATTTCAAGTGTGATTGCTCAAAGTTGGGAGGACAGAGGAGGCGATGTTGTTCATGTAGTTTCCAGTAGAAAAATGGATTTCCATCCCAAAGGGAATGATTGTACCTGGTTGAAGGTCATTGTTGGTAAGCTTTAATAGGAAATAAGTTGTATCTTTCAAAGCACTTGCTGCTCCTTAAGATGTTACTTGGAGTTACTATTTGTAGAGTGCTGTTTAATCCAATAAACAAATGGTTAATTTCTTCTACATGAATTGGGTTATAAGTTGATTGAGTCTCATCTGTTGGACATAAACTGATTAATGTAAGCTTTTATTATTACCAATAGTAAGCAATAATAAAAAAGATTGTTCTTCCTCTATTATTGGCGGAATTAATAAAAATGATTATTGAGTTGCATTCAACCATTTTGCTGGAGAATGATGCTTAACGTCTTCTATATATATATGATCTATCTGCAGGAAATGCTGACAGGGAACCATCCACTGGTAAGTGCAGTGCCTTCAAGTTCATGCTATATTTGTGATCTCATGTTTGTTCATAATATTATCTATTATCGTTGTATATGCTATTTGCTTAGGATCTTATTTTTGGGAAATCATGGATTTGTCAAGCTGCAGAAGCGTATTACTATGCTAAAATAAGTTTTACTTTCTTCACAGATGCTGAATATGTTGGTGCTACTGGAATCTCAAACCTATTTATTAGCCAGCTTGAAGAGCTGCTTTTGTTGATATGCCAGTTAAATAAAAAGGTACTGCCTGTTTTCCCCTTTAACATGTTATTGCTGCCTTTTGTTTTTTAAAGAGCATATTAGTATATAATCCTTTTGCATCTTGATGTGAGATTTTTTAAAATTTCTATTAAATATTTCCAAATTGACCTTGCTAGACACTTACATATGTCAAACATGTTGATTATTCCTTACTCAAATGTGTTTGGAAGATGAGCCACACTTTCTACCCTCAAATTCAAGCCTTAAAGTTTCTCAATCCATCACATTTACGCAAGTCCCAGGAATTGCTAATAACTGTATGTTTACGATTTCACGAATGTGTGTTATTTCACTCAAAACTTTCTGATGATATTTGTTCCTTGGAGTATCTTTATCACACAGGCAATTGGTGAAGAGGCACTGATAGTTGGATATGTAATGAAGCCTTCGCGTGAAGGAGATTTTGCCAAGGTAAATTCTATCTGGCAAAGACAACTGCATGTTGTGAGAGCAATAAATGTTCCTATCATATTTTAATCGCAACTCCTGTGCTTCTTTGACTTTTTGAATGCTAAGTGTAGGTTTAATGGAAGGTGCACATTATTTTAAGGAAAACTTAAATTCACTAGTATCTGCCTCAGACTGATGATCAAGTTTTGAACTATCTGCTAAATTTTGCTATTAATTATATTTGTTTCAACTTTGGACTTTCCCAAACTCTTAGTTAGTGAACAGGAATCTGGCATCACATAATAGTTCTTCTACGTAGTCCATCTGGGAAGGTCTATTATCATATCTCCTGTTAATTTGATGACTGATCTAATTCATCCTTTTCTAGCTGGGGACCAGTGATCACACCTCTTATTTTGCAGAGAGGTGCATTCCCAATGCACCCAACCGAAAATGGACTGATCTTTTTGCCCCTAAATTATGATCTGCCCCTTGCACCCCAGTTTCAACTACTTGATGCTGTTCTTCATAAGGCCACAGATGAGATTTTGGCTGTTGACATGGACAGTCCTTTAGGATCTATTGAGCAGGTTACATTTACTAACAATCTGCAGGAGTTGTGTAGGTAAATTTGAACTGTATGCTTTGTTTTATACTTTATTTCACTAGCACAGACATAATCTAACTGTACGCTATTGGAAAACATTTCAAAAAACATGCCTAAATGTGTAACCACCATTTTTATGCAAAAAATGAATAGATGCAGATCATTTATTTTTCTTATTCTGTTGTAGATCATAAAATATAACAAGGGCATAAAAAGTGCCGATGTTCTTTTCCCTGCTTTATTCATTATATGCATTTTGCAAGTTATCTAAAGAAGGAACTGGATAGATACATAAAATTCCTCAAAATGTATATGTGTGCATTATGAAAAGCTTGAATAACCTTTTAACTCCTTTTCTGCATTGAAGAAATATTTTGCAATACAAAACTATTAACATATTCAATTATGTTTTGCAGGCACATTAAATGCCACCTGGATTGTTGTGTTATTGACCCATTTAACAACGTGCTCCCCATACTGGATCGGTTCAGAATCCAGCAGATTCTTTTTGGCTTGGAAAAACTCAACATTCATGGCCATTGCAAAATTAGACCTCCCCATTTTCTCAAGGTTATTAATATAGGTCTACTTTCTTGCGATGGAAATAATACAATCAAGGATTAGCTTTCTGCTATAATTCTTGTATTTACTGCAAGCATATTTTGTAACAATTTGCATCAAACATTTGCTAAGATTCAAAGAATAAGAATATATTTATGTTAAGATGAGACTGATACACACACACACACACATATATATAAGATGAGACTAATAATTGAATTTTAGAGATTGGAACATCAGATTGCTTGGAGTTAGTTCTCATGGACACAATTTTCTTTCAACCTATTTTGAGGATATGACTTAACTGTTGATCTTTAACTTGAAGGAGAGAAGTGGTTGATTGAGTCTTTCTATCTTTGAACTGTTCTTCAAAATAAGTTTTAAGTTTTAAGCAAATTAAATGTACATATGTGGGTCAACAATATTTATGCATGTATCTGAATATTTTTAAACAAACATCCTAAAAAATATCATTGGAAACCTTAATCTCTTATGGCAACATTTCTGTTTATAAAGAAGTAATGTAGCATTTGCTTAACAAGGGACAATAAAGAGTACATTATTTAGCTATCATATGTTTTCCTTCTTAACTATCGGCTGCCTGTTATGATCTTTCCCTAGTGCTCTAAAACATGGCTTTAGAAAGTGATTCACTTGGTTCTATCAATGTATGATTCACTAGATATAATTGATCTCTTTTAAGAAATGGTTTTATGAGGGGGTCCTCTTTATATTTCCAGTCTTGAAAATCTGGCATGTCCAGTAATTGAGGTATTTTCTGCTCTACAAATTTTGCAATCTAAAGGCTACACTAGGTTGGTTATTTGTACTATGGAGTAGTAGATGGAATAGAAGGAAAACATAGTACATATGTTTGAGCACCAGCACTTACTATCTCTTTTAATAGAGAGTAAACATTTTATTAAAATAAAGCTTCATAGAGAACGTCACTCCATTCAAATAGATAGCTTAACGTATCCCATGGTGCCGCACTTAGCAAAGTAGTCTGAAATCCTAGAACATATTACTCTCTTTTTTTAGCAGAGTGAACTTAGTACTATCCTATTGTTTATTTTGTGAAGCTTTTCAGCATTTCAGTTACAATTGAGCCTAACTGCAGGTTGATCGATTTGATGAATCTGATTTGGAGCAAAAGTTAGCCCAAGCAAAGTTGTCTCTACCAACTATAGTGAAACCTCAAGTTGCATGTGGTGTATCCGAAGCTCACAGTATGGTATGTGTTGATTATGTGTCAATGATTGAGATTATCCAAATATTTAATTTTCAACAGCTCAGAAAATGAAGGATGAGTAATATGTTTAAGGCTTTTATTTTTTGCAAGCCCATTGTGCATCCCTACATGTATCTACCACTGTATCGCAGAATTGATTTGAAGACAGAATATCTTTTTACACTAACATATACTCATTTGCTCCTGTGATGCTGGTTTGTGCTAAGTCCAGTAGTGATCTCGCTTGATATTATATGAAGGAAGAGAATTCCAATTATTTTGCTTCTATATTCTAGTTCATCTTCCAATGGTTTCCTACACCCTTATTCTTGTTTAATAGCCAGCATCGGCTACATTTCTGAGATATGGAGATGAAGTTTGGGTCCCTTAGTATACATTTAAGTAATGAGTATTTGAATCATTGAATGATTGTTTTACTGGAGCACTTGTATAATGAAGAGCGTCAAATGTTCTTAATCTCATTGATAGGACCACAAACCTGTTGGCTATTGGATGTCTGATTTGTCCAAGGGCAAAGATAATGGGGAACAAATGATCTACTAATTGCAATAATCAAGTTATGAGATTTATTCTATTAGTTGCAAGATTATGGCTGAAATAATAGTTATATGTTAGTGTTATTAAATAGTGTTAGATTAGTGTTCGACATTAAATTTGTGGCTATCCATTTCTCTCTTTTGAAGGTCTATGTATACTCATGTAGTTATAGAGTAAAAGTACAACCTGAATAAATTAGGTCTTTGAATAAAAAATCTATCATGGTATCAAAGCTAGTTATTTGAATTTCTCCATTTTTCGAATCAGTTGATTATCTCTATCACTCATTTACTTTCAAGTATCCTATCCTTTTGGTCAATCACATTAGGATAATGGAATTGCCGAAAAATGATAGCAAAAAATAAAATTATAGGGAAAAGAAATTTAGCAAAAAATTAAAATTAATTCTTATATTTGGTAAAAAAAAATAATTCAATTAAGAAATGTAAAAAAAATATTCTGTTGAAAATGTAAAAAATACAGCGATTTAGATGAATCAATTTAACGGGGATAATATATTGCGAGTGAAAAAGAAAAAAAATGAATTGATTAGGAGAAAACTATGAATTTTGTAAGAGAGATTTTTAGTGAATTTTTATTTGTTAATCCAATTTTTCATGAGTGCACCGAACATATTGAATTTGATTGCAATTCTATCCACGAAGTATATTATGCTCATTTAATATCTCTTCCGCGTATCACCAAGATTTTCAATTTGTTGATATATTTACTAAGGCTCTTTCTCCGCATAGACACATTTTCCAGTGGATCAACCAACATCAGTTTTTTGTTTTTTGTTAGGGTGGTGGGGGGATATCAACGGTAGAGATTTTATGGCAACAATTATGGTCTACTAATTGCAAAAATTAAGGGCTATCCATTTGTCCCTTCTGAAGGTCTATATGTACTCATGTAATTATAGTGTAAAAGAACAAGTGGAATATTCAGTCTTTGATCTAAAACCTTGTCAAATAGAAATAGTCCACCTTGACATTTTGAAAGTTGATATTCTGACCATGGAAAAGTAAAGCATGATAATATGGATGAAAGGTATTGGTGTTTGTTTAGAAATAGAACAAGAAAAATTTTGTAATGTGACTAAATCAGAGTCGGGCATTTCTTAATTCATTGGATAAGCAAAGTTACCTAACGTAAACGTTCATTTGATGCCATTGTGGACATGTATTGCAGGCAATTGTTTTTAAGATAGATCAATACAAGGATCTCAATATACCTCTTCCAGCAGTGGTTCAGGTAAGCAACTTATTGCATACATAGCATACATTGTTTAAATACTGTTTATTACATGTGAATCTGATATTCCTTCTTCTTGGTTTTGCTTACGTGAAGCATATAACTGTTTCTCAAGTTATTTCTATAAGTAGAAAGGCCAGTAAACGCCAAATAAATGAATCTCTGATAATGATGACATAAGATACTCTGGTCTTGTGCGTTTTGATATGGTTTGATAACTATGTTCCATAGTTCATATTCTGAACCTGGATTCTCTTCTACTGGCTATTTTACCTTCCCGTGACAACTGAACTGTTGTCAATGAAATTTATTTGCAGGAATATGTTAATCATATGGCTTTGATTTACAAATTTTATGCCTTGGGTGGAAAGATTTTTTATGCAGTCAAAAAGTCAATTCCCAATGCTGATAACTTGATGAGTTTATCTCCTGAGAATGGAATGAAACCATTACTATTTGACAGGTATTTTATAATGTCCTTCTGTTTGTACAGTGTCATGATTCAATGCTCATTTCTCCTCTATGGCATCTAGAAAGCTGATGATAACTAACCCCCTCTGTATTTATTTATTTTTCTGGCAGCCTAAAATCCCTGCCGGTTGCTAAAGAGCAAGTCAATGTTACTAGTCACCAGATTGATCTTGATCTAGTTAATCATGCCGCAGATTGGCTCAGAAGAACACTTGACCTTACTATTTTTGGATTTGATGTTGTGGTATGTTACTTTTATTATCTTTTCTTTTCCACAATAAAATTTTCGTATTAAATATCATATAGGGCTATCTAAAAATATATATATCATTTGTTGTTACTGTAAATAAGGAAAGGTGAACTGTTGCTGTCACTAATCAGACCTAGAAGATTAAAACTAGGTAATAAATGCTGAGTTGTAGCTGCAACGAAATTGGGCTACAAGTGCCAATGAAATTAGGCAAGGCCGCAACCGAGGCCAGGCCATGGCCTAATCTAACAGGGCAATACAATGTTGATTGGGCTGTAGCCTACCCCAAAATAGCATTGTAAAGTGTGGCTAGTTGGGAAACAACTAAGGCTAATTGGACCATTTAGGCCATTCAAAATCGGTCTGCAATTGGCTGAGATCTATGGAATCCAATATTTGTTGCTTATAATCAAGGGCCATGGTTTTACCACATAGGTTAACCACTTAAAGCAGAGACCATTTTTAGAAATGAGGACATTTGGATGAGAATAAAGGAGACAAACCCTATCCTAACAGTCATTATGTTGCTTTAGTTTTTATCTTGCTTAGGTTATTATAAGTTTTTCTTTTTTTCTTCTCTATCTTACTATTGTTATTGTTTCCTTTCATTTAATTTTTTCGATTGTTATCCAAACCTGGATCCGTTCTCTTGTGGTAACAAACTTTTGGCGTGTTTGGAGGCACCCAAACTTTAGTAGTGATGGCCTTCAAAGATTAATTTGCACCATAATTTCTTAGACAAGATTGTGGAAACAAGTTGTCAATATCATCCATTTTTTTTTTTTTTTTTTTTTTTTTTTTTTTTTTTATACTAGACGGTTGTATTAGAAATTTCACAATGTTTATTTCTATGCAATACAAGGTCATTACATAATTGGATCGTGATTTTTAGAAAGCTTTATCAGAAATTTTACCCAATTTCTTGAATAAGATTGAGGAAATAAGTTGTCGATATTATTTATTTTATTTCTTTATATTTATAGAAGTTTATAGTAGAAATTTTATACTAACTCCATTATCCAAATGTGTGCTCAAATGTTTGGGCACGGATTTTAATAAAAGTGGGTAATTATTGTTACTTTTTGCCTTTTATAGTAAAAAAGTACAAAAAGGTGATCTACTTTTTTATTAGAAAAGGAAACAAGAATGTTTCATTTATGACAGGCAAAAAAGGAAAGTGAACATATATTTGGATGACGGAGAGAATAATGTTTATTTCTACTCGTATAAAGTCGTCTGTATAATAGGCGCATAATTAAAGTTTGAACATAGAAGGTATTCTATACAAACTATAAGCTAAACAAATGGATTTTTTTAATGGTAACTTGTCCAGACATTGCAACTAATGTCACAAGCCAGTAGGAATGCACCTGCAGACAATTATGGGGCCCTTCTAGAGTAACTTTTATGTTATCTGTAATGAGACCCTGGACGAGGCTTATTTTGCATCAGACATGGTCAATCTAAAATAGACTGCTTTATAGGTTTGGACTGTGTTGAGTGAGTTGGGTCTTGGAATCAGTGAAGATTAGATTCTTCAGGCCACATATTCAACCAAACTCATTGGATGGCCATCCCTGTGGGATCTTTAGTCTATCAGGGAATACTAATTTTGTCAAAATTCTCATCTCATTAGCTTAACTGTTATCTTAACTTTTGAAGACCTCTACTTTAGCAGAGTTATCTGAAATTAATACATCACCCTATTAGCCATGGCGCGCGCTTGTGCTAAATATACTTCCGCATTGTTCAACTGAAGCAACTTTTTTGTTTTGTTTTGTTTTTTTGTTTTTCGTCTTTTTTGGTCTCCAATGATCAAACTTATGCTACTATTAACCAAGATGAAGTGCTAAAGTTGGCTTGGTGCTTTCTAAATAGTTTGATACATTTTCCTTCAGTGCTAATAAAATCTCTACAGGATCTGGTGCAGGGTACCAATTCAGACCTTATTGGACATGAATAAACAAATGATATATCATCATTCTTCTCTTAATTCTACAAATATGTTTATAGCAAGGACATTATAAATTGACTGGGAAAAGAATACTCTAAACATGGTGTGAACTTTGGATATGTTTCATATATCTGACCTACCACAAGTGGGAAATTTTATTTCTTGATGTTTTGCTTATGGGGTTTTCATTTTCTTAAACATCAGGTTCAAGAAGGCACAGGTGACCATGTCATTGTGGATGTGAATTATCTGCCATCATTCAAGGAAGTTCCTGATGATGTGGCGATACCTGCCTTTTGGGATGCTTTGAAGGAGAAGATCCTGTCAGGAAAGTGCAAGAATACCTCTTAAATATCACTAATTGCTGTGGACATGGATTCAGAATGCTTCTTTCTTATCTTTTTGCTGTGGGGACATAATTACATTTTTAGGGCATGTAGTTTTTGTAGAACCCTCTATGTAACTAAAGTGCATTATAACTTATTTTAACCTATGTTGGAGCGGGTGAGCTTCTTGAGAAATTCCGTTTCTTTTGCTTTCAATTTGAGCTCTCAGGCAAATGTAGTCATGCATGACTTTTTCGTTATGTTCATAAATTAGCTACCCAGACAGGCCATAGATCTGTGTAAGTGGTTATGTCATGCAGCTTAATATGCCTTTAGAATGGGTACTGGTTCAAGATTTTAATTGACTGTTCCATTTTCAATGAAAATATTCAATTAACGAACTTGAAAATGGGTCGTTACGACTGTTAGAAGACATGCAATAGAGCCCCGGTCATCCAATTCATCAAGGCTTTCAGAAGTAATTAGCAAGCAGAATAAGAGGAATATATGTAGTTGGATTGACTTGAAAAGCACATGGACTCTGTTCTCTTGGGTCTAACCAACCAAAAGAAGGTATTGTTTTCTAATTCACCACACGAGGTTGACTCTAATAATGTTTTTCCATGAATTATTGACGCACGTTGATTACCATTGTTCTGCCTTTGGACATGATGTCTAATTAAAAATTCTTACACATCATTTTGGTGTTGCCAATATGTAGGGATGGAAACAGCGGGATTCCTTATCCAGAACTAAGCTGGAGGATAAACTGTACAATGATTTTGATTCTTCTTGTTGAGCTAGAAAAATTTCCCCCAAGACAGGAAGATATTACATGGTTTTATGCATCTCCTCAACAATGTGCTCATCTTACTAGTAAGTTTACTCGGTTGCTTCTGTAAGTTAACAGTGAATACAACAGTTAGAGATACTCAATGGTATTTAAAATCAGGATATTAACAAATCTTCAAGCTGTTGTTTACCACACCTGTTGTATTTTCTGGTATGGATGCTAAACTTGTGTTGCCCTGTGGATCAATGTCTTTGGACCTGTCACTGTGATCGCTCCTCTGGGTTTCCTGGGCAACAATTTATATGTATTTTCAGTGATTCTTGAACCTGCTAAAAGCTTTATTACAGTTCTAAGCAACTCCAAGCTGTGATTTCTAGTTGGGCAAAGATGCTTTGGATCATAATCACTTTAAAGAGTATCAGAAAGTTGTGTGCGCGTGATGACTGACCTTATGTGTACTGGAAAAGCTGGGATCTACAAGAAACTTCATGTCTTCTTCACCGAAATCTCTCAGTCTATTAAGCTCAGGCAAGATTACCTTTCCAAGGTCTGGTCTATCTTTTCGCCTTAGTTCTGTACATTTGACGGCCATTTTTGCAAAGGACAAGGCTTCTTCTACAGGCCAATCAGGCACCGCTGGATCCAGCATCTCTGCAAAATTTCCATGATCAATTGCCCGGGCAACATGGTGAGTCAAACCCATTGCTGACTTGGCTGTTAGTATTTGTAGAAACACCACACCAAGGGAATAGACATCAGATTTCACTCCAAGCATTCCTGTCTGTTGATATTCCGGATCAATGTAGCAGAAAGTTCCAGCTGCGGATGTCATTCGATACTGTGTTACATCATCAGCTACAGAAGGAGGGACGAGCCTTGCCAATCCAACGTCTCCAATTTTGCTCACATAGTTCTGGTCGAGCAGAATGTTTGCTGGTTTGAGATCACGATGGACTAATGGCTCTGGTTTTGTCTGGTGCAGAAAATGCAGACCAGTGGCAATCTCTGCAGCGATTCTGAACCGGAGTTGCCATGACAGGGCTAGTGTGTTGCCTTTCCCCCTGAGACAATCCTCCAGGCTGCCCTTTGCCATGTACTCATAAACTAGACAACCGTATTCAGGGCATGCTCCAAGAAGTAGAACCATGTTAGGATGTCTCAGGCAACTCAGCACTTCAACCTGCATTCATGCAATCAGTAACAGATGTGGAAATGAATTCTTCATTGAGGAAAATGTAAATCATCTGAATCTTTGGTCAAAATATTTTTGAAGCCAAACCTCTCTCTGAAACTGTTCCCTTCCTTGTGCAGCGTCAGGGCGCAATATCTTAACAGCAACACGGGTATGATCCAGGTAACATTTGTACACAGGGCCATAGCCCCCTTCTCCAATTTTATGGGATTCGGAAAAACACTCTGTTGCCTCTTCGATCTCATCAATGGTGTATATCCTGCATCTCAGTGAGGACACTGCCATTGGAGCTGCTTTAGCGTTCTCTACACTTATCTCTTCTTCCTCAGCAAGCCGAGCTTCTTCTACTCTTCTCTCTTCTTCCATTCGCCACCGATTAAGCTCCACAGTCTGTATGAAACGTTACATTTAAAATTTACTTTTTACAAATTTAGTTTTCATTTCATTTTCATTTTAATCCCTGCCTTCTGTTTTGCTGTGAGCGCTTCCTTGCAGGCTGTGCTGTACATTTCCATAGTCTTCTGCAGCTCGAGCTTTAGCCTTCTCATCTCAGCTTCGACATCATCCTGCATCATTCACATGATTCATGAGTGATGTTATCATTTGTAAATCAAACTTTTCAATCCTGGGATTTGATAACATGCTCACACTTTCAAATGATGATGATGATTTATCTGTGAAGGAGCTGTAGTTGCTCCCCCTGTTACTCGAAAATATTGATCCAAAGCTACTGGTTGAGCTGGTTGACATCCGAGATGAATCCATGGTGTCGAAGAGCATGCCAGACATGCGATCTGTGCTTATCCTGCTATCTGTGCTCGGTCTCTCAGAGCTAATAAATGATATATCTGAATCAGTTTCTGAAAGGTCGGCAAACATCTTCCCGGTAGGCCCTCCTCTTCCTCTTGAAAATGGTGATCTGTATATACCGCATAAATGTTAGGAGCTATTATCTTTTCATCTGCCTATATTGAAATGTCAGATAGGAGTTTTAAATAGTAATTCTGAAGATGATGAGATAAACCTGTGAAACTATTGCTTTATGATTTTAGGTTTAAAATAAAACTTACTTAACTAACTCTGTGTCATCAATTGTAGTCCTATGTGATAATCTTTGTCCACCTCCACCTGCTCAACGTAAGATTCCACATCTCAACTAATTGGGATGACATGGTTACTTTGTGAAGAAAAATATAATATCACAGCTGCCTCTAAATTTGGAAAGAACCTTGTATGTTTGATGTTCGCTTGGAAAGGACCTTAGGAGGTGAGGTATTCCCGTTGCCCGTCTCTTCGATTTTCTGGATTTGAGGTGTTAGAGGGGAGTCGAATGGCGCTTGGCGTGCAGCATTCCTCACAGAAGATATCTTGGTTTTTGAGATGACATAGACAGTGCAGAAGTCTGGTGCTGCTTTCGACACACTGCCAGGTAAATCTACCATCTTGAATCTTCTGCCACGCAACACTAGTTTTGTTCATGTTCGATTTGGCAATGCATTGAGTATAGCGCAGTAGAAAACAATGTTATCTTGCGTAAGATTGTGAAAATTATCATCACGTTGCTCATGCAAGATTCAAGATTTGAAAAACCAGTCCTTTCTTATTGAGTTCTAATTAGATTTCTGCCAGTTCGAGTAGAAAAAAAAAAAAAAGGCAAAGGAGGAATCAAGCTGGATCAAGCTTCACCTGATAAAGCCACGATGTGATGTACCAAGAACCAAGTTCTCGATTGCAGCATGAGCAACGTAGTCAGTTATTGCCCGCGCAATGTCTGTGTCCTCCAGCACCACGTCAAAGCAATGTATCTGTTGAGCATTCGAATGGCTACAATCAGGCCTTTAAAAGTGAAAAGCATGAAGATAGATATCAAAGTGAAGTAGAGAACCCAAAAAGGGAAGATTATATCAGCTTAGCGTACATCTTTGCGTGTGCAAAAGCAATGGAAGGTAAGGAGTAACTCTTTTGTACGACTATCAAATTGTTGCGCGTTCACAAAGTTACCTCCATCAGGATTATTAATGTCATAATTATTCCCTGCTGCAGAGAAAAGCTCATATAACATCTATTTGCTTCAAGAAACGGGAAATCATTATTCAACATGCTTGTGCATGGGAAAAACCAGAAAATGAGGATGCACGAGAATCTGCTTACGCTTTGATTGAGGTGATCTATGGATAACATGGATAAGAATGACAGTATGCCCTTTGGAAATGAGATTGTCGGTAGCCCAACGCAGCGCATGTTGACTGCCTTTGTCCTTGTCGATGGCAATGGCAACAAGGCCATTCCTTCCTGTTTTTCTTCCAACATTGCTGCTGGTCCTTCCACTGGAAAGCCACATCTTTAATTGATTCTACAAAGGTAAAAAGCCTCTCTTTACTTTCTTTTCGTTTTAGGTTTAATTTTGTGATATGGGATTGCTTGCTGTTCCACTTCTAAATTTAGTTATTTTGGTGCGGGTTCTGTCGGGGAACCTTTGAAAATAGACAGTGGCATCCCTTAAATCTCGGAGCTGTTCCACTTCTAAATTTAGTTATTTTGGTGCGAGATCTGTTGAGAACCTTTGAAAATAGACAATGGCATCCCTGAAATCTCGGGGAGAGAGAAAACAGATCAATCTTGAATATTTGAGAAAAGATTTACTAAGTTACATATGTTAATATGTATATAAAATAATATGTTCCGAATTATATAAAATATTTGCACACTAATTCTATGATTAGCATGTTTGTTTGGATGATTGGAGGATTGGATTTTGAATTTGGATAAGACAAGATTACGATTAAAGACAATTTGTTATGATCCTCAGCCTTGGAGAAAAAAAGCCCATGTGTCAAAGTAAAGCATAAATTTGGATAAGACAAGATTATGATTAAAGACAATTTGTTATAATTCTGTTTCAAAGTCATAGAGAAAAAATTAAAGTAACTTCCTGGTTCTATTTTACCAATTGAATTAGCTCTAGATAATATAATTTTACAATAAAAGTTTTAATATTTTTTTTCCTATGTATAGTTTTTTTTATAAAAAAATGTAATTAAATATATTAATTTTTTTTTTATAATTATTTAATTCTTTCTTATTTTGTATTTGGGTATTTTGGGATATTTTAAAATAATAAAAATATTAATTTATAAGAATATTTTATATAATATCAATAAATATTTAATGTAATATTTTTTAAAAAACAAATTACTATAGATAAATAAAAATTAAACACTAGAAAAATAATAACTTTTGTTTCTCTTAACCCTAGTTGATTCATTGGCAATTTTTATATTTTAAAAGTTTAATCTTGCAGTAACTTATTTTCTTAGGTTCAAAATTTTTGTCTTTGAAGATAACTTGGTGCAGGCGATGTCTGCATCGAAGCACTCATTTCTCTCTCGTATTTTTCATCTCTCTTTATCTCTTCTATTTTTCATTTTTTTGACACAACGTTTTATTCTTCTCCTCTCTTGGTGAGGCCTAAACCCTAATGAACCATTGCGTGTAATAAATAATACCGAACCTTCAAATTTATGATTTAATTTGACACATCAGCTTTTTTAATCAGATAGATGCTTTTCGCTCGGCGACCATTGCAGTAGCTCTTAACCCTTCAGTCAACACCATTCATCGCCATCATCTTTATTGAAAGGGTGGTCATCATCATTGTCTATAGGCTCATTTGGAATTGGATAATGTAATTTTCACTACTTCAAATAACATGTTTTTGACAAAAGAGTTTATCTTTTCGGTGAGTATTATTTTAAAAATTAAAATTTTACATTCAAAAATCACATAAATCACTATATACTATATTATATAATTATTCTAATACAAAATTTTTACTATTTAAATTTTCCGACAAATACACCCTAAATGTATTAGTTATTTAATAAATTATACTTAATTTTATTTTAATTATTATTTATTAATTATTACTATCCTCCAATTAAAAATTATACAATTATTATTATATCACTATATACTAAAAAAAATAAAAAAATACTTTCATATAAAGTTAATTGCATATTTTTAATGTTAAATAAAATAACATAAAAAATAATTGTATAATTTCTATATGAATATTATATTAAAAAAAAGAGTTTATTTGTATAATAAAAATCTGATCAATTTTGGTGTAAATATAAATTATTTTAATCAATTTTAATCTCAATTGCTGACGTGGACCTAAGAAAAATGACGTGGACGATGGATTGGATAAAACACGGCCGTATATAATAGAGGACGCCTGTGTTGTCACAGTAAAAATACGATGAATCAAAGTACACAGCCGTGCTCCATTGTACATGGCCGTGTAAATTCTTACAGCATGTTTGTCAGTTAATGGTGAAAGTACATTGCCGTGTGGGATTTCTTTGAGAATTTTGTCGGCTCCTCCGGCGGAAAGTACTGCGCAAAGATGCAACTCGATAGACGTTTTCGGTGGAGGAATTTGCTGGCTGCACAGGAAGGGTTCGAATAGCTCTCGCTGCTTAATTAGTTGATGAATTACAAGTTCAAGAAGTTTGATTTGGAGATTTGAAAAATTGGGATTGAATTAATTAGCTTAATTCATAAAAGCAGTCCTGAAAATCTAAACTTTCTTAAACTATATATATATATATATATGCAAATCAGAAGATACAAATCTATAAATATATATATATTAATGTATATACGATAAAAAAAAATAAGGGTCAAATTGAAGGCTTTTCTTTCTTCATTAGAATAGATCCTTTAATGATTATCTCTAATATGTTAATTCCAATCTTTGATCTAATTCTTGTGTGGAAGATCCAAGATGCTACCAAGAAAGAAACCCTTGTAATTTAAACCTTATAATTTAGACAGGCTGTAAGGATGTCCACGGCCGTGTATTCTTATTCAACATGTTTTTACTGTGACAACATGGACTTGATTTATAATTATACACGGCTGTTTAATTAAAATAGTTTATATTGAGATCAAAATTGATGAATTTTTTATATTGAGATCAAAATTGATGAATTTTTTATATTGAGACCAAAATTGATTAATTTCGACCAAAATTGATTTTTTTTTTCCTATGTTGAATTATATAAAATATTTGCACACTAATACTACTATTAGTGTGTTTGTTTGGAGGATTGGATTTTGAATTTGGATAAAACAAGATGATGATTAAAGACAATTTGTTATGATCCTCAGTCTTAGGATCTTAATCATATTAATTTCTTGGAACAAGTCTTCTAATGTCTTCCAACTATTTAGGATATCAACTTCTCTTCTTCCCTAATACAGGTTTTTTTAATTACACACTTATTATTTTCTGGCATTCGTGTTAAATTATTATTTCCCAAACTCAAATTTAACACAATACTATGGATGATTTTATCATAGGCATATGGCAATTTGCTGAGAATGATCTGGAGATCTTCCATGGATGAAGCTCACCTCATGCAAGAACATGGAAATGGAAGATTGATTTGCTAAATTTGGCTTCCTTTCAATCTAATCATGGAAGGTATAACCGATCAAGTCCAATGCAGAACCAAATCGGATTCGACAGTGATGAGAATCCTGCGATGTGCAATGGATGAGCGACACGAAAAGCTGCAGTCGAGAGGTGGTCTTTTCGAGTTCCTACATGACCGAGCAACCTTCTACGAGCTTGCGGCTGTCCTAGTGGAGGGAGGACTGAATATTGTCCGAGAAGAGACAGATGGCAACTCTGATAATATCCTGTCTGATTTGGTTGAAATCAAGAAGTGGCTCGAGGGACGGATCGAGGAATTGAATGAGCTAATAGTCGAAAAGGACAAAGAACTTATGGAGAGGTTGGAGAATGAGTTGAAGCTTCAGCAAACACTCGAGCTGAAGGATGCTGAAATTGTTCGCTTGCAGGAGAAGCTAATGAAGTATGAGGATGTCCTGAAACCTGATCGACCAATCCAGGAGGGCCTTTCCGAAGAGGACATCCTTAAACTCAAAACTTCGGACGATCAACAAATGGGGTACTATTATCCTTAAAAAGGTTGAGTTGTTGAGAATTTCATAGCTTTATATTTAATTCCTTCGACAGTCTCCTATGATCTGATGATTCTTTTTCCAAGTTTATTGCAAGTGATAGTACAATGTGGTATTTATTTTACATTGATTTTATACATAAATTCCTCTTACAGGTTCATGAAGAAGCAGCTAGAGGATGAGGTGAAGAGCCCGGTTCTTGACAGGAGGACGAGAAAGCATCACACCTCAAGTCCAAATCTTAGCTTCGACTTCTTGGATAAGGAAAGTAACGAAAGCCCAGCTTTATGCAAACATGGATCTTTTATATTCGAGGGAACAAATGCAAAGAGTCAGCCTTCAAGGCCTGTCCAAAAGCACACACTCATAAAGCGGATGAGTTCAGACATCGGCTCTTTGAAAGATATTCTCGATCTTGCATTTGGGAAGATGCAAGAAGCTGAGGTGTTGCCGCTCGAAAAAGAATGGAGATGGAACATCGAGAAGGATGTCGCCTCAGTTTTTCTACAAGGTGTTGTAAGAGATATACGAAAAAGCTCCATCGAAGTGGAGGGCTTAAGAGAAGAAGTAGAAAAGGCGAAAAACGAAAGAGACAGCTTAAAGTACACTTACCAGTTTCTTGCAAGAACCATGGTTGAGGATGTCTGTGGACTTTCTTGCAATAAACAAATGGACATTGAAGACGGGAGTTTCGGAGTTTTCGACGAATTAAAATCAGCTTTGAATCAGATTGTTCAGCATTGCTTAGAGAGCACAGTAAGGGAGGATATATATATGATTTTCGTTAGGGAAAAATCAGAGCAACTGAAGAGAATTGCAGAAGAACAGTTCAGGAAAGAACATCCAGCAAAGTTCACTTCAATTCAAGAGACTTCTTTCGATGCAGCAACATTCGATTATACTCTAATGGAGTCGACAATGAGCTTGATGAAGGAAGATATATACATGGTTTATTTTAGGGATATGATCGAATCGTGGATGTTAGAAACAAACGACAGAGGCATCGAGAGTCTTGTTAGGGAGAATACGAACGATTTTATCATCGGCGAGGCTGTAAGAGATTTATGCATCAATTTAAGCAAAGCGCAGGCGGCAAGACAGTTGTGCATTCAGGATCGTACGCCTCGCTCTTTGAATTTGGACTTTCAAGGAAGCACGCCGCCGCGTTCTAGGAAATTCGACGCGGATGGAGAGGACATCCTGATTCAAAAGATCGATTCTTTGTCGAAATGCCTGGATGCAGAGGAAGATCTGATGCTGAAAGCAAGCTGTGAAATACAGGAGCACAATGTGAACAATAGTTTGGTCATCCTCAACTGCGAAGAGAACGAAGAGCGCGACGTGATCAAATGGTTGATAACCGACGACGAAAGTACCTTCACTTCAGTGAGTCATAAGCTGGAGAGAGCTCTGCAGCAGGTGTACACAAGCAAGGAGTTGCTGGTGGAGTTAGAGCAGAGTCTGGAAGAGCCTGGCGACGAAGCGGGAGAGCATGACGATATTAGGGAGCTGGTTTCACCCAACGACATTTTAGGGATTACCATGCAATTTCAGCTGATGTTCGAGGATTTCGACTGCGCTGTACGTGAAAAGCTAGAGAGGAATCGGTCGAGGTAATCAACTCCCGTTTGATACACATTACAGCATAATATGATAACACGAGTTTCTCCATATCCATCGATCCTCAGGCTCGAGGAATTGAAGTGTCGAATTAATACAGCAACGGAAGGCGCAGCCTTACCGAGGAAAAGAAAATTGGTGTACAAAAAGGCCTTCATTTCAACTAGTCACAACTTGAAATTAGCAGAAACAGAGGCATCGATCTATCCTTGTATGCATATCTAGCTATTGTGATTTCAAGAAATTGATTATTTTTGTGGGAATTTTTCAGGTTGATTTGCTGGGGAATCAAGTGGATGACCTGTTGTGCCTGTTGCATAGGATACATATTGAATTGCACAAAAATGCTGCAGCTTTGTCAAGACATTTTGAGGTAATTATAAAATGAATAATAGTTGCACATACAAATTGAGCATGAGGAATTATGTGATAAATTTTGGTATGAATAATTGAATTAATGTAGGTTTATGAAATATTGAAGTTGATCAAGGGAGAGTTAGGCAACAGGGGTCCATCTTGAGAAACTCAAATCTCACTTATACATATATATATATATATATATACTATATTAGAACTGTTAACGAGTCGACCCGAGCCGAGCAAAATTTTAAGTGTTCGTTAATGTTCGCGAACAAGGCTCGTGTTCGTTCGTTAAGCTTTCGAGCTCGTTCATAGTGTTCGAGCTCGGCTTGTTAAGAACTTTTGTTGATTGAGCCCGTGTTCGTGTTGGGTTCGTTTAGGCTCGATTAAGCTCGTTCGAGTTCATTCGGGCTCGTTTGTCTTATTTTTTTAAATTTATATATAAATTAAAAAGAAAATTTAAAATTATTTTATTTATATATTTTAAATCAAAATTTTATTTATTTATAAATTATAATTCTATATGTATATATAATATTTATAATAAATATATTATTTAAACGAACATTAGCGAATAAAGTTTGGGTTCGTTCGTTAACCAAATGAGTTTGTTTATGCTGTTCGGCTCGGCTCGTTAACGTTCATGAATGAGCTTTAACCGAGTCGAATCGAGCCGAACTCGGCTCGGTTCGTTTAACAGCTCTAATATATGTATATATATATATATATATGATGTTAATTGAAAGTTTGCCTTTAGCCATGTTTAGAACTTAGAATGAGTGTGTATAACTAACTAACTACTTGTAAGAACTCTACAAGGCATTGTTTCACTCTATACATTTTTTTTTCTGAAACATGGGAACCGCAATTGGGGCGAATGCAATAACTTGCAAATTGCCAGTTAAGTTACACTAAGCAAATCTTGTGTGACATATTTGACTAAGAAAATGTTCGATAGGATATGAACCAGTGATCTTGCATTCACCGGTCTGATGTACCACATCAACTCGAATACTTCTTATAAGACTATAGGATTTAGGATTTACCTAGTGATCAACTTTGTTTTATTCGATCTATATTACATTAACATTAGTCTGAAACTACAGTGAGTGTACAAACAAAATAAACCAACACCATAATATGCATCTTATATGCAGGCATGGTCACCCAATAATGAAAATGTACTCGAATCGACATTTTCAGGGCTAATGGAACTCAAAACTAGTACTCAGATGACAATACTTTTACTTCCTGATCCAATCCCATCTTGTATACCTAACTAGATTGTAATACACAAATATTTTCTCTACTTAAAAAGGATAGCCCAATGAGAAAAGTTGGAAATCCTCTCAATTAATTAATACTGTGTAGATTAGATATACTCACGGATGTATCGAAGAGAAATCTCGAAAGAGCTGTTCCAGGACAACCCCACAAGCAAATAATCCTACAGAAATGACTACAGGGCCTGTTTTTGATATTCCCGGTAGCTCGGTACCTTGCCCTTTCTTGTTATTCATTGCCCATGCCATGGCAGGAGGAAGAACTCCATATAGCATTGTCATGCAGTAGCCTCCCTAAAATATTGTTCATATGCCAAATTAACTTAACATTGGTAATAAAGAGATTGACACAATTCTTACTTATATCAAGTTAGTAAGGAGAAGGATTTCGAGCATCCCATGACCTAGAAAACATCCTAATATTGTGGAAGGCAAGAGCGTAAAGTAGGTAACTCACAGCAATATCCGTGGCTGCAGAAAATGCATCGGGTACAGTTGTCGACACAAGAAGGGAAGGAGTGATCACCATTGCTGTTGCTGTGATGCTTGTTTTATTTTTCTGCCACCAATTGCTAATGTGTAGGAATGAACCCGATTTCTGCAATAGAGGCAGACTCTAACATGCAAGACATGTTTTGGTGTTATAAATATTACTAAGTGCGACAACAATTGCCTACTAGGCTACCTCAAGTTGTGCTGGTAGTGAATCCAATGAAACAGTGATTTGTTCCTTGAAGAATTCCGAGAAAGCAAGAAGGGTGCCAATAAGTGAGGTTCCAACTGCCAGAAGCGAAAAAACCTCAATCAAGGACGGAACTCCTTCCCATTCAACACTTCGACATGAAACAACATGTTAGTTAACTTCACGAATCTGCACTCACCATCTAGAACTATATCTTAAGAGTAATAAATGATCGATTATTTACCTAAGAAGCAACTCAACAGGATCTGAAACTTGGTCCAACTGGTTGGAGAGGCTTAGTGCTATTGCATCCCAGATCAGATATGCTACAAGTGGCACGACACTTCCTAGAAAAACTGCAGCCCTTATGCGCTTAAGATCTCCTCCTAAATAAGCACAAAGAACTGCAAGTATAATAGCTGTCAATCCCGACATTATATTGGAATTCAAGGATCGATATTTTCTGCAAGTATGATAAAGAAGAGAGCATCTGAACATTATCTACCTGGAGACAGATCATGATAGGCCAAAGTAAATATCATTACTGGTAGAGTTGCTGGGACTTTCTCCCAATCTGCAACACCGCCTTCTAATCCCGACCATCCTCCAGAAAAAGCCGCAAGACTCTCTATTGCTATTAGCAGACCTGTTTCATCAATTCATCATACTTGAAAACTTTAAACTACAAAATATTAGCCAAAGCTGATGATCATCCCAAACACTCAAGGAAGTTTGTGTTTAACTACCTATCATGGACACAGTTAGCCATTGGTTCACTTGGCCAGTGGCTCGGGTACCTCCAATAGAGATCAGAACGGTGAATAGGACAGTAAAGAGTATTTCAGAAGTTGCTTCAGGGAATCCAGTTATATGGTGAATTATTTCCCCCGACTTAGCACCGTAGGCTATCATGGAAGTGTAACCTAGGAAAACATATGCCATTGTTGCAACAACCCCGCCCCATTCTCCTAGAGTCTCTTGAGCCATTGTTGTAATCGATATCACCTTCAGCTCATCCTTTACTTTCACTTCCTCCTTCCTTAGCAAACTAACATTTATTTCAACTAGCAACATAGCCTCGAATAACATGAAAGCCCAACACATTGTCATTGTTATTGAACTCGGAAGGAGTCCCTACAGAACATATGAAAAGAAGCAACTGAGCTAGTTAATCAATTCTTCGTTTCTATGTCCTAAAATCCATATTAGGTGGTTTGCTTAATATGTTTCACCTCGAAAATAATCAACCCATTCCATAACTGAGTTTCAAAATGAAAAGATCAAAAACAATGCTCCAAACATTTTGTCTAAGAACAAAACTCATAAAAACTCTTGTTATCAAATAACCAGCCACTTTGTACTTTTGATAACCAATGTGTTGCTCAATCAATTCAATCCCTGTAATCCATTGATCAAAATTTTAGTCCATAAAGATAAATTTAGGATTCATGTTTGATGAACATATGATGAAGGTCTGGCATTCAATATAATCATAAAAATTTGAACCAAACAAAAAACTCAACTTCAATGATCAATACAATTTGTAGCCAAACAATAGCTTACACAAAATATCATTATGATCAAAACCAAACAACGAACATGCAGAAGTCTGATCAAACATTAAAATTTTAAACAAAAAAAAAAATGTAAAAGCTTGTCAAGCCCTAGCTTCGATGAAAAGCAAATGAGGTATTCTTCAATATACTAACGCCGATCAAACTTGACAAAATTAAATAGCCAAATTACCGCCGCAGAAATTTTCTTCGGAAGTGCGAGAATTCCGGAGCCGATACTTGTCCCGACAATAAGCGCAACAGCACCAGACACGGATCCCTTCTTCTTTGAGAATTTGGCAGGTCCATCCCGCAAGCGCACTCTGACGATATTGTTTTTCTTCGCTTCTACCAAATTCCAGCTGCGAGATTTCCCCCGTTGCAGTTGAATGTAGCTGCATGATCCACAGCCGAACCGAGCACTGCCGACAGACAATTCAGAAACACATAAGGAATCAAAATTAAGCAAGTTGTGGTGAAAACGGGAAAGGAGAGTGGGGAATCATATATATATACATTCTGGAATTGAAGCAATTTGCGGCATGATGATGTAGTCGTTGGGTTGAAGTTTGGGGAGTAGAAATCAGGCAATGAATATTCATTGGGATTCTACAGAGACAGAGAGAGAGGAGAAGATTCCGAATGATTATTATTATTATTATTATTTTATAGAGAAAATAGTGTAGAAGACAAATGATGAAAATATCTAAATGTGTGTTCGATTGCACTCGCAAGTTAATTTAGTTGAAGTTATTTATATGTCAAATTCACTTTCACCTCTATTTATTTTATTTTTTTAATTTTTTATTATTATTTTTTTTTTTACAGTTGCATAAATGATTTGATAATATAAAAATAGTTACAAATTCACCTACACACAGTATATATTCTACTTTCACGGTTCGGACAAATTATTTGATCATGAAAATTTAGGTAGGGTGTGTTTGTTTGGGGGTTTGGATTTTGGATTGGGATTTGAATAGTAAAAATTTTGAATTTGAATAGTTGTATGATGTGATATAAATAGGGTTTGATGTGATGTTTTGAATGTAAAATTGATTTTTAGTATAATATAAAAAATAAAAAATAGGTGTTTGATGTGATGTTTTTGGGGGGAAAAAATTGGATGAATAGTAGAAATCCTCCAAAATCCTTCAAACAAACACACCCGTAATGTAAATTAGTTACTTAGATAAAGAAGATTAGTTAATTAATAACTAAAAGAAATTTAATATATATGTTTAAATATTTTTAACACTATATTTATAAATATTATAGAATAAAATTTTATATAATACAAATTAATAAAAAATATATATTTATTTATCATTATTTTTATAAAAAATAAAAAATTTTAAAGGTAAAAAAAATATTTGTTATTTAAGGATAAGAGAGAAATAAAGAGATTTTGAATAGATGTACTAAAGAAGTTAAAAAATTTTATTAAATTGATTTATATTTGTTTAGTGTGTTTAAAATTGATAAATTTACTTAAAAATAAAAAGATACGGTTTAAACTGTAAGCAAAAATATCTTATACTTATACTAATACTAATACAATGACATTTTTTAAATTTGTCTAATCTGTCTGATGTGTTGCATCTGTTCTATGATCTGTCTGGCTATCTGTCTGTCTTTGACTCTGATTCTATTCAGAGTTCTCTCGTTTTCGGCTTCGGTGGAGAATCATGTTGTTTTTGGTTCCGGTGGAAAGTCATATCGTTTTTTGCTCCAGTGGAGAGTCATGTCGTTTTCGACTCCAGTGGAGAGTCATGTCATTTTCGTTTCTGGTGAAGAGTCATCTCGTTTTCGACTCCGGTGAAGAGTCATCTCGTTTTCGATTCCGATGGAGAGTCATGTCGTTTTCGTCTCCGGTGGAAAGTCATGTCGTTTTCGACTCCGGTGGAGAGTCATCTAATTTTCAGCTTCAGTGGAGAATCAATTGTTATTTTTATTTACGTTTTTTGCGTCTATATTCAACTTTTTTATCGGAGTACGTTCGCAAGAATGAAACTCAAATGAATTGACGGGGCCCGCACAAGCGGTGGAGCATGTGGTTACTCTTTTTTATCCGAAAACTTTCTTTTTCCTTTCAATCCAAGGGGAAGTGATCAAGGTAGGAGGCTAGTCCCCGAAAATGCTCGTTCATTTCAATGATTGTTGGCCCTATCGGTCAAATGAATCAGACGGTGACTTGGAGTCCGTTGCTAACGGGGTCTCGGTTGATTTCCCTTCTTATTCTTTCTCCCGTGCTAGGAAGCATTACTCCTCTAAGAAATTCTCTTAAATGTTCAATTTCTAATGAATCAAGATAACCATTTGTTCCGGTAAGCTCAAGTTGGTTTCTGTTATATCACTTGAGTTTTGAGAGAGGATGTTGAGATATTTTAGATATTCGGTTTTAAATTTAGTAGATTTATATTTATATTTAGTCTTATCCATAGATTAAATTATTTAGATTTGAGTCGAGTCTGTTTTGTATTACCTATATATAAGCCCCTTGTTTTGATGATCAATATACAATTTCATTATTTTCCCTCAAAATTCTAATAAATACTCCGCTATCAAATTCGAACACATCCTATTCATTCGACCAAATAAATATCATATTCAACACTATTATGTGAAAATTGCAATAAAAAAAAGTCATAAGTTTAATATGGATTGATAACTTTTTAAACCGTCGTGAGAAAATTTATGGAACTACTTTTGTGGATTTTTGCCGGTGATATATATATATATTTAAATGGTAACAATTTTGTGAAAATAAATTACAAAATAATATCCGTAACACTTCCGTAACTTAAAATAGCAAAGGAAGTTGCCTCGATCCCCTGACCTTATATTACGACTACCAGAAGAAATGAATTTGGCTTCGAAAATTATCTTGAAATCAATTTTGAGATTGTGAAAATAAATACTTTTTTCGTATACCCACAAAGTATACATATTTTTATTTTAGTTGTCTCATTACAAAGTAACTATTTCAAAAATACCTCATTTTTTTCTAACCCGTACTTTACCATTACATCGTTACTTTCATAGTAAATCATATAACACCCTCTATGTTTCAGTAAAAATTGCACAATATACCATTTTTTTCAAAGGTAAATATTAAATCAATTCAATTTTTAGTCAAAAATCTAAGACCATTTAAAATAGTCTTGAATTAAGGCAATAAAAAAACCCGACGTCTCCGGATTCACCTACCATACATGGTTCGTCTAGTGTGACTTTCCTTGTCGGACCTAGTTTGCAGAATATTAGGTTCGACCGAAGGTTTACCTAGTGCGCACTTTCGGTAGTCATAAAAAATAATAATAATAATAAATAAATAAATAATCAGATGAATGAAAAATTAAATTAATTGAATTTTATCGCAATTGGGCTCAAGCCAACGAGCCCCAATTGCCCAAAGCCTAATCTTGACCTTAGATATAGGCTAGTTTAGGCCCAACCCAAACAAGGCCCAAGCCATTAGCCCAATCTAAATCCAAACCCTCTATCGAATTTTCATTTATTATAGTTGGACCAACAATTCAATATAAGAATGAGTTAGATAAATTGTATTTTCAACATAATGTTCGTAACACATTACCTTAGTTGTAATATTGTCATAAAAAATTGTAACATTTGCCAAAATTTTCAAAATTTAACATCATACCCAAAAACCATTTCATACGAACTTAATCCCAACAAATCATCGTAAGTAGCACAAACACATAAAAAAAAAATTAAGGTAAACTATTTTTTTAATCCCGTAACTGGACTCCCTTGTCATTTATAAGTGAAAAATCTTTGTTGTTTCAGTCTTTCGGTGCCGGAGAAGCTGCGTGGCTTGCCGGAAGCCACGTGTCCGCCAAGTGTTCCGCCAAATCAGCGACACTTGGCGGACACGTGGATTTTATTTTATTTTTCAATTAGACCAAATAAAAAAATTAAAAAGACAAATAAAATTAAAAATAAATTTAAACAAAAATAAAATAAAATCCACATGTCCGCCAAGTGTCGCTGACCTGGCGGACACGTGGCCTTGGCGAGCCACGCGGGCGTTTCCGGCACCGGAGGACTAAAATAGCGAAATTTTTTCACTTATGAGACTAGTTTGCGACAGGCTCCACTTACTGGACTAAAATGATAAAGAAGTCCAGTTACGACACTAAAAAAAATAGTTTATCCTTTAAAAAAAAATAAAAAATAAAAAGGTTGGCCGAATTCATATTTATTTTTCTGCAATCTATATATGTATTTTATGTAATTTAATGACGGTGATATTATATAGAAATATATGTTTTGCAGTTTATGTATTATATTGTATTATATATATATATATATTTATTTTGCTAAAATAAATAATAAATTATGTTATATAAAGCAATATCACATCAAAATATATACTGTATATTGTATTATTATATACTATTTATATTGTTGATTTGTGTTGATTATGTTAATTTGACCTGATCAACTATAAAATTGAACTAAATTTTAATATAAGTAATAAAATAATTTATGCAAATTTTATTGTATAATTCACTTTTGAACTAATAAGAAATATAAAAAAATAACTTTTATTTTGTCCTCAAACATAGCAATTTTATGTATTATTCTAGTTAATGTAATAATAATATATATATATATATATATAAACTCACCTAGAAACCATTGAATAGATGTGGTGAGTCGACTTGTGGTGCCCCAAGTTTAAAAATACAAAGAAAACAAGTCTTATTGTTCTTTCATTTGAATAAATAAACTTTTATTATCCTCTTTATTCAATTGTCTGCTCATTTGATCGGACACTAGTTTTAAAAAATATAAGTTAAAATATAAATTTTTATTTTTTAGGATAAAGAAAAAGTAGAAAAAATTTTATATTTTTTTACTAAAAAGGGAAATAGGAATAAATTTAAATGACAAAAAAAAAAGTAAGAATAAATTTAAGTGACGGAGAAATTCTATTTATAATACTCCATCCGTTCGCCTCTAAGGGTTACACTTATTTTTTGCGTCATTTTACTTAACATTAAAAATATCCTTATATTTGTATAATATTTTATACAAATGCCCTTTTATTAGTATTATAAAAAACTAATATAAGTATTTTTACAATTTTTTTAATTTATACTCCGTTTTAATATAATAATTAATATTTAAATATGACACTCAGAATTGGACAAAAGTAGTATTAATTTACTCTCTAAACCACTATACTAATCTTTGGAAAAGTCTTCAAGATAGCAAAAATAAAATCCAATATACTAATCTCATTAAAAATCATGAATATATTCAAAAATAAATCAAGATTATATATATATGGTGGCCGATCTTATATTAATTGGATCGCTCATTTGACCCAATCAATATATAATAAATGTATCCAGTATATACTTCCTTCGTCCGTTCATATTGTTATTTATATGCGATCCACATCTTATGTTATTTTTTTTTAAAAAAAAATATATATTTTAATTTTATTTTAAATTTTTTAATTTTAATCAGACTAAGTAGTTATTTTATTATTAATTTTTAATTAATTATATTATATTTTAATTATTTTCGCTAATATATTTTTAATTATTTACTGATTATATTATTTATAAATATTTATAAATTCTCATATCTATAGTAACATGGACACAGTCGTTGGGATGAAATGAATATTATATACAAAATAACATATTTATAGCACATTATATTTTTTGCATTATTTTTATTATATGAGTTGATTTAAGTAAGTTTTGTTTTTGTTGCTTTTAGGTGAAATCATGTTTAGATATGAATATATATATATATTTTTAAAATAAAAAATTAATATATTTTTTTTTAAATTATTTTTTAGTCTTGACTTATTTATCATTTTAATCTCGTAATTAAAATATATTTAAGAATGATCTTGTATTTCATTATTTTGGCATAATTAGTCATCTAGTGTCGAAACTGTGTATGTAGCGGCCACGTAACTTATTGGAGCTTACGTGTGTCCGTAAAATAAGTGTCATATGTGGACACTTGTATTATTAATTAATGTAAAATTGAATTGAATTTGCAAATGTGCTATTTGGTCCAATTAGACCAAATAATAAATATCATATTGGATAATAGTAATATTTGTAAGACTAAATTAACAAAACTTATTTATGATTTCACGAAATTGCACAAAATTTCTCATACTTTGAAAATTGTATCAAACTCGGTTGTCTTTTCATAAACTTTGCGCTTAATCCCCTCAATCATATTTATTTAATGGTGTTTGAATTACAAATATATTTATTATTATTATTATTATTTTCGTCCGTCCCACTAAAAAAATATCACTTTCCATTTTTTAAATTATAATCATACAATAATACCAAAATACCCTTAATTTTTATTCAAATTACAAACATACAATTACATATACAATTACCTTTTATATAAAATCAACGTATTATATTTTGAATTTTATGAAAAATATATATTGAGAATCCTCGAAAGTCTGAGCAAACAAACCCTAAAGATTTGTTTAAATAAAGATTTTGGAATATTTTGAACTTTTGAAAATTTAGAAATAATACAAAATTAATACTTGATATTAATTTTTGCATAAATCAAAATTATTACATGCACAATTAATTTATATATAAAATATAAGATAAAAAATATCAAAATAATTTATACACTTTCACATTAACTAATAAAATATTATTATCTTCCTCCACATGAATGATATAAATTTTCATTACCAAAACAAAAATGCAATATTTTAATTTAGTAAATGTACCATATATCAAATATAATAAATATCTTTATAATTTATTTACAATATATTATATAAATACTGTTACTTTTATAAAAAGAAAAACAATGCTAATATATTACTCCCTCCGTCTCATTTACTATGTCCATATTGCCGTTTTTGTCGTCACTTTCCTTTTTTTGAAAAAATATTACACTTTAATCTTATTTTATAATTTTTTAAATTTTAATTAGACTAATTAGTTATCTTAATTTTAATTTATAATTATTTATATTATAAGATAATTATTTTTTCTAATACATTTTTAATTATCTATTAATTATACTTATCTACGGTAACCCGAACACAGTACATGAGACAAAGAGAGTAGTAGTATTATTATTATTATTATTATAAATTAATATAATACTCTTAATATTAAAAAATTAACATAAAAAAAAATAATAATACTCTTCTCAAGAAGTAAAAAAATATTATCAAAATCTCAAATACCTGTTTGGATTAATAATGACCATATGTTAAATTAATTTAAAATACACAAAAGAAATACAATACACACAAAGCATGCCCTTAATTCAATCTTTAATTTTCCCGACTTATTTGTTTATAACGCAATCTCCAAACCAAATATAGTAACGTTACTATATTAAAGATTCCATTTTTTCTCCAGAAATCAATGGAGGAAGGACATCACTGCTAAATGTTTTCCATTTACCTTTCACTGTTCTAAGGAAAAACAAAATTAAGCTCACCACACCAAAAATTAAAAATATAAAATATAAAAAAAATTATCCTTACCACTTTCTTCTGCAGAAATCATTCGAAAAAATAAAATTATAAATAAACCCAGATTTTGTCTTGAGATTTCGATCTTCTGTGCAGAATTTTCCAAAAATTTCTTCTCGGATTCCCCCAATTTGCCATCCCCTGAAATAAAAGGCAAATTTTTTACTCTCTGTTACTCCCACATCCATCGTTTTGTATATAAAAAGGCCAAAACAAGAACAGACATCCCCTGCAATAAATCTGTTGTCCTTGCGTTGTGCCCCCCCACCCCACCCACCCCCCCCATCCCTTCCCTTCTTCCTTCCTTCCATCCATCACCGCCCTCCGTCTCTCTTTGTCTCTGTCTCTCTCTTTTTCTTGGGTTTTCTGTTCGTCGATTGTTTGGGGGGAGTTATGTGAAGAGGGATTGGGGAGAAATGGCGTGTGCAGATGTTCATGGAAATAATGGGATTGTGAATCCGGAGGAGCCGAGTATTGATACGGACAAATTGAGCTACGAGATCTTCTCCATTCTGGAGAGCAAGTTTTTGTTCGGATATGATAATCAGAAGGTTTGGGTTCCGAAGAAGATTGAGGAGGAGGAAGACGACGGCGGTGGTCAGGCGATCAAGTATCAGCGGGGGAAAATCTGCATTCTCAGCATCGACGGCGGCGGGATGCGGAGCATTTTGACAGGGAAGGCCTTGTCGTATTTGGAAGCGGCGTTGAAGAAGAAGTCAGGGGATCCCAACGCTACAATCGCCGATTATTTCGACGTCGCCGCCGGAGTCGGCGTCGGCGGTGTGTTCGCGGCGATGCTCTTCGCTGCCGACGAGAATCGGCGCTCGATTTTCAGCGCGGATGATACGTGGAAATTCCTGATTGAGGAGGGTGGGAAACTGTGCCCCTCCGGGAAGGGGCGGAGTTCGAAGGGAGGTTTCTTCCGGCGAGTTTTCAGGAAGAGCGGCAAAGCTTCGACGGCGGCGGCGTCGGCGCGGTTGGAGAAGGCGATGAAGGAGGCGCTGAAGGATTCCGAGACCGGCCGGAGCTTGACTCTGAAAGACACGGTGAAACCGGTATTGATCCCCTGCTACGACCTCTCCAGTTCGGCGCCGTTCCTCTTCTCCCGGGCGGACGCCGTCGAATCGGACAGCTTCGATTTCAATCTGTGGGAGGTTTGCCTGGCGACGGCGTCGGAGCCGGGGGTCTTCGACCCGGTCTACATGAGGTCCGTCGACGGTTCGACGCGGTGCGTCGGCGTCGCCGGCGGATTGGCGATGAACAACCCGACGGCGGCGGCGATAACGCACGTGCTCCACAACAAGCAGGAGTTCCCATTCGTGAGAGGGGTGGAGGACATTTTGGTAATTTCACTCGGGGCAGGCGGGCAGTTGCTAGAGAGCAGTTTCGACCTCGAGCAGGTGAAGAAATGGAAGGCGCAGGATTGGGTTCGCCCCTTGTCCCGGATTTCGGCGGAGGGCTCGGCGGAGCTGGTTGACCACGCGGTGGCGATGGCGTTCGGGCAGTGCCGGAGCACCAATTACGTCCGCGTTCAGGTACCTGAAGAATTTACCCAACCACTTTTACCTTATGCATCATCACTTTTTCTTTTCAACTGTTCCAATTCACCAATTTCAATTTCAATTTCACTCTTTTTGAGGATGATAAAAATATTCTGAAAAGACGATGAAAATCTTATTAAATTTGCTTCTTTTTTCTTGTGTTTTTGACTGCTCCGTGCTTCATCTTTCTTCTTTCTTTTGAATTGTGAATGTTCTGTGGTGGGGTTAGGGTGAATTCCTTTATTTATTTATTTTTTACTTGAGTGCCTTCTGCATCTTCACATGTCTGGACTGTCCTGAATGTAGTGGTTTTACTTTACCTGATTTTCCCTTTGTCGATATCATACATTTAACATAAAGAACCCTAAATTGCGCTGTGAACTTTATCTGCACTGTTGTGTGCACTCTGTAAATATTGACAGCACTTGCTACAAAGAAGTAAAGGGTCAGTTTAACTCATCTTTCGGTCAGGTCTTTTATAGATAGATAAATGCATATTTGATATTTTTTTGATCTTGTTGGTTGTCGGTCAAGATTTCGACATTATTATGAGTGGCTTTTTGGGTTTAACTAAATCAAGATTGTCAAATGTGTGTTGCTGGATTGGAACAGAAGTGGTCTATCTGCTCTTGTGCACCAATTTGATGTGTAAATGCAAAATTTTTTAAATGTTGTTTCTATAATGAAGAGCTCTATGTTAGAAGTGAACGATCACATGATTCGACTATAGTTCCCTTTTTGCATGACATTATTGGGAGGATATTCGGTGTTATTTAGAAAATTGATGGTTGTGATCTTTCTTGTTTAGGCAGGATGCCATGTGGGGTTGATTTATTACAATGAGGATACTGTTGAAGCATATGATTTGTAATGGCATTGCATCGGATAATCTTTAAGATATGGAATAATACATTATATCAATTAGTCCAACTCGGTTTATGCTAATCAAAGCTTCACCAAATTTTATAATTTGTAGTTGAGTTTGCAGTTCAATATAATTTGTTCTTTCTGTTTATCGTTTTACTGAATTCTCAGGCATACGGGTCCAGCTTAAGCCGGTGTGGGGAAAATGTCGACTCGGATCCCAGTCCGGGCAACGTGAAAACACTGGTGGCGGTGGCAGATGAAATGCTGAAACAGAAGAATGTGGACTCAGTCCTCTTTGGCGGCAAGAAGATCGGAGAGCAGAGCAATTTTCAAAAGCTCGACTGGTTTGCGGAGCAGCTTGTGCTAGAGCATCAGAGGAGGAGTTGCAGGATAGCTCCCACTGTTGCATTCAAGCAGGCTTCGTCTAAACCATCCTCAGTGTAATGAAAAACAATGTCCCTTCAAGTTTGATGAAAAAATTCGGAAAAAAAAGCATATACATGGTATGCTCTCTCTCTCTCTCTTCAACTATTATTACTTGGTTCAATCAACTTTGAAATCATTTGTGGCCATACATGATTGATTACATATAGTCAGTCTGGTGAAGAATCGAATCCTGAAAGATAATACTTACTACTTACTATATAGTGTTGTTGTCTGTTTCTGGCACCTCCCTTCATCCATCCCTGTGGGCTTTTGTCTGTCTGTCTGTCTGTCTTTGTCATGTCGTGATGTTGAAGAAGAAACAACAAATCTAACACCATAATATTCCCTGGTTGTTGCAACAGTTTGGTTTTGTGTCTGAGTGTACCAAAAATGGATTTATTCTTGAATTTTGGGTGTTGGAGCCTCACCGACACTGATGGTCAAAAATGCACAGGGCCATATTGGTCATTCCAGTAGCTCATAGCGCTGAGCTGGGCTGGGTGGGTAGGTACGTAGGTAGGCTGGCACTTGGAAAAATGCATGGGTGTGTGTAAAGTGAAGGGCATTCATTCTATTTTATGTTTGACTCTTTTCACAAAACCTCCTCCTCATCCATTCTTTTCCTGTCCCCAGCACATTTATGATTATGATTATTATAATTATAATTAAATCTTTTATTTATTTGGATCATGCAAATCCTGTTGTGCTGCTGACCATGGGTGTGTGTTTTAAGGATGTTCTGATGATTAGGGTTAGCAGTTATTTGCCTGGTTATAAGTAAGCAAGCAAGGATTTCTTGTCTTGGCTGGCATTGTTATGGTTTCATTGTTGTTTCTAAAAATGTTTCTGGCAAATGGGACATCCGTCAATTGTCCATTTTGATGAATTGGGTCTACCATTAATTGTATTTATTGGCATTCATTTTGAAAGGGAAAATTGCAGAGGAGAGAAGAAGACTAGCCAGAGTATATGACTGTTTTGATGTGTGTCATCATGGATCTTGGTTGTTGTTAGTTTCAAGAAATAGTGGGGTATGAGGGTATTAGTATATGCATTGTATTGGTGGTGGTGATGAAACCATTTGTGGGGTGTAATAGACTTACACTCACTCACTCACTCTACTGCTTATACTTGTACTTGTTCATAAAAACAAGTAAGAAAGCTTTACAAGTAGTGTTTGGTTTTGAATAATGAAATGATTCTAATGATCCATCGTCATCATCATCATCTCTTTCTTCCATTCTCATAGAACTCTACTTACTACTGCTTTCTTGCTTGACTTTAGTCTCCCTTTCAATAATGTCTATTTATCACTTTTCTGCATTGATGCAGTTCAGTGGGTCCTTTCCATATTGCCATTGCCATTGCCATTGCTGCTAATGCTGCTACTTTATGTGAAAAAGGACTTTGAAAATACTAATAATAATAATAATTATTATAAGTATTGATGGATCTTTGTGGGATTCTTTGCCTGCCAGAGCCCAGGCAATGGTCAACTACACTACACGCCACACCACACTAGATAGAGTGCACCTTTTTTTTTTTTTTTTTTAATAATGACGTGGAAATTCGCGGACGCTACCCGAAAGTGCGCCTCCGATTAAACTTAATATCCTGTAAATTAGGCTCGACAGATAAATCACACTATGCGAATCATGTGTTGCATGGCAGGTGATTAACTAATTGTATGCATGATTAACTATTTGGATACGAATTCAAACAAAGGTATATAATACTCCCTCCCTTCTGGATATTATGTCTACTTTACAGTTGATACGAGAATTTAAAAATTATATAATTAGTAAATAAATAATACTCATTCCATTTCAAAATAATAAAGACATTTGAGATGGACACAGGAATTAAAAAATAATAGTATTATATTGACAATGTGTATTTAAAAGATCATATTGTTCCTACTTTATGTAATTATTGTAAAAAAATAGGAATAATTTTGTAAAAATGTAGGGAGAGAGTTGCCAAAAGTAGAAATGAGACTATTATTTAATTAAAATTTTAAAAAATTAAATTAATAAATTTATAATAAGATTAAAGTGTATAATTCTTTTTTAAAAAAGAAAAGTGATAAAATAAGTGGAACGGATAAAAATAAAAAGAGAGACATGACCAGGGATGTCAACGGGACGGGTTCTGCAGGCCCCGAGACCCGCCCCGCCCCGCTTCCACCCAGCCCGAGGACCCGCCCCGCCCCGAACCCGAAGGGTTCGGAGCCAAACCCGACAAACCCGTTTTCTTAAAAATATATAATAATAAATATTTTTTTAACAATCGAATACTAAAACAAATAGCATTAAAAGAAAAAACAATCAAATATTATCCATAAAAATAAGATAAATAAATAAATAATATATTTTTATTATATAAATATACATATATTATGTATAATAATTTTTAAAAATTATCTGGAGCGGCAACTAATTGAATTTTATATTTAAAATTATTTAAGTAAATAAATAATATATTTTTATTATATAAATGTACATATATATATATATATTAGTTATAATAATTTTAAAAAATATCCGGGTTCGGGTCTGGTCCGAGTTGGGACAAATTTTTAGTAAAATCCGTAAACCGCCCTGAACCCGGCCGGATTTAAAATTTTAAATCCACAATCTGCTTTGAAACATATTATTTAGACCCGAACCTGCCCTATTAAGAACGGATCCGGGCTAACCGGCCTCATTTGACATCCCTAGACATGACCGAAGGAGTAATTACTATTTTTTTTATTTTTATAATAAAATGAATACCCAAAAATTGTCTATCTTTTGCTAACAAAGTAAATGGAAAAATATATATATTTTTTTATGACAATGCAAAATGAAATTACACATAAATTTTAACAACAGAAAAAACAAACATTTCGTCCCTTATTTATCTGTTCGTTTGTTTTTTGTATGGAATTTTAGAAATATTAGTATTATATTGGGATGTGATATGAATAAAGTAGAAAAAACTAAAATAATCTTATTATGTGTGATATAAAGGTGATACATTTGTATAATATAATATAAATTGTAAGGAAATTTTTAATGTTAATATAAAGTACAGTTACTAAAAAAAAATAAAATAAATACTTTATTATAAGACGGACCAAAATAAAAAAATAAATAAATTATTAAGTACACAGAGATTAATAATTTGCGGCTTCCTTTTCATGTAATGTTAATACTCACACTCACTCAATCACTCACTTTTTAATTTCAAAATAACATATTATATATATATACATGTACATATACACTAAGAAGTCCGTGCTTACCAAAGTTTTGACCGCAACTAGGTTGTACACGGTTTGGATATTTGTAAATATGTAGGTATTTGTTATTCGAATTGAATCAAATAAATATTCGAAATCGCGAACCGTATCCGAACCAATATTTGCAAATAATCTGAACTAAAATTTAAAAAAATATATTAAAAAATAATTAAAATTCTAATTAAATCAAAATATTTGCATATATTTCAAATATCCGATTTGAAACCAAACTGTAACCGAACAGAATATAATTATTAATATAAATTTTAAAATATAATAATATAAATATATTAGGTTCGGAATCGAACCGAACCGAAAAAAATATCAAAAACCAAAACCGAACCGAACCGAACAAATATCAAATATACAATATTTGTATTCGAACCAAATTCGCTCGGTTAATCGAAAATTCGATTCGGTTGTTTTTGCCCACCCCTAACGGCAACTCCAACTCACTCCCTAAATTCAGTAAATTGTGCAAAAATTAGGGGAGGAGTTTCAATCCACCCCAAAATCTTTAACGCAGTGTACATATACAGTGTTACCCCATAAATACCTCTCATCTTTTTTTGAGTAGAGTTTTTGTAGTATTTTGTGTATTTTTATTATTTTTTTAAGGTATATTGTGTAATTTTATTTTTTTTGAGTGATATAATTTTATATTTTAAAAAGTGATATTTAATTTTATTTTTTGAAAATAATGTATAATCTTCTTTTTTTTAAATGATATATAATTTTTTTTAAAGTGATATTGTATACAGTATAATTTTATATATATATATAATTTTTAAAATAAAATGTAAAATTATATATGTTTGGGTTATAATATAAAAATAAATTAAAATTGAGGTATAATTTATAAATATGAAAAATTATATAAAATAATATAAAAGAAAATATATAAAAACTATATATATATATATTTAAAGTAAAAATTGAAGTTTATAGTTGAAGTAAAATTATCATAATTTTACTGCAATTTTTACTATAAGAACTGCAAAAATTGAGTAATGAGTTGAAGATGAATTAAAACAAATTTTACATTGCTTATTGAAAATCCAATTTTACTCTTTGAAACAAAAATATTACTATTGCATTTAACATATAATTAATTAAACCAATTTACAATATCATTCAACAAATTTACATAATATTCAATAATTTCAATACCATAATAATGTTTCATACAATTCAATAAATTTTTTGGACGATTCAACATATTTTTTATATCACTCAATTTCAATACATAATTAATTCAAGTATTCAACAAAGTATTCATTTTTCCATTTTAGTCCATCCTCATAACAAAGTATTCATTTTTTTTTAAGTAACTGTATTATCTACCTAATATTGCAAATACCCTTACAACTTACAATATCTTACACAAATGTCATTACCTTTATATCACACATACTAATAAGATTATTTTAGTCATTTCTACTTTATTCCTATTATATCCCAATATAATACTATTATTTTTAAAACTACATGTAAAAAATAATTGAATATTTACTTTTAGGACGGAGACAGCGTAATATTTAGAAAAAGATGTTCACATTTCCTTATTTTAACAAGCATGTCCATAAACTATCACTAAAAAAATATCAATTTTTACAAATAATAATAATAATAATAATAATAATATATTTGTGGCTGTTACATACTCCTTTCGTCTCATGTAATATGAGTGTATTATTGTAGACACGAAAATTTAGGTAAAGTATAATTAGTAAGTAATTAAGAAGTATATTAGTAAAACTAATTATTATTTAATAAAAATAATTATAGATTAAGATT